TAGCTTTTGTAATTATCCACCAATTTCTTAGAATTAAACACTATCTACTGATTTGCATCGAAGCGTTTCTTATGATAGTGATTTTAATCACTGTCAGATTAAATCTATACTGGACCCAACTATGCAACATCCCCACTATGCCGCGACCCCACTGTGCTGGGTTTTTTTATTATATAATAAATACTTGAATCCATCACACTGTCTTTATTATGATGTATTTTACAAGAATCTTTCTTTTATTACTAGTTTTAATACACCTTTTAGCTTCGATGGGAAGTTGAGAAGGTATTAATTTTACTATGATGTGTTTTTTTTTGTGCATGTATACGCTCAATCTCAGGTTTCGCTGGACCAATTTTGATGAAAAATATGTCAAAAGATTACAAATCGTATCTAGTCGAAGACATTATCCTCAAAATCGCTAATTTTTGACATTTTTTACTTAAAATTGCCATAACTATTTTAAAAATAATCGAATGATNGAAGACATTATCCTCAAAATCGCTAATTTTTGACATTTTTTACTTAAAATTGCCATAACTATTTTAAAAATAATCGAATGATTATATTTTTTTTATAGATACCTTAGGTATTTACCTATCATTTTATATATTTTTGTGAACATTTGACCCTTTACCAGCCCACAGGAAGGGTTTTAAAATGGTAACTTTTACAAAAAATTAACTTTTTCAATTTAATTTTTAAAGTGTTCCAGAAATATTAACACTTTTATATGTATCTTAAATTAAAACTTATGTAGTATACTTTAATTTGAAAAAAAAAATTTGACCTCCTGATTTGTCTTCATGATGAAAATGATTACCATATTCAAAAATATGCTATTTTTGTGTTAAAATTCTGGGTTTTGTATTTTATTTTATTTTAAAATACATGACAAGGGGAGTACACTTATTTGGATAAATATTATATAAATAAAATTGATATAGCATAGAAAGTTAAACTTATTTAAATTTTTTTGCTTTTTGAAGTCGAGAAAAATAATTTTGAAATTTAAACTAGCTTAAATAGCCAACTTTTTCAGTCGACGTTAGCGACGTATGGTTGCTGAGTCAATAAAACTTGTTTGACGCGCTTGGGGTACAAGGTTCCAACCCGCCTATGGCAAGGAATTTTTTGCATTTTTTTCTTAATTCTTTTTAAGTTAGAATAAATTTTTAACTCGTTTGATTTTTATCTCATTTAGATTCAATATCTTCAATAAAGATCAAGGATACCATCACTGTAGTCGCCCCTTGGGAGAAGAAATTTCTTATTCATATTAAAATTATTTTACTATATTTTAGGTTTTAGCTTCAATGAAAAGCTGACAAGGTATTTTTTTGTGACTATCATTTATTTTCTTTGCTCTAACTTGACCTATATTTTTCAACGATACGTTAAATGATTACAATTAGTTGAAGATATTACCCTCAAAAATTGAAAAAAAAATTCTTATTTATCAATTAAACAGTTACTTATCCCATGTTCTCCATACAGACAATTAAAATCATTCATTTCTAATGTTTTCAAAGTATTTATTGACGAATCAAGTTTGATATGATAGGTTTCAACTACAAAATTAAGGTATAGAAGGTTTATATTAAATAAGGTATTCAATATTAATAAAAGGTATATATTAAATCATTTTACTTTGTAATTTAATAATTTTTTTACTTTATTTGTGTGTGCTACTACAAGATTATAATATTACAAATTTTTTGGTAACATGTTACTATATAAATCATTTCTAAAAAAAAATTATTATTAGTTTCTCCTGAATTAGAAATGGATTTTTACAATTATAATTAAATTTTATAATATGCTCAATTGAGTAAATCTTTTTAACAACTTTGTTTTGATTGGTTCATTTAGTTAAAACAAATCATTAAAATTAATTAACTTCTCAATATTTCAATTATAAAATTTTTTTAAACACCAAAAGTTAAAAAACTAGGTAATGATTATTATTATTTCAATTTCAGTTATCTATTACGATAAAAATGCAAAAAAATATTGAGCTACTCTGATAAATTTACTATAAATAGTAATTAGAAAACTTTCTAACTGCATATTAATCTTAACGGTACAATTTTTTTAATTCTCATAAAATTTTCTATTTAATGATGTCAATTTCAAACTTGCCAATTGAGCTAAAAGTTATGGTAAAATAAATAATTTTTTTTTTATTATAAATATTTACAAAAATCAACTTTAAAGGATTATAAAAATTGGTTAAATATGTCATTTTCCTTATTTTTAACATATATTAATAATAAAAATCAGTATTAATTTAAAACAATTTTTTTTTTGCTTTTAATTAATTTTTTTTTTATATGTAAATACTTATTTTTTAATAATAAGTAATAATATTAAAACTTAGAAGTGATAGAAAAAGTCTAATTGCACAATTGAAAACATGGCGAAAAGTTAATTTAGTAAAGTATACTTTTGTTTCTGATGAAAGTGCCATGTAGTCTAATGTATTTATTCACAAGTAACAAAAATTTTTTGTTGAAAAGTATTGCATCAAGCCCTTTAAATATTTATACGCGTTAAAAGTAAAGAAATATACAACTACTTTATTATTTTTATAATATCTCCGTAAAAATTACAATATTAAATTATTGAATATCAATTTCATTCTAAATTAAATTACTATAATTATTAATACTGAGTTATCAAAATTATTTAAGACTAACACAAACCGTGTTACAATCCGTTGGGAAAAAAATCGTTATCGTTATCAAAAATTTAATCTCTGCTTTTTTCGCTTCATGTTACTGCATTTTATTATATTGTACTATCCCCATCCGGTTTTCTATTATAAAACCTTTCACAAATATTGGAATTATTCGTACAAGGATTTTAACTCAAATCATCGAAATTTCAAATTAGTTAATCAATAACAGCAAGGTCTTGTCTGATCGCTAGTACAATTAAACCTATAATAAACTATTACAATGAACTAAGTATAACATTGGTTTTTGTTATTTTATTATAGGCGCGCCTTATTAAAGTCTGTTGATATAAGTCCTCTAACGGACTATTGTTTTAAAAAATGGAAGCATTGATTCCTGTAATTAATCGTTTGCAAGATGTTTTCAACACAGTTGGTTATGATGCTATTCAACTACCACAGATAGTTGTTATTGGTTCACAGGTAAGTTTTCTTGATATTTCAATAGTTTTAATGAATAATCCAACATAATACAGCTACAAAGATTTTGTAACTTGCTAAATTTAAATAAAAAATTAATTTTACTATATAATTAATATTATTTTTCTTTAAATTTTTTAATAAAAATAGTTTAAAACACTATGTGTTTTTGGACTCAGGTGTAATAAATACAAATATGTTAATATCATTAATAAAAGCCATTTTCAATCTAGTTTCTGTTAATAATATATTATCAGTGTAATATGTTAAAATAATAAAAATATGAGCATATATTATACATGTATAATTGTGACAGAGATATAGTCAATGATGTGTTAGTACCTAATGTTCAATGTTGTGAGCTTTTTTCGGTGACATATAGTATTTTTGATTAGTAAATTTTAGTAAAAAATTAACCTTTAGAAGCGGCAAATTAAATAAAAATTCTATAAAACTATTATATAGAAATATAAATTTTGTTAACAATGCAAGCATGTTACATAATATGAAAAAAACACAGAAGAAGATAATGTGAAAAAAGTAATAAAAAACAAAGAACAAAATGAAAACTATTTAAATTATACTTTAAGATTGAATAAATAAATAAATTTAATAATCAAAATGAAATAATATAATAACTATCTCCTATTAATACGAGCAAAAAATATATAAATTTTTGTACTTTATTTGATTATAACTTAAAAATACTGTATTTTTTAAATTATTTTTTTCCGCTCATAAATGTTTATATATTCTTAATTTATATTAAAAGCTAATTAATTAAAAAAAAAAGAATGCATGATAAAGTAGACATATATTGATCTAGTATTTACAACTATCACAATTATTCTAAGTATTAAATATAAGATATCACATTCAAATAAATAAGTATATGTTAAGAGGACATTAATACATTGAGATATTTTGTCATGGTAGCACTAACCGACATATTAACTAATTAATTTTCAAATTAAACAAATAAAATAAAAAAAAAATTTTTTTATACCTAACTGTTAAATATAAGTATATTTTTATGAGTTTTTATAAGAAAATATGTGATGAATGTTTTCAGAAAGTGTGATAGTGACTTCATATATTTACTTGATCCATTTTCAGCATATGAACTTGTATTGAATTGACTTATCTTATCCCTTTTTTAATTTTATTATTTATCATCAATGTATCACAAATAAAAATTATACACTTAATCTATGATGTTTGTAGAACTATTGTATTATTTGGGTAAAATTTGATTATGTAGTATTAAAACAAAAACTATTGTTCAAATTATATTTGTAATGAATATTGTCAAATTATTGGTTTGATAACAAAACTTTTTCTACTACTATATCCAATAAATTATAAAGTTTGTAATGTTAAAAAAGTATTTTAACCATTAAATAAAATTAATCTAACTCTTTGGAAGCGTTCAAAAGTTTTGTTTTAGGAGAATTTACATAAAAAATTATTTTACTTTACTTCTGAAAAAGAAAATTTTATATTTATCAGAGGAATTTATTTCCAAATGTTCCCCATGAGAATACTTATGTGTATCTTATTGGTACAACCACTTTATTTATAATAAGTACTAACATAATAATATTTTTTGTTCCTGTGAATAGGGGTTAAGAATACTTCAAGTCGTGAGAGGCGACTAATGAGGTTGCATCAGGTTGACAGCCGAAGTAAAATTTTGTCAAAAAGTATGAGGAGTCCTGAACAAAACTTAGGCAGATTATCTCATCTCAGATTTACGCGGAGCTGTAAGAATAGTTATAAAAATTAATGTTGAAGGGAGAAGAGGTAGACAAAGAACAGAGAAGAGGTGGACGGATGTTATTGAATGTGATATGAAGACGACTGATGTGGTAGATTGTGTTACGTGGAAGTTTAGGATCAGGGTGGCCGACCCCAATTAGTTGGGATTAAGGCGAGGAAAAAGAAGATGAAGACTAACTAATAATATTTTTAATACTATTTTTTGGTTTACTATATGTCATACTTTAATAGTCCTGAAATTAATCACAGGTTTATATTACTTTGATGAAAATATGGTATTTATTTATTCTAATGCTTATGAAAGTTCCAAGTTTATAAAGCGTAACAGTACACACTACATAAATAAACATAAGTCCTCAGTTTAATTTTTTTTTTTTATCACTTGTCATTGAGGGTGATTGCGGCCTCCCCTAAGAGGAAGTTTCTTAACCATGTATACTTCTGGATTGGTGGTTAATATCTTGAAAATTTAGTTTAAACAAAGTATACATTTTTTCATTTAAATATTGTCTTTGTCCAAGTCCCATTTGGTTTATCAAAACAAAAATATTTATAATATTTTATAGAGCTCTGGAAAAAGTTCAGTGATAGAAAGTATTGTTGGAAGATCATTTTTGCCTAGAGGAATTGGAATTGTAACTAGATGTCCTTTAGTTTTGCAACTTGTCAATTGCCCACTAAATGATAAAGAACATAGGAATGCTGAAAACGGTAGTTATTTATTAATTGAGACTAATAGTATCTTTTTTTTTTTTTTTTTATAGTCTAAACTATACTTTAATAATTTTTTTTTTATAGGTACTGTGAACATGGAAGAATGGGGTGAGTTTCTTCATTGTAAAAATAAAGTATTTAAAGATTTTTCCGAAATACGCGAGGAAATTCAAGCTGAAACTAATAGGGTGGCTGGTATTAACAAAGGAATTTGTCCAGAACCCATAAGTTTGAAAATATATTCTGTACATGTATTAAATTTGTCCTTGGTTGATTTACCTGGAATAACCAAGGTAATGTTTAACTATAAATTATTATAATACATTATCATAAAAAAAATGTATATATTCATAGTGGAATAGATCTAACTGACAACTCTTATAATATTTGATACAAATAACATTTTGTTTTTTTCTTTTAATATATGTTTTCTTAGACTACATTCAAATCATATTTTTTGTATTACTTGTTTTTCTTACAAAAATGTTTAATTGGTCAGAAACAATTTTAAGTCGAATAATTAACACATTTTAATACAAAGAGTGGGTACAGCTTATACTGGTATATATTTTTAATGCATACTTCACCTGGCGCAATATATATATTTATATATATTGAGAACAATTAATCTTTTTTTTTAATCAATAAATTTAATACAATTTTAAGGTGCCGGTTGGTGATCAACCTGAAGATATTGAAGTCCAAGTGAAAAACTTGGTGACTAAATATATCCAAAATCCAAACTCAATTATATTAGCTGTTAGCACTGCCAATACTGATATGTCAACCAGTGAAAGTCTTAAACTAGCCAAAGAAGTAGATCCAGAAGGAAAAAGAACACTAGCTGTTATTACAAAATTAGATCTTATGGATGCAGGTTTGTAAATTAATAATTGTAGATGTTTTTACTGGAAATTATATATAATTCTATAAATAATTAGGTATATGATCAGTTCTAAACTATTTTATCATCATTTTAGTTCCTAAATACCATATATATATATTAAGGTTTTTCGAGATCTAGCTTAATTTATTGGAAGTCTGATGAACTTATCATAGCTCTAAAATGCTAAATGGTTGAAGTATACCCTTTTTTCTACTAGGTACTGATGCTGTAGATATATTATGTGGCCGTGTCATTCCAGTTAAACTTGGTATAATTGGTGTTGTTAATCGATCACAGCAAGATATAAATGATAATAAGGTATATTTTTAGTCAAATTTAAAACTAAAAATAAATAATGTATAATAACACAGTATGAACATTCTAGTCTATTGTTAATGCCTTAAAAGATGAAGCTACATATTTACAAAGGAAATATCCTTCATTAGCTAATCGTAACGGTACTCCATACTTGACAAAAACATTGAATAGACTTCTGATGCATCATATTCGAGATTGCTTACCAAACTTAAAAGTATAAATTAAAATTTGTACTAAACAAAATAAATTATGAAATGTATTACATTTTTATAATTATAATTTCAGACTAGGGTAAATGTTATGGTTTCCCAATTTCAGTCTCTTCTATATTCATTTGGGGACGATGTATCTGATAAGAGTCAAACCCTATTACAAATTATCACTAAATTTGCTGCAGCATATTGTTCAACAATTGATGGCACTTCTAAAAATATTGAAACTACAGAACTGTTAGTAAATATATAATTGAATTATTAACATATTATTATGTTATTATTCAATATAAAAATTTGTTATTAAAAATAAACAATCAATTAGGACTGTTATAATGGGAAATACCAATAATTTTTTTTTTCCATTTTTATTTCTTAAAATAAAAAAATTTAATCATGTATTCTTTTATACATTATATATTATTATTCTTAATAATATATTATTCTCATATTAAGTTTATAGAAAATTATATTTATTATGACTATAAATTAGGAAAAGTTTTTTTTTATTATTAAAGTAGTCAGATATATTATAATGAACATATACTATATAAATATAAAAAAAAAACATAAATCAAATGGTTATTTTATTTTAATTAAAACATTTTATCATTTACAAATAATATTTCCTAAACTCTATTACCTTGAAAAATTTGTTATCAACAATATTGTTACTTTAATTAGTTAAATATTTATAAATTTCTGACTTAATCGCCCTAATTTTTTGTTTTTAATAATTTAATAATTAATTGTCAATTGTGCAGTTTAACATTGTTATTTCTAAGCTATTTGGATGTTCAATAATAAATAATTTGTTTATATTTATTTCTAGATGTGGAGGTGCACGAATATGTTATATTTTCCATGAAACTTTTGGAAAAGTATTAGACTCTATTCATCCTCTCACTGGTCTTACAAAAATGGATGTGCTCACTGCTATTAGAAATGCTACTGGTCCAAGACCTGCTTTATTTGTTCCTGAAGTTTCTTTTGAATTATTAGTAAAAAGGCAGATTCGAAGGCTTGAAGAACCATCTCTTAGATGTGTTGAACTTGTTCATGAAGAAATGCAACGTATGATCCAGCATTGTGGTGTTGAGTCTCAACAAGAAATGATTAGATTCCCAAAGCTTCATGAAAGCATAGTAGATGTTGTCACTCAACTTTTACGACGCCGTTTGCCTACTACAAATTCAATGGTTAGTTCTTTTAAGTTCCAGTTATAAATTAGACCTTAGTTGCAGCTTGGTTTAATTTAAATGAATGAAGTCAGAGTTACCATTTATTTGATTTTATATATTTTTTAAGTTCAAAAAATTTTATTCAGGTTGAAAACTTGGTGGCTATAGAACTAGCTTACATTAATACTAAGCACCCTGATTTTCATAAAGATGCTGAGTTAGTATCATTGATGATGAAAAGTGCCGAGGAAGATGAAATTGTTAGACAGCGAAATTTGAGAAAAATAAATACAACTGCATCAATTAATGGATGTGATCGGGATGTATGTCATTAAATTAAATCAGTTATTTTATAGTAAAATAATAAACGTATATTTTATATTTTATTTAGAGTGTTACAAGTTTTGGCTCTTTGAAAAAAACGCCTAGACAACAAGACAATAACAGTGAAGTAAACTCTATGGAGTCATCTCCTGCTACAACACCGGTTCATCATGCACCCAATGATTTATTATCTACAGCTGTATCTAATAGCTTTAATAATTTAGACATCCATAGCCCATCAAATGTAAGAAATCTTTCTGAGAAAGAATTGCGTGATTGTGATGTCATAGGTATAAAAAATTTAATTTTAAAACTCATGATATAAGTTTTATATATTTAGTGAAATATAAAATTGTACATCAATTTTCAGAGAGATTAATCAAATCATATTTTTATATTGTGAGAAAATCAATTCAAGATAGTGTTCCCAAAGCAATAATGCATTTTTTAGTTAATTTTGTAAAGAACAATTTGCAGTCAGAACTAGTCACACATTTGTATAAATCAGAATCTGTAGAAGAACTTCTCAATGAATCTGAACATATATCCAAACGCCGAAAAGATGCTGTTGATATGTTAAAGGTAAATCCTGTAATTTTGAATGAAAAGGTATTAATAAATTATTAATTTGTTATATTTTCCATTATAGGCATTACAAAATGCAAATAATATTATAAGTGAAATTCGTGAGGTGCACGTTTGGTGAACATGAATTAATAGAATATTTACTGTAACAGTTTAGTTTTTATATAAATAATTATTTGTTTATTTTTAATTGTAGAGTAATTGGAAAATTGATACATTTAAATAAGTTTCTGTTGAGTATTTCCTTTGTGATCAATTTAAACAAATTTCAGTTCAAAATTCTTAAACTTTAGTTAAAGATATTTTATAGTAAAAATAAATATACATAGTGTTCAGTAAGTAAGGAAACAGGTCAGTTATTATAAACAATGAGAACAATAGAAACCTGTTCCTTACTTACTGAACAACCTGTATATTTACATTATTTTTAATTTAAGCCTGTTTTGAATTACTATATATCATTTGTATTTAAATTTTAAAATATGAATAAAAATTTTACTGTAACACAATAAAAAGTTAATGCACAAAATTATGTAGTTATAAAATTGTTTTGTTGAAATGTACATTGTTGTAAAAAATGATTTGACTTATTAATTAATATACCCTTATTGTTCTCATCCCAATGACATTTTATAAAAAATATAACTGTTGTAGAATTTACAAAAATGTGTGAAATTTTAGTATATGTAAATATTTTTAGTATTAATTATATAAAATGTTAATGGGTATTTTATAAACAATTTTTATGAATTAATAATCATAATCTTTGCTTTTAAATTTTCTAGATAATAAGAAGACAGTTTAAATTAACCAAGTAAGCTAGTATTTAAGCAAATATTAGATTACACATTTGTTACAAAATATGAGAAGATAAAGAAGTGTAAAAATCCTATATTTTGCTTTTATAACAGTTATTGTTTATTAAAGAAAAATATTAGGAAATATACGTATATTGAATGAATGATTTATTTATATATCTTTCAAAATAAAGTTTCTTGAATTTATTTTGATTATTTTTTAGTGTCATTAAATAAAATACATTGTATTTTACATTCATTATCATTATTTTATATTAAAAATTATTATTCATGAGTTTGTTAATTTTTCCACTTGACATGATATTTATATATTTAAGATAAGATATCTGTTACGGTGAGTTTTATGTAGTCACATTTAACTTTCAACCCAATAAGAGAAACTTGTTTTACACATATAAGTGGGGAAGTCGTTTTCTGATCGGTGATAGTCGTCGGCTTATCTACCAATTGTAACCGGTATATAGTCTAGTTGATTAGACACATCGGAGCCGTCATTAGCTGTCCCGCGACCTTTGCGGTGTTTTGGTGCGTATTTATACGGTGGATCTACCGTGCGTGTGATTATAATTATTAAGTCCACGTTGTTTCCGTCAAACGGTTGAAAGTGGTTGAATACACCAGTTCTCGTCCGATCACTGAAGTTGTGCCCAGGTCAGATTATCAAATTCAACGATACTTATAAATCTTATACCTGTATTCATTTTATTTCATTGTAATATTTAGTTGTTTATTAGTAATGTAAGTGCGGACGCCCAAACAACTTGATTATTAATTATATATTAATATTGTTGCTATAGACAAATCCTCTTTTTTTTTTTGGTTTCTATAATTAATAAAGTTATAGGACTTTCTGTTATTCATTCCCTTAGTCAGTCAAGCCAACCGAAAGCCTGTAGACGAACATAAATATATCTTAAAAATAAAATTCAATTTTAACTTTAAATAACGACTTGGAGCCTTGAGTATTACAATGTTATATATAAAGAATAACAATGTTTTATAAAGTTATAAACAGCATATTTTTAATAATTAGATAAAAGTAATTAATTATAATGCACTTATGAAAAGGTGGAATTAATAAATATAAAAATATATTTATAAGCATGGCTTTGAATTATATGCGTTTATAAATTTTGTTTAAGTCACTTTAAAAGATCCCAAGTTTGTGTAACTTTTTTGTAGAATTATCTAGCAACTCAGAAATAATTTTTGTTTTAGGAGGAATTAACCCCTCTAAATTTTCCTAAAACAAAATATTGAAAAAATATACATTACTAAATTTTCAAATCAATAAAAATTTGTACCGATTGATGGATGTGTTCAAATTAACTTAACAAAATGTAAAATTTATTTACATCTCTGCTTATAAACTAGGGCAGTGATACCTTATTCAGGGACAGATTACAGCTTACACATGTTAGCTGCATGCACTCCTAATTTTGTTCAATCTACAATAAAAAAAAAATTTTTTTATAAGGAGTGTATTCAGAAGAGAGCAAACGACATTTTTTAAGTACAAAATTGGTCACACTTGATTATTCTTCTAATTTTGAATTAAAAGTATCTTAATAAATACTTCACTTACGATTTTCTAAATATTTAGTGTAGCAGTAGTTTACTAAAGTTTTCTGATAACAAAGTTAATAATTTGTTTATTATCTCAAGCATTAAGAGTTTAAAATGACAAATTTTAATAAAGTATGAAATAACTTTACACTGATTCAGAGGAATTGACAAGAATAACTTCTTTAACTACTTTTGATAAATTAATTACGTACTAATATAATTTCTAAAAAAAATGTTATCACTTTATTTTCAAAATATATATATTTCATTAATTAGTAATATAAACATTTTAATACCTATACAAGTCTAATAATCTACTGATTGGACTTCATGTTTTAGAACTCCAAATTAATACATTGGTTCATACAAAAGTACAAAATGTTTAATACAACTAAGCAGTACAGTTTTAATAATCTAATTTCAATAAAAACAGAATGGTCTTGAAATATATTTAAAAAACTAGTTGACTAGAAACTTAAAAGTAGTTGTATAAAAAATCATAAAATGGAAAATTTACTTTATTGTGTTAAAAAAAAAAAAAAATGAAATATAGAAAAATTATAGCATGAACATGAAAAATCGTTTAAATGAATTATTAAATTATATAAAATACAAAGACTAGAATAGTTTAACTTAATGTTAAAATTAATGTGATACAAGATAGTATATTTTGTTAAAATATAAAAATAAAAACTGAAAGGATAATTAACTCAAATAATCAAATGAAAAATTATTCTTATATTTTGTACAGTAGAACATTATTAGAACTAAAGTATATATAACAATAATGTCACAAACCATTTTGCCAAGAGTATATAATATATTTTATACAGATGTAATTTTTTTATAGACTAAATTTAATAAAGTACTATAAAAATGAAATAAAATTAATTTTTCAGTAATAATATAAAAATATTTAATAATTAATTATTATTTTAAAATAAATTGAATATTATAAAATACTATTTCTTTAAAACTATTTTATGACATAAATTATATTTTGTATAGTAAAATGTATAAAAAATAATATTCACCCTTTAAATATTTGTATTTTTCATCAATTATTTATAAAAGTATTTAAGAAAAAATATTTTTATGTTAAAATGATAAAACCATCATTAAAAAATAGTTCTGTTAGTTAAACTAAATAGAAATGTACAGAGTAAGGATCCAAAATAATATTCAAAACTTAGATTTTTTATAATTATATAGATATTTTAAAAGTAAAAAATTAACAGTTTTTTTTTAAATATTTAATAACTAATAAGTACAGATTTGTATGTATTGACTTATTCATATCTGTAACAGTTGCAGCAGTTCATAAATCATTTCTTTTAAATAAAAAATAAAAATAATTTGATTAAAAACCAGTAAAATTATTTTTTTGTAATTAAAAATTAATGCCATATTAAAAGAAATTATTTATCAAAACTGTTTTAGTTATATGCTGAAGCCAATTTGTTATAATATAAACACTTACAATTTTTTACTAATACTTAAAAGCAAATAAAATAGTTTTAGTTCTTAATATTAACAATATCTTTATGTTGACTTGATATGAAGTTACAAATAAAAATAGGTAAAATTAAAAATAAATCCAAGAGGAACATACAAGTCTACTTAAATTTCTTCAATATTGTTAATAAGTATTAACAATAATTTAACAATTATTACAATCATTGTTGAATATCATTTTACTACACAAATAATTATATATTTTATTCAGTTTAAAAACAATAATTATAAAAAGAAGTATTAAAATTTTATTAAATGTTTTAATTTAACTAAAAAAATAGTTAAATATTTACAAAGAATATTAAACATAAGAATCAAAATAAATCTTAGATTATGATACTCAACACAAAAATAATTAACATTTTTAAGTAGAATTAATCTGAATTAAATTAACTCAAATTTAAAATAATGAAAAAAATTTAGCAAAACTAACATTTGTTTTAAAAAAAAACAAAATTAATAAATAGCTCAGCCTTTTCCTACATTCTGTGTAATACATAGTACTAACAAAAATGTTTAATTGAAATAAACACTCCATAGATATTATGGTGAGTTTGGCAATATAAACATCAATACTATTTTTTGGATTTTATTAAATATAATTTTAAATAGTATAAAAATAAACATCAAACTATTAATAACTCACTTTGGAACAAAAATATATTTACAATGGTGTTTCTTTTCGCCATTTAAAACTATCAGTAGGTAAATGAGGAGTTTTATTTCTTCGGCCAGCAGCTAATTCTAGACCACTTCGAATGGCTGGCATTATTCTTAATGCTGGATTGGTTACAATACCATTTCTTTTTGGCTTATTACTTCCAGAATTTTTAATATTTTGATTACTAATATACATATAATAAAAAATATTAAGGTTTAAAAATTTAATTATAGTACATCAATTTTTTGAAAATAAATTTATGTAGGTTAAGGACTTAACTATAATTATAATATAATAGCTTTTATATAATAAAATTTATTATATATAATAGTAACCAATTAATATTAAATATTAAAATTAAATTAATAAAGTTATTATTGATACCAATGTGCATATCAAAATTAAAAAGTAGCAATCAAATATCAAAATTGGTTAATGTTAATGAAGAGTTACACTGCACATTTAATATATTAAGCTATGTATTATTTTGGCATAAATTGTTCATAGTGTTTGTAAGATATGATGACTAACTTATCTTATAGCTGATATAGCTACAGTTCTATAATAATAATTGATTACTATTGGCTAATATTATTCAAAATTAAAATGAATATTTTTAATATATAATTTTAATTATAAAGCTACAATTGGCAAAAACCATAATATATTGTTGAACAATTAGGTATTTTGATAATTAAATTTGAAAGTGTTACAAGAAAGTAAATTTTAGTTAAAATTCAAATAATTTAAATTACAAAATAAACATTAATACATTTTTTTTTAATAAAATAATAAACATTTCCATCCAAAAAGAGTGAGGTTGATAGCTTTTTATGGTATAAAGGGATGGACTTAAAATTATTTAATAAATAAATGAAGAAATACATTTTTAAAAAATCTGAAAATCACTCTTATTTAAAAAAAATTTAGTTGTTAATGATAAATCTATCACTCTATTGTTAAATTATATAAATTATTCATACTTTGAATTGGATGTATTTTTTTTTGATGCTGCATTGTTTCCCAAAATTATTCGCATATGAGTATCTCTTGAGAAATGATCATCAGTTAATACTATAAAAGTGAATTCAAAGAATTTAAAACCATAGCACAATGAAAAAGAATATAATGTATAATACAAATTATTACCCTGAAGATTTGGAGCTGAAGCTTCTTCTGTGCTTGGACTGTGTGGAGGGGTGGCATATATTGGACTTTGCAATGGACTTAACACTTTAGATGTTGGCCTTGATTTAATTCCTCGACTACACTGTTGTAGTTTTTGGGTAAATGTTAATGGAGTCAACTATGAAAAAGTATTCAAGGTTCAAATTAAACATTCAAAAATACTTCACACCTTTTGATTTATTTACTTGAACTGGAAGATCTTGGTGGGAACTTTTTGTACTCCCTGTTAAATTAGAACTAGACTTGCTATAATTTGATACAAATGAAGTTCTTTTAGCTGTCGAATCAGGTGATTCTACAGGTGATAATTCACACAAAGGAACAGTAGTAGTACATGTCAATAATGGGTTGACTAATATAGCAGAGGATGGTTTAGTTTCTGTTGTTGATGCAGACTCACAAGATGTATTAGCTGTATTAAATCCATTATCTAATTTTCATTAAACAATATAGCTAAATTCTAATAAAAACAATTTTAATTTAAAAACATACTTTCATTTATAACAGGGTAAAATTGTTCTAGTAATTTAACAATATTAACATGACCACTTTTAGCAGCTATCTTGATAGCATTTCGTCCACAGTGGTCTGCAATTAATGGATTTGCACCTTGCATTAATAACAAACGAACACACGTTTCATTTCCTTCTTGAGATGCTATACCTAATAGTACAAAAACAATTAAAAACCATTAATAGGATTGTGCCTAAGTTTTAAAATTCTAACTTCCATTTTTTTAAAATGTATTATTTCTTTATGAGGGGTAAGAACAGATCCAGAAGACATTTTTTGGGATGGGAACTACCATTTCAATATTTTTAAGAGTAGGACACTTACTTTTATTAAAAAAGAGTCTTTACATAATTTTTAAATTATACACAGTAGTAGTTACTCAACTTATAACTTTAATTCAAAATTAGTTTTTGTAAAATTGAACAAATAAAGAATCTTATTTAAGATTAAACAAAAATGTACACACCTAATGCAGTTGCTCCTTGATTACAAGCGTGATCTATACTAGCTCCTTGTTCAAGTAACAATCTAACAATATTTGAATGCCCTTGCCATGCAGCTAAATGTAAAGGTGTTCTTTTTTCATTATCCGTTGCATTTAAATTAGCTTTTCCAAAAGTTAGCAATAATGAAACCATTTCAAAATGTCCTTGCCAACAACTTACATGTAGAGCAGTTCGACCCTAAATAATTGAAATATTAACTATAGTACATAGTTGTTTATTAATGTTATAGGCATGTATTAATAGTAAGTGGACAGTTATATGAAAATTTAATTTTATTGAGTTCCTATAAAAATAAGTAATTTGATAGATGAAATTTAAAATGAAAAATTATTTTTGGTTTGCTGAGGAAAATCTTTAAAATGATTGATGAAAATAAAATTGTCAAGTAAATTTTACTATCTAATAAATTTGAAAGATAAGTGTTGTTAGAATTTATTTTACTGTTAATGAGACTATTAATATTCTAGGCTATGGAAATAAAATATTATCATGGGAATATTTAGCTTGTGTCGTAACACAATAAAAGAAAATTCAACAAGTGTAAAAGTAATTGTGATGCGAAGATGAATATGAGGATGTGGTGCCTGCTGTCTAGGTATTCACGTGCGCGTTGTCGTACAGCAGTTACCGTGCTCGGCTGACACTCCGGGTTAGCTGTGGGTGTCGAAAGGCTGTTGTTATAGGAAGGGAATAAGGGTAACACCTAGGTATGAGGTGCAGACGAAGTGCAAGACACTAATACTGGGCGTACCAGATAAGGAGTATAATAAAGTACGAGGTGCAGACGAAGTGCAAGACACAAGTACTCTGAAATGTTGTGGAAGAGAGTTGATAGATTTTAAAAAGGAATAAATAAAGACTTTAAGCAGTAAGCCGGACAGCGACAACCGAGTACTGAGACTGATGAATGACACAAGGCACTGGAGTCGACTGAACACGATGGTCAGGTCTTTTGGGTTTTTATAATAATTAGATCTATTGCTAAATTGGCAATAAATATTATTTGTTAATTCATCAGTCTCAGGCAGCGGATGTGCTGTCTGTATTTTATTAAAATAATTCTCACAATATTGGTAACGTGACACCATCACACTTGTAAGAAACAATAAAGAAATTGACATTGAATATATATTCAATTGCTTGATAATAAGAAATCTTATGAGGAACCTATGCCACAAAATTAAACTTTACATCAGAATGAACTATAGTAGTTTTATAACTTATTCAAGTATCAATTCAAAACATATTCTTAAATAAATCCAAGAATTTTAAATAACTTACAAAACAAATTTTTTTGATATAATAACTCAGAGTAGGCAAAAATATAAATCCGAGATACTTCATAGATTTATTTATTGAAATAAATAAAAGGCCACTTATTTATAATAAGAAAAATTAGCAAGTAAAAAATAGGAAACATTTAAGAAAAGATCAAGAGTATTCAAGAATACTTAAAGGTTTAAATCACTTAGTAGAATGGAAATATCATGAGAATAGTTTTTTGTCTTAAATTTTTTAATGTCTTTAATGAAAATAAGGTTTTAAGTACGTTGTAGTACACTACTAGCAATATTGATAAGAATAAAAAATAAAAAAAGATAGAGAATAGTTCTTAGAGGGACACCACAGGAGGAAGTAATAACATTAGACACAATACCATGCAATTTAATCCATTTATTCAGATGGTCAGATTAGCCAAGAAAGAAGTAGAATTCCAATAATAGCATTTAAAAGAAAACAACCACAAATTTTAAAATGATTTCAAATCAATAAAAATAAAAATTTTTAATGATCAGATTTTTATTAAAAAGTTGATTACATTATTTAGGAAGTGTTGATTGAAAGAGTTCATAATAAGTAGGTTGTCCAGTAATAAGATCCATTAATAAGGCACAAAAATATACTGAATAATGAAAAATTAATTTATTACTTTAAAACTTTCAATATGATAAATAAGATATATTTTACTATTTTTCTACATAGTCATTGATGCATTTTTCCTAATGATGAAGTATCTTGAAAATGCCATTTCAGAAATATGTAGCACATTTTTGATTGAAGTGCTCAGTAACTGCGTTTATGACTTCATTTTGAAATGAGTTCCTCTTACATGTTTTTTTAATGGACCGAACAAAAAAAAATCTGTAGGTGCCAGATTAGGATTATATGGTGGATGTTGCAATACTTCCTACATGTATTTTTTCAGCCAGCATTGATTTTTCCTGCTGAATGTAGGGTTGCATTATCATGAGGAGTTTTAGATTTCCTTAACATAATTGCTATCTTCTCTTGTAACAAATATTTTCTATAAATTTTTTTTAAATTAAAATTGGTCAGCATTTACTGTTTCATTTTTTGATAAAAGTAAATAAGTAAAATTCCCCATTCATCCCTAAAAACAGTAGCCATCACTTTTTTTTGTGAAAATTACCTGTTTGAATTTTTTTAATTCTGGAGAATTGGGATACTTCCGGGTCATTGAGTCTTGATTGTTCTAAGGAGTAGATTAATAAACCCATGTCTTATCTCCTGTAATGAGGTGCTAAAGAAATTTTTCATCAAACAAGCACGTTTCAAATTTTTAAGGGATATTCGCAAGTATTTAGTCTTGTGTTCTGGTGTAAGCATTTTTGGAATCCAACGTACACAAAACTAATGAAAATTTAATTTCTCATGGACTATTTCATATACAGTTGGAAAGATCTATCTTATCACAGATCTATCAGTCTTTGGAAGATCAAGTTGTGTAGTCCATTTTTTAATTTTGAGTTGTCTATCCAATCATAACAATTATTCAATCGCCTCAATAGTTTTGGTGATATGGAAGTGCTTATTTGTCAACCACTTCTTACCTCATTTTCAATACTTTTTAGACACAAATTAAATTTTATACACCAAACCAATACACTTTTTAAAGACATTATGTACAGGCCATAAAGTTTAGTTAATTTTCTATGAATTTCAGTTGGAGAAATATTTTGAAAATTAAAAAAATTTACGGGGCAAATTTTTTTGTGCAATTTAAATATTGATTTTCAATGTTTATAGTTATATAACAGATGGAACACTTAATTATAAGTCATGATGCATAGAATGTGTTCTTTGTTATATATATTATCAATTCTAGAAATTACTGGCCAATATTTTTGGCCTATTGTTTATACAAAAAATAACTTTGTATCTTATTTGTTGGACAACCTACATAAAAGAATGGAAACCCTAGTTTCTAGTAATTGTGGTACAGTTAGGATTACAAAAAACTATTTAAAAATGGTTAAAAATAACAAAATACTCATGATGCACAATTTTCAACTTTAGAATAGTAAATAAAATTGATTAATTAATAATTTTTAAAGTATAAGGAAAGATATTAACATTAGGTCATATATTAAATAATTTATACATAAGCATACCTCAGAATCTGTGCTTTCTATGTCTGCTCTGCCAGGATTAATAAAAAATTTAGCCATCACTAAATGATTTTCTAAAGCAAGAACATATAAAGTACTTCGCCCGTCAGCATCTTTTTTATTTACATCAGCACCATATTCTAAAAGATTTCTAACTACTTCAATATGACCTTCTAATGCAGCCAATCTGATTTGTTAACATATTTGAAGACATTTTAATAAACTTAATTGTTTGATTATTATTTTGAGTAAGTATAGTGACACTACAAAGTTACCTGATTGCAGTTCTTCCATCATGAGCTTTTTGCTCTGGTGGAGCTCCATAGACTTTTAAAAACTCATTCACGAGTAATGAATGTCCTTCTTCTGATGCTAACATTAATGGCGTTTTTCCATCATTGTCTGTTTGATCAATTTTAGCTCCACTTTCCAATAATGTTTTACAAACTACTTGATGACCTTCAAAAGCAGCATAGTGTAATGGAGTCCAACCAGAATTGTCTCTATGTTGTTCATCCAGCCCTGATAAAGAAATAGCATGATTAAGGTTATCCAATACATAGAATGTTCAGTAAATAAGAAAAAGGTTTTTATTGTTCTTGTTATTTGTAACAACTGACCTGTTTCCTTACTTACTGAACAGCATGTATAATCATCTATCTATCCACTAATATATTACTTGACTGGACTTATTACTATTTACCTATTGATTATAAAAGAGCATAGACTAAGACAAATAATAATTAATATAAAGGAAATATAAGGAAAAATAAGGAAAAATAGAGAATTATGTAAGATTCACACTAATGCACTCCTAGATTTTATGAGAAAATAAAAGGCTGTGAAACTTAAAAAACAAACTTCTCGAAGAATCATGATTTTAATAAATTAAACTTTTAGGTAGAATAAATTTCCTAAAATTACTAATTATTTTCATTAAAATCTTAGTCAATATGACTAGATTGAATATCTCACTGATATATATATATATATAAAAAAAATGAATTGACAGCTCTGCTAAGTACATGCTGTCTCAATATATATAGTTACGAGGTTTTGATTTCATAGGCTTGTAGAATTTTTGTATTCTTTAAGAGCATAGCTTTTAAGATACGATGTTAAACATAAATATAATAATAATAATCATCCAAATACCACTAATTGTTTATTTAAATCAAAATAACTACTTTAATGGTAGTTATATCTATATATGAATAAATATTTCTTAGGTCATACAATCTGTATGTTATATCTTTATAATTTTTCAGGTAAATTCTCAAATGAAATATAAAAACAGAATAAAAAAAAAAAATTCTAGCTACATTAAAATAAAATAATTGGGTACAAATTTAAAAATGAAAGTTGCAGCATTTATATAAGTACAATTTATGTTGAAAAGTTTATTTTTACAAAAAATGAGTATTGAGATAATGTAAATACAATGAAAAAAAATCCCCATTTAAATGAAAAATCACATTAGGGAAATTTATAGTACTATGAATTAATAAAACACTGTNAAAATCACATTAGGGAAATTTATAGTACTATGAATTAATAAAACACTGTAAAGCATGGTTTTACCTAATAGCTTTATTAATACCTTATACAATTTTAATAACAAGAAAAAAATAATTCTATCCCCTCTTTTCTTTCCCATTAAAATTGTATCAACTTATAATTTTTAATTTATAAACACGTGTTTAACTGGCTTAAAAGTAAAAAAATAAATATAGTTTAAAAAACTAAAAAAACACGCTTTTAAAGTACATCGAACTAAAAAGTTAAAAATAATTTTTAAAATAATTATGAACAAAAAATACTAGTATTATTGTGATAAAAGCGTGGGTGCTTTGTGCCATATTTTTCGTATATTGAGCGCCCGACGCTTTTATCACAATAATACTAGTATTTTTTGTTCATAATTATTTTAAAAATTATTTTTAACTTTTTAGTTCGATGTACTTTAAAAGCGTGTTTTTTTAGTTTTTTAAACTATATTTATTTTTTACTTTTTAGTTTCATGTTATGATAGTAGTTACTATCAATATCATGGTTGTTACGGGTAACGGGAAATCAGGGTTCGATTCTGGGGAGGGAGTCTGAGAAACGGCTACCACATCCAAGGAAAGCAGCAGGCGCGTAAATTACTCACTCCCGGAACGTGGAGGTAGTGACGAAAAATGACGATACGGAAATCATCCCTCGTAATCGGAATGAATACTTTATATCTCTTAATTAGAATAAATCGTGTTAATATATTAATTTTAATAGTAATTAGAATATATATATTTATACAAATAATGCGACTTAACTACGTAAAAGTATCATGCACTAAGTATAGCTGTGTTTTATGGCCGGGCGGGTCGGACTAACGTTATACCCGAGGTATAAACGGCGGTAGGAATATATATATATATACGTAAGGCGCATTAGACGCGGGCGTTATTGGTCAGTCAAAATAAAAATTTGTTTACATATATATAATATTGATGACAAGCACGCGTGTACGGGTACGATAACTAAAAATAAATTTTTATAGGAATAGTGTACCGTCGTATTGTGAGCGAGGCGTGGGGAGGGGTGAATGCGTATAACAGTCTAGTCTAGACAACGGAATATGCGATAACGCGTGGCGTTTGGAGAGTTACAAACTTACAAACAAACAACAAACAACAAACAACAACAAACATACACGTGAAACTAATAAAAGCGTGTTAAAAAAATGATCTAACTATGAAAATAATTTATAGATAACTACTTTTGGACCATTATTTAAAATCAGGTATTTTTACATCAATCTGGAGAAAAAAAATGGTTCAGAAATGTCTAGTGATTAAAATATCAGACCTTCCACCCTTTTCTATTAAGTATAATATAATATAATATTAAGTATAAATAACATCTGTAATATTGATTCAAAAAATGTTATTGACCACTTATTTTCTTAGAACACTTTTTTAATTTTAGACCACTTAAACACTGTTTCCATCTAAAAATAACTGTCTTCTGTAATACCTCTGTCCAATAATTGAGATACAACAATATTATTTCCCTGAGCTGCAGAAACGCTTAGAACTGTACGTCCTTCATTGTCAATACTATCAACATAACATCCCCAAAATAATAACAATGAGACACAATCAGGGTGACCCATTGATGCTGCAGCCCACAAGGGAGTTCTCCCTAGCTTGTCACAATGGTCGACATCAGCTTCAGATTCTAATAATATTTCACATACATCTCTGAAAATTAAGATCTAAATATGCTATCACATAATCATGAATACAATAGAAATATATTAACTAACTTATGCCCTTCAAATGCTGCTACAAGTAATGGTGTCATTCCATCTTTATCTTCATGATCAACAAATGCTCCTGAATCCAATAATATGGTTACAACTTTTGCATAACCTTCATTTGTAGGTGCACATAGAGCAGCAACACTTAAAGCAGTCCGACCATCATTATCTTGATGATTAATATTTGCTCCATTATCTAATAGTCTAGTTACAATATGTGCATGACCCATATATGCAGCTGCAATTAATGGAGTTCTACCATCACCATCTTTTGTGTTAGGATTTGCACCAGCTTCAAGTAATTTTGCAACAATATCATCATGTCCACCCCAAGCAGCAGCTCGTAGTGCACCACGTCCTTCACTGTCATAACATTCAACATTTGCTCCATGTTTTAACAATATTTCAAGGACCTTAGAAAATAATACAAGTAGAAGTTATTAAAAAGAAAAAATGTTAACTACTAAAACAATTAATTACCTGAGAATGACCTCCCCAAGCAGCTGCTCTTAATGCTGTCCATCCTTCAAAATCTGTATGATCAACTTTGCATTTGTGTTCTAAAAGAAGCTAAAAAATAATTTTATTTTAATTTAGTATAAGACTCTAAAAACTTTTGAAATAAATTTACCTCTACTATATCCAGATACCCTTGGCGTGCAGCTATATTTAATGGTGTTTGTCCATTATTATCACAAACTTCTAAATCAACATTAGAATGTTTATTTAAAAGTTTCAAAAGAACACTTGAATTTCCATCCATTGCAAGTAAATGTAACATATTTCTTCCATTAGCATCTATTTCATTAAAATTAGATATTTTATCACTAACAAGTATACTAGGTTCTTCTGTAGATAATGTTTTTTCATCAATATTATCATGCTAAAATATAAATAATTAAGTAATAATTTCTCAAATAGATTTAATAAATAAATTCATGTTTACTAGGAGAGGTTTTAATTCATTCTTCGATACTAAATTATGAGCTTCTTGTAGAAAATTAACAGACTTTATATCATAACATGGAACTGTTAGACTATCTGAGATTTGAGCTCCACTATCAATTAACCATAATAATGGAAGTAGATTTGGATCGGAAAAATTTGCCCAAGCAGATAATGGGTTTATTCTAGATAAATGATATGCTAAAATATGAATATCTTCATACTTTAATGGTGATTTATTACTAAAAAAGTAACAAATTAACAATGAATCTTAAATAAAATGTTTTAATAATAAAAATGGTAATAACCATACCTTATTGTATTGTGAATAGCTATCATAGCATGACCTTCATTAGCAGAACATAAAAATCTTCTAGTACAATGTTTAACATCTAAAAACCATTCACCAAAACTATGATGAAACTGAATAAATTTTGATTCTCTTGATATTGAAAAAATTCTTCTTAATAAATTAAAACGTTTTCGAAATTCTTCAACAGACATAGAGCGATAAACTGAATACATAACACTACCCAATTCTTCTTCTGACATGGGTTTTTGAGATGATAAAACCACATTTAAAAGAGGGCGAACCTTAAAAAAATATTTTACAATGTTAATAAATTATATATAAACAATATAAAAATAATTTCTCATATACTTTTGAAAAATGTTTTGAATTTAAAAGTCTTTGGCAAAACCATAAATACAACCCATTAAGTGTACCAGGAATATCTTTGATTTCTCTTAATACAACACATCCGTCAGAAATACCATCTAAAACTTTTTCCAAGTATAGAAAACATCCATTACTTTTGATATGCAATTGATTTAACATATCTGCTGTATCTCTACTCATATGTTGTCTTAATGATTCTTCTGATTCTAAACGGCTTAAGATGTATTGTTGTACATCTGCAACAACCTATGAATAATTTATATGATATAAATTAAAAGCTATATTTTAATCATATTTTTTATATTTAAGTTGACTAAAACTCGATAATCTGGGCATACATTTAAACTCAAACTAAACTGGAGTATGCACATGATGGAAATAAAACAAAAAAGAAATAATATGTATTGGTTAATTGATTGGAGATTACAACTATCAATAGAAATACAAGATAACTTTATGTAGCTATTTTTAAACCAATATGGACCTATAGTATACAATTATGAAGCGGTGCTAGCAAGTTTTGGATTGATAAAATTCAAACTATGCAAAATATTACTATTACCAATGTGTACATGTAAAAAACAAATGACCATATTCACAAGGATATGATGATATCAACCGTCAGAGAAGAAATTAAACGGTATGCAAAGGCACATGAAAATTGTTTGAAAACTCATATCAACAAAGCTGCAGTTCAACTCATTGATCATTCTCAAGATGTCAGGAGATTGAAACGGACTAAAACCATATGACTAATTGTAAATATACATTGATAAATGTAAATTATAGAAGTATATAAATTCAGACACCTTTCTTTGAAAGATTCCCTTTAACATTTTGTATATCTTAACTATGCATTTTATGTAATTTTAGATGTTAACATTAGTAAGTTATTTTAATTAAAACCAATTAAGATCATCTCAAAAAAATAAATACTTGAAAAAATAAAATAAAGTTGAATAAACAAAACATTTTTATTAATTTCCTTAGTACTGTAGTAAGCATAATATAGTAATGGAATTTTCTTAATAAAGTTAGTATTAATGGTTAAGAAACCTCCTCCTATGGAGAGATCACTATGACTCTTAAGGAACTTTAAAAAGCGAAAAAAATTAATTCAACATACTTGTGATTTACGTAGATCATCAATACTAATTTTTCGAAAACCCGAAAACATACGGGAAATATTTTTATTTTGTCGGCGTGTAGTACAAATGAGCATCAACCATTGAGGAAATAAATGATGATGTGATGCTAAGAGTTCTGTTATAGTATTACTAATACTACTTTTTAACTGTAAATCAGATCTTTCATTCATGCACAACCCCTCATCTATTGAATCAATTAATAGAAACATTGTGTGTTTTGGTAACTCAAGTTCAAGTAAAGGAAAAATTATGGCTTTTTTAAATGTGTCATCAGCATCTTTTACCATGTTGATGGGTAATAATGCTTCTTGTATGATTAGATCATTTTTTAGTCTTTCTTTATAAGATTTAGGCAATGAATTTGAAAGTTGAGATACTAAGCTTTGAATAAAGTGTGTTACAGATAATGTGTTTACATCTTGAGCTTGACAAAAATGATAAGCTAAAAGTCTTTTATTTAAAGTCTTTTGTTGTCGACTGGAAGGCCAAACTATTTCACAGCATATTGCTGTCTTTCCACAACCAGCACCTCCAACTAAAAGTGCACCACATGTTTTCCAAGTATTTCTCTGATCAAAACAATGCAATAATTTTTGAAACACCCATTCTCTGCAGTAAAATCGTTTATGGGCTAAATCACAGGATGTCATTTTGTATTATTCAATTAATAATTACATAATTGTGTTTTCTTTTTATAAATTTAATTCAGTTTCAAGGAGCTTGTTAGCTTAGATATGTAAGTAATCTACATAACCTGAAATCAGAAATAAATATATAAGTATTTATATAAAAACAATATGAAAAGAGCTAAGTCATTTTTTAAAATAACTTTTTATTTAAAAAATTAAAAATCAAGTAAAACAAAAAAATGTCAAATGAAATTATTTTATTAAAATGATCAAAATGATCAAATATGTAATAAAGAAAAGGTGCAACACCAATATTACATTTACTAATAGTAGAGTTTAAACAAAAATATTTTAACTATTACAGTTGTTTAAACTTATTTAACAAGGTAATAAAGAAATTTGTTTTTAAATGTGTTCAAATATGTATCACATATAAATCTTAACATATGTTTATAAACAAAAAAGTTATAAATAAATAAAAAATATATACACAAATATAATGACTATATTCAATAGTTTTTATGATTGTCCTTAGAATGCATTCATAATAAATTAAGACCAAATTGAATTGTTTGAGAGTTGTAGAGAATATTTTCAAATCCAACCCATAGAAAATAATTAGTACATATTTACATAATTCATTATATAAAAATTATAGTTCAAAAAAACTAAAAAAACATGCTTTTAAAGCACATTGAACTAAAAAGTTAAAAATAATTTTTTAAAACAATACTAATATATTTAGTTCATTATTGTTTTAAGTTTATTTTAAATATTATTTTTAACTTTATTGTCCAATGTGTCTTAAAAGCGTGTTTTTTAAACTTTATTTTTTATATAATCAATTATGTAAATTAGTTTCATATGCTGTGAAATCAAGTTTTTTAATTTTTTTAAACTACATTTTTTTTATATAAATAGCTACAGTACGTATGTATGTTTTTGTTTAAACAACATTGTAAATAGGAGGATTAACGAAAACCCAGTTCGATTTAAGGCTCCAATTCCAAAAATTACTGAAAAAAACAAATATTTATTTATGGCCGTGAACGGGATTAGAACCCATAACCGGTGAATTCAGCACCCACGTTTTAGCCTGCTTGGCCAACAAACGCATTTAAAGTAATGGGATACACTAACAGTAATAAGCGACTTGTTCTTAGTCCAAAGGAGAGTTACAAACAAACATACAGGTGAAGCTAATAAAAGCGTGTTAAAAACCATAAAATTGAGGCTAATTAAAAAAAAAATGATAAATAGAGCACAAAATATAAAATAATTAAGTAAAAAATAAAAAATAAACAAACAATTTTAATATTATAAGATACTAAAAATTGTAGGATAAAAAATTCTGAATTTTTATAAATTAGTTATCAAATAATTTAACTGCAAAATAATTTTTTGTTATAATTCATTATAGAACATAAAATCACAAAAAATAAATTACTAGGGATTTTGTCATCATATAGATAAACACGTTCCACAACTTCCTGGATGGAAAAGTGTTATCAATGTAATTTTTTATGATTACTATATTATATTTGTTTTAATACATGTATCTCAATAATAACAAGCATATAACAATGTAAGTGGTTGTGTAAATAAAAATAAATTCAAGTTAATTAAAAAAATTGAAAATGTGACCATAAAAACTATAAATTTTGTTTAGTAATTTTTAAACAAGACACATATCATATAACATAAGTATATAGAAAATTAATTTGAAATATTATGATTCTGATTTAAAAAAAAAAAATTTATACTTCTAATTAAACACATACAATATTAAGAAAAAAAACGAGCAAATGAAATTAAATTAAAATCTATCCAAATTTAAGTTATGAATTAATAAAAATAGATAACAATAGTATTAAAGATATAGACTATGTGTCAATGTCATTTATTCTATTAATTCCATTTTACTCCTCAATTTATAAAATATTCAAGCAGTTATATTTTAATATAAGTAATTGCAAAAATAATAGAATTGTATAAGTGTAATAAGAAGTAGGGAAAGTTTGAGTGAAGAATAAAAACATAAATTAAGGAAATAAACACAAGGATATTTATTATAGTTACTTATACATTTTGAATAATGGAGACATGAAGATGGTATTTATGAATTTAATTTCATATATATTAATATAAAATTGACATAAAAAAATAAAGTAAAACCTATACTTTTATACTAAAAAAAAATAAAGAGCAAAAATTTTAGTAATTTTTTTTTTAGAGTTATAAGTTAAATATTTTTAAGTTTTAAACTAATAATATTTTTAATAATTTTAATTTTAAATAATATTAGCCACAAATGATTAATTTTTATTATTTATCTGATATTTATTTCATTTTTTTTTAAATAAATTAAAATGGAAGCATTAATAATATTTGAAAAATAACTTACCTTTGGCAATATAATTTTTTAAATAGATTTGAATATAAGATAATCGGTATCATAGTTTAATATAATGGTTTTAATTTGTTTGTCATATTTTAGGTGTGAACTAGAATAATATTGGTCTGAATTTAGTTATCAATATAAAACTTACGTTTTAGTATCGTTCAAGTAAACAAAATAAAACAAATAAATATTTAAGTGAACGAATTAATAAACTATTGTTCAACGACGTACTCCTTTATCCGACGCTAGAGAATAGATTACACTGAGACAGAAATCGTGGTGTAACATAATGGTATAGTCGCCGGCCGGTAAGGTATATTCATAATTTAATTCAATTTTATAAATATGGAATGTAAATTACTACAATTTAAAAATATTGTGACGTCATATTATAGTTTTATCTCTACTCATTGGTTATTTACTTAAATTGATTATTTTTTCATTTATTGAGTTTTATTATTACTTATGACATTACCATGGTTTCAACCATGATTATGGTTGAATTAAGAAATCAAATCATTTTACTATACTGTGATTCTTTTTGTACTATAGAGTATGGCTCCATATTCTATGTACTCAACTCCTAAACTGGAGGGGCTAATATTCAAGATGAGTAGGTCAATTAAAAAACTGAGACGCCATTTTTACATTAATATTGTTACTTTTCTTATTTTGGTTCAATTTGACTTAGTTTCGTTTTAGTTAAATTAATTAACATACATCCTTTTGACAACAAATCAATTTATTGTTGTATTGTACTTATTTTAATTAGTTTTGTGTAGTTACTGTTATGTGAGCGAAATCAATGCATTTATCCAACCTTAAACTGGTCGTTGTTTTGCAGTTTTATTTTTAATGCAATCAATATAGTGGTTACTTTATATTATATTTTAATGATACATCAGATTAAAGTTGATTCTAAAATTGATTGTAAAGTAATATGGAGGAAATCGATAGCATTATATTTTTCTCTCTTAAAGGAATTGGATGGTATGTGTTTTTTGTAGTTATTTAATAGGCAATTAGCAAAATTTTTTTTGTATTTGTTTTTCCCTTTTTTTAATGCAACTTGAATTTAATCTTTTAAAAAAAATATTAAACTTTTCTATTATACTTATTGTTTGTATTTTGAATAGGTAATACGTTCAGGATTATTAAAAAAATGAATTATAAGTTATTAAATATTTCTGTTTATTAAAAAAAATAATCACTCGAGTACTTTAGATTTGTTATCTTAGTTGTAATTTATGCGTGAACACTCAATTTTAATTGAAATATTTTACAGTAATTTCTCAGAAAATGAAACTTCTCTGTCCAATTTATCTCAAGAAACGTTTATTAAAGCAGTAATAATGTGTTTACGAAAAATTCAACCAACACTTAAATTATCAAATACTATACCTAGATCTATGTCAGCTAGATATCAGTTTGGTATTACTGTTGCCGAAGCTTGTAAAGTAAGTTATAATATTATAAAATATAAATATAACATAAATCAATATAGTTTTTAATGATGTTGACACTTTCATGGAATATTAATAAATTGAAGATTTTTTGAATCACAATATTATAAAATATATTTTTTTCTGTGCTTTTATTGGCTCATTTAAGAGCCATAGTAGCCTCTTCCAAAAGTTTTCTTAACCAGTTATACTTCAGAATGGGTGGTTAGTCCATCGCTGGAGAGAGGGGGATGGCGACTCCAACTGTCAAACAGTTCATTCTGCAAATGAAGTCGCCTGTTACCGAGTTTTGAACCCGATACAGTGTGCACTAAGCACTGCCGCGTTACCGACTGGGCTACACCATCTTAATTATAAAATATATGTACATTAAAATTTCTTTTCAACAGAAAATTTATTGGTTCCTGGTTCTTTTAATAGTTTAAAATTAACCTCTATTAAATAGACACCTCTTTCTAATCAAAAAAAAAGGTTGATACATAAAATTTCAGCTGAGGTAAAGTTTCATGGCTTAAATGTATTTTATAACCCCTTTCATAAATTTCAAATTTTTTTTTTTTTAATTGATTTGTTTTTCTCTACTGATTATAAATATATCTTTTTTCATTTCATTTCAAGTTTTCAAAGTTAACTATTTAATCATTTTTATATCACATTTCTATTCTGAATTACAGTATATATTATGGTAGTTAAAAGTTGTACTAACTTAATTTACACTTAAATAGTAATTATTTAAACATCTATAATATTCACATCAGTTAAATAATGATATTTTTAATTTGTGAAGTGCTTAAATCCGTAGGTTATTAGTTAATGTAGTATACTATCGAGCTCCTTAAAAAGAGATTGACTCTCGAATGTACTTTATCCTTGACACAAATAGTTTATAATTATTAAGTTAATAAACCTATTATTATGTGAAATATTCATAATCTAGGTGTATTGATAAATATGATGTCAAAAATAGTTTGATGACATCAGTAGTAAACTATTAATCAATGATATGTTTGAAGTGAAATTTAACAATCATCCAAATCATGGTCTTTTATTTTTAGTCCTAAATTGCAGTCCAACAAGAGTATTGTCAAACTAGAATATTTATCACTTTAAATTTAACATATGTTTGTTTTATTTATTTTCGTGCACTCTATAAGCATTTAAAAAAGCTTTATTTGTTCCAGACAATATATATAATTTTGCCTTGTTAAATGCAGCTTCAATAGTCAACTCCAATAAATAATGTCTGCATGCAAAATAAATTATATCTCAAAATAATACTTGCGCTAAAAGTGTCAAAATACCATTCAGTCTATTGAAGCAGTAGTATTAAAAACAAAATCTTGTAACTTTGTCAAGTTACAAACTTCTAAACTTACAAACTAAATGAATTTGACAAACACTATGTATTAATTGGTTTGTAATAATTACTTAAAGACTTTCAACTTTTTCTTAGATATGGTTTCATATCAACTCTTAATAAACAATCTGGGCAATTTTGTTTTCTCTAATTATGTAAAAACTCTTTATCTATCTCAATTTTCATAATTTTAAATGTATTTGTATGTGCTCTATCAAATATGTTGTTTAAAATAACCTATTGACGAGGATGTATAACACAGAATTAAGTGTGAGTGGTTGATGTGGAGAGAATCGTTTGGCGTCTTATGCGATAAAAGAATTCCAATGAGGCTGAAAGGTAAATTCTACAAGAATGTAATAAGGTCAGCTATGATGTATGGTTCAGAGTGTTAGGCGATTGATAAGAAAGTAGAGCAGAGATAAGAATGCTTAGATGGATGAGTGGAGTGACTAGAAAAGATAGAATAAGGAACTAGCATATAAGAGGGAGTATAGGTGGGTGTAGCGTCAATTGTGGATAAGATGAGAGAAAATAGACTTGGATGGTTTGGTCATGTTATGAGAAGAGAAGAATCGAAAGCTGTAAGAACAGTTATAGAAATGAATGTTGAAGGAAGAAGAGGTAGAGAAAGACCAAACAAGAGATGTAGGGATGCTATTGAACGCGATATGAGGACAGCTGATGTGAGTGTAGATGATATGGAAGATCATGTCAAGTGGTAAGGGTGGCTGACCCCAAGTAGTTGGGATTAAGGCAAGGAAGAAGAACAAGAAGATTAAATATGTTGTTTAATTTTTGTTCACTTTAACCTTTAATATGTAAATAATTATACATCAATTAAACAAAGCTTCTCTTTACACAATTAGAGATTATATTTATGCTAAATCTAATTTAATTATAAATTGTAATAGCCAATAACATAATAGTGACTTTAAAGTTCTATAAAATGTATTAATGTCAGATTTTTATTATATAATAAAAAGATGGTTAAGTTAATTTCTATAACAAGTATCATTAATATTATAATTATGAATCTAAAAATTATTATTAGTAAAACATTATATTCTTATTTAAAAAATGAACATCAATCCTTTATTATTGTTAAAACAGTTTACCTAATATAAATTTAACTAACTTTTTTTAGTTAATATAATTTTGTGTAATTAACATGCAAAATACTTGATCATAATACAAATTACACAACAGTTATAACTGGAAAAAATTATATTTTTCATACAACGGAACAAAATTATGCTTTATTATTTATTTTGGAAAATAATGGATAAATAAAAATTTTTATAATTATATTTTTTATAGAAAATAATTTTTCTTGTTATAATGGTTCATTTTTGATGTTTCATATTTTTGGAATGAAATTAAAAAAACTGTTAAATTATCCCATTAAAAATTTATAACACTAGTGGTACGGGAAAGTTGTAGGTAATTTTGACCAAATATTTTACATTTAATTTTTTTATGGTAATAAAAAAATTAGGAGGGTTTAGCAACAAAAAAGTAAAAAAAAATTTTAATATTCTATAGCTAATACCACCTAAAATGTGTAGTATTTTGTTATAACTTTATTTTATCATACTATTTCATCTAGATATAATTTAATTATTTTATAAAACTATAGGTATCCATGGTTCAAATGTGTATTAAATTAAAATATTAGTTCTTGACAAATTTCATGTTAAGTTTTTGTTATATTTTTTAGATATTTTGTGTTTAATTAGTATGAATTAATGAAATAAATTGTATCCATTTTATTAAGTTATTCATACTCAAAGTATTTTTTAAAAGTAATTGTATTATTCTTTGTAGAATGTTGGATACAAATCTGATATAGGATATCAAACGATTTTATATGGCAGTATTGTTGATGTAAGAAGAATTTTGATGTATTTAATAGAAAATTTACCTAAAGAAACTGAAAACATAGTTGAATCCAAAAGTATTATTTTGACAGCATTTATTTTCTTCTACTGTTATAATATGATCTAGTATTTATTCAGGCAAACGTTACACAATTATTAAAACTCTGAAACAAAGTTTTCATAATGAAAAAGATGAGCCTACTGTTTTGCAGTTACCATGTCACCCATTTGTTTCTGTTTCGTTAGAAACTGGCATAACTGTACCTGGTTTTGAAAGAAACTGCTCCCCAGCAGGTATATAATATGCTTAATTTTCTAACAGTATTTAAACAATTAAATACTTTTTTATTCTTTGTAAAGTTCTTTTAAATATGGAGTTAAATATGGTTCTTGTATGATGTTGATCCAGTAGATGACTAGGTGTATGTATTATTTTGTAAAGTTTTTAATATATTATGTCTAGTTAATAGTAGATATCATAAATTTGATGTTGGATTTAAGTTGTATATTCATATTAAGAGTTGTGATGTTTTAATAAGATTTTTATTTTCATTTAAGTATTTAGTAAATATATAATGGTGTTCAGTAAGTAAGGGAACAGGCTAATTGATACAAATAATGAGAACAATAAAAACCCGTTTCCTTACTTACTAAATACCTATATATATTTACTAGGAGATTCTTTTAATGTTAGCTACTCGATTTCTCTTAAAATAATAATAATGTTAAGAAAATTATTTTTAATATTTTTTAGTTTCATATATATCTTGGTTTATCAGTTATTAATTACTTTTTTAATTAATCCCTTACACCTTGTATGGATATCAACTTTTTTTTTAAAAAAGGCAACATTTCTGGGATGTCTTGAAATACTATTTGTATTATTTAGAGAGAAGTCAAAACAGAAAAACAGAAGTTTTTCAGTCTGATATAAGTTAATCAGATTTGATATTTGTTGCATCTCGTTAAGATCCTAGGGAGAAAAGGATGCTGTAAAAATTCATGTCTACCATTCCTACTAGGTTTTCTATAATAAGAAATTATTGGAAGAATAAAGATAAAAAAATTGAATTTTACTCATAAACAAAAATGAAGCATTGTCTTTATTAGTGAATGTTAAGTAACTAAACATCAGTATCTTATTATCTTCTCTTACACTTAGACATATCAGCTATTATAAATATTGAAGCGTCATTAATAATAGATATTAATTGAAAAACCTAATCATTTTTGTTTTATTTTAATGTTGATGTGCACAGTTTGGTTAAACATACTAAATGTAATATTTTAATAACAATACTTGAATTATTTTTTTATATATATGATGAACTTTTTTTATGTCTAATAGAACATATATTTATGTTCATAAATCAAATTACACAATTATTAATACATATGTATAAAAGCCATTCATTAACTTTTGAGTTATATACATGATTTCTTATCTTTTAATAAGTTTAATTTTTAATATTTTAATTTCTTATAGAATGGAGGCATTTTTGCATCAACGAATTAAAGTTCATTACTGAACAGCTATCTGATTTGAAATACTTAATTCCTTCAATAATTACCCTTAATAAAAGACAATTATTACACATATATAGAGATAGAAAAAATGATCATGCATCATGTGAAGTATGAAAATATTTAATATTAATTATTTATTAATATATAATATTTATTTAAAATGTTATTATTAGATTTAAAATAATCAAATTATATTCAACTGATTTTACAGGAAAATGTATCGACCAATAAATTGTTGCAAAAACATGAATATTCTACTACTAGCCACAATGTTTCAATTAATAAAAACTTCAATATCAATTTTAACTCTAGTAATAAAAATGATAAACAGATTGAAAACCAAATGTCTGATTTAGAAAACCTTTTAGTTGAAAATGATACAATTAAAAAAGCTATTGGTAAAGTGAGTTAATTTTATAATAGTACATTAATGGAGTAGCACATATTAGTTGTACTGTATTGTACACTTGAAATTCAACCTCAATATGAAAATACAAGTTATATGATTTATATTTCAGTTTTTTTTTTAAAGCAGTTCTTATTTATTTTTATTTAGTGCAATTTTACTTATCATTAGAACAATAAAGAAATTAATTTTTGAAGTTTTTTTTGTGCAACAACATCCTAGCTCTATGGTAATAATTTATTACCATATGATAATTTAGTTTATTTATATAAAACAGATAATAGTAATAATAATATTGACATATTAAGTCTTAAATTTATCTTATTACATCCTTAGTTATTAAAAAAAGTTTTATTACTTCTTCATAGTGTTATTATTTTATTTAAAAAATATATATTTACATGTTGTGAATTTACAACATTACTACAAATGTGTAATTTTTAAATTGATTATTTATATATGTATATATATATATTTTAATTAGCAAACATTAAAATACACAATACAAAAATCTGAATTAGAATTGTTACAAAAAAATATTTTGATACTAGAAAAAAGCTCTAATATTATTCATAATCCAGAAATTATCCAAAAATTAAAAAGTAAGATTGAAACATTTCCAGAAAAAATGGAAAAGATGAAAAACAAGTGGAATTTGTATGAAGGTGAACAGAAGTCTATTTTAACAAATATAAAAGAAAAAATTGCAAAAAAGAAAGTATGTTTATTTGTTAATTGCTGTAACATAGTATTTTAATTAGTCAATATAAGGGTTTCTCAATTTTATTTGTATACTAATATATTAGATGCCTAACTAACCCAAGTCAACTTAAAAATAATAGATCATATAAATTTTAATTTTAATTTATTTATGTGTTTAAATATTTTTTATTATGTATTGCAGATCAATAATGATAAACTACTCCACGAGGTTGAAAAGTTACGTTTGCAAACCATTTTTGAAGAAATAAAAAAAAAAGAAGATTTAATTAAATTATGTAAAACTGAATTTGAATCCAAATCTAATTATAATTCAAGGTACCTCAGTTATAGTCTTTGTAAAATAATACAGAAGAATGAGTGAGATTTTTAAATTTTTAACAAAATAATTTTTCAATATTTTTTCTTAAACTGGTTTTTATTTAAATATATTTTATTTTATTTTGTATCAAGAATACTGCAAAGAAGATTGTTGGTGAGAGTAGGAGTAGAATGCCGGGTGAAACCTGGTGGTAGGATGAGGACATTCAAATAATCATAGAAAGTAAGAAAAAGCAATTCAAAGTATGGCAGAAGTGCAAAAGGAGAGACACACTGGATGATATATAAACGCTTGTGCAAAGAAGCCAAGTATGCAGTAAGTAAGGCGAAGTTTAAGAGGTATGATGAGTTGTATGATAGGCTAGGAACAAAGGAAGGCGAAAAAGAAATCTATAGACTTGTTAAGATAAGAGAGAAAAGGTCTAAAGATTATTATTATATAAGGTATATAAAAAGTGTTGATAGTAAGGTACTCTCGAGTGATGATGATGTGAAAAAAAGGTGGAAAAAGTATTTTGAAAAATAATTGAATAAGGAGACAATAGAGGATATCTCGTGGAATGAGGGACTAGTAGTTTTAATTAGTGAGTAAGAGGTATGGTAGGCTGTGGCATCAATGAAAAAGAATAAAGCAGTAGAACCAGATGAAGTGCCAGTAGAGGTATAGAAAATATTAGGCGGTGTTGGCATAAGGAACTTTTAAATAAAATTTTATTAGAAGGGAAAATACCAAATGAATGGAGGAATAGTATTGTGGTGCTGATATTTAAAGGTAAAGGAGACATACAGGAGTGTGGAAATTATAGAGGCATAAAGCTTATGTGTCATATTATGAAAATTTGGGAAAATAGATAAGAAAATAAGGAATGAGACATCGGTATCAAAAAACCAGTTTGGATTTATGCCTGGTAAGTCAACAATGGAGCCATTATTTTGTATAAGGCAACTAATAGAAAAGTTTAAGGAAAAGAAGAAAAAGCTGTGTATGGTATTTATAGATTTGGAGAAAGCGTATGACAGAGTACCGAGAGGTTTTACAGTGGGCATTAATGAGAAAAGGAGTTCCGAAAAGGTGCATTAATATAATAGAAAATATATATGATGGCATTTGTTCTAGGGTAAAAAGTGTAGGAGGAGTAACAGAAGGTTCGCGGGTAAGAGTAGGAGTGCACCAAGGTTCTGCTTTAAGCCCTACCTAATTTGTACGCGAGGTAGGTGAAATGAGGAGATTAGTGACATTAGGTGAGGACGTGATAAGTGAGGTAGAAAGTTTTAAGTATTTAGGATCAGTTGTGCAAAAGAGCGGTGGTACTGATAAAGATGTAAAACACAGTATCATGTGCGGGTGGTTAAAGTAGAGAGAAGCGTCTGGTGTCCTATCTGATAAAAGATTTCCAATGAGGCTGAAAAGTAAATTAAATATTCAATATTTATGGAAGAGGTAGAGGAAGACCAAAAAAGAGATGGAAGGATGTTATTGAATGTAATATGAGGACGGCTGATGTAAACGTAGATGATGTGGGAGATCGTGTCAAGTGGAAGTTTAGGATAAGGGTGACTGACTCCAAGTAGTTGGGATTAAGGTGAGGGAGGAGAAGAAGATCTCTTTAATACTTTATAATACTTTTTAGTGTCATTGCTAAGTTAAGACAGTATTGATTTTACTATTATATTTTTAAATATTTTTTATTTGCTAATATAATATAGTTAATTCTCAGTTATTGGTTTAAGTATTCTTTTATTGAGAATCCAACTATTTCTCTTAAGACAAGATAGATGATGGCCACATCTATCAAATAATTGAAATAATAATTTTTCATGTATTCTGATGGCTTTAAATATACTTTAAATAAAAGTTTATTATTTACTTCATAGAAAAAAAATTGTCTTCTATGTAACATTGACAGCTAAATATAAATACCATTTTATTAGTTAATCATTTTTAAGTTCTAACAATACAAGTATATCTTTACATGTTTTTACTGTCTTAACACTTAGGACAGTCTTTTGAGATTTTAATTATAGATTCAGCTCTAGTAATTTAGAACGGTGTTTAAATAAAAAATCCCTTAATGTTGAGTATTTTTTAAATGAGTGTTTTTTAATGTTTCCATTTTTCTTACTGATTCATTGACTTGTATTCAAAATTATAAGACACTTGCTGTATAAATAGAAATATGAATTTTGAACAAAAAGTAGATCTTATAGTGTAAATAAAGTAAAAATTTTAAAAATTGTTATTTTCATAAAATAAACAAATTATAAAATTTATCAGTTCATTTAAAACATCGGAAATTTTGTTCAATTATAATATATAAATAAATAATGAGTGCCACTTTCCGGTTTTGTATTAGAATAATAAACAAAATTTTATATCTGTGAATCAAACATCATTTGGTTGTTTGTGTCCTTACAATGTTGTGCGTCTATATGTTTGACTGCTTAGTGGTATTCATTATAAATATATACAATTTTTGTCTGCTCAGACAAAAATTTTTAACTAGATCAGATTTAAAAAAAAAAACAAATAGGTTTGACCCAATCCAACCCAATACAAAAGTCAACCTTATCCGATCCTGTTTTGAAAATTATTATTAATTAATTTTAACTACATAAAACTACTTTACAAATAAGTAAAATTGATTCTGTATTAACGTTTTACCCTCATCATTTTATTTGACGTTTGGTGACACGTTATTGCATAAGAATATAGTAATAATATCAGTTAACAGATTTTCTTAACACTAAACAATGTATATTAGTTAGAAATTTAGTTTTGGGAGACATAAGAGGATCACTTCCACGTTAGAATAAAAATTGTTCCTATGGTATTGTATACATTTATGATAATTTTTTGAATAAATAGTTCAAATAAATTAGAATAATGCATAGAGCCCTAATTATCAGTAGAGCTAAGAATTATATGATAATTCATTTAAGTGATTTATATGATCAACTTTTCAAACTAAATGTAGGTTTTAAGGAAAACAATTTAAACATGATTAAACTTAATCAACGTGTTATTAAATCAAAAAGTTTTAACAAATAGAAATCTTACTTTTTGAATAGATTTGGGCTTAAGCTTACAAAAAATAGATTTGAAAATTTTTTATTTGACTTCTAGATCAAGTTACACACAACGAATACTAGAAATTATTACAAATATTGGAAAACAAAAAAAAGACATTAATAAAAATCTTTATGATACAAGATTGGTACAAAAAGATATTAATACATTAGATGGGAAAGTAGAACGTTGTTTTATTTCAATTGATGAACTTATCTTTAAGGTAAGTTTTTAGTAATGTTTATAATTAAAATTGTTTTTTATTTCATTTTTGTCTGATTTAAGATGAATTTCAATCTTAATATTAGGAAATAGTTTAATAATTTTTAGGTATTTAGCCATATAAATTAAAGATATACTGATTAATTAAAAAATATACTAGTATATATTTTTTTATTTTATAAATATATAATTATTCATCTAAAAAATTGAATTTAAACTTATTATTTTATTAAAGGTCGCCAAAAAAGATGATACTATAAGAAAATGTTACAAATTATTAGCAGCTATACATGCCAACAGTTCTAGTATTGTGCAATCAGTGAAACAAACTGGAGCAATCAGACGAGAAATTAAAGATCTTGAAGAACAAGTAAGTTACCAGTGAATTCTTTATGCTTTAATTTTAAACATTTAGGAAAACATAATTTTTCAATGATATATAAATAATGTTGCAATTTAGAGAAGGTTCAGATTAAGGCATAAATATAATTCGTTTTTGTTCTTACATTTCAACAGAATTCTTTAATGTAAATTTTGAAAACAGATCTGAGTTAAGTATCATAACAAAAATAGGATCGGTTAGGCATTTTTTTTAAATTTTGATATCTATAAACTTTAAGTACCTATTAACTTCGTGAATTTAAGAACAACCAAAGTAATATTAGCTATTTGGTTCGTAATAACAAAATCTAGCTTTATAATATTAATATTATTATAATATAATATAATATAATTAATATAATATAATATTAATTTTCTAATTGTCAAACGTTAATGTTTTTTGATTCTTCTTCTTCCTCTGGCACTTAGTACTCTCTAAGAGTTTTGGCCGCCATAACAATATCTCTCCATTTTTCACGGTCCTGTACTACTTCCCTCCATTCTTGTACTCCTAATCTTTCAAGGTCTTCTTCCACAACATCCAACTACCTTTTCCTGGGTCTTCCTCGCGGTCTCCATTGGTTTCCAGTTTAGGATTGTTCTACTTATATCATCCTCACTTCTCCGTATCGCGTGTCCTAACCATTGGATCCTTTGCCCTCTTATAAAGCTGATACTGATGCAATTCCCAATTCGTCTTGTAGTTCTTTGTTGTACTTCCTTCTCCAAGTTAAATTGGTCCACATATTTTCCTCCAAAGTTTTCAAAGGTCCTAAGTCTTCTTTCGGTTGTGCTGGTGGTAGTCCAAGCTTCACAGCCATAGGTGAGCGTCAGTCTTATTATTGCTTTATATAGTCTGGTTTTAGTCTTTTTTAAAAATAATTTTGATTTTAAGAACTTTTTTAAGGCAAATGCCGCTCTTTCCGCCTTGGCGATCCTCACTCCTATTTCCTTCGACCAATCATTTTTAGCACTCAGCATAGCTCCTAGATATCGAAATTCATCTACTTTTTCGAATGTTAAGGACCCCATGTCGGGGTTGTCTCCATTTTTTAGCAACTCCATTACTTTGATTTTTTCGGCATTGATTTTCAAAACTATCTTGCTAGCTGCTTGTTCAAGGGCTTCGGCTTCATTTATTGTCTCCTCTAGGGAGTTTCCTAGTATATTTAAATCATCTGCAAATTCCAATACTTGTATGTGTTGCTGACCGATTTCTACTCCAATTGTTTCTGACTGCAATTTTCTTATAACTTTTTCTAAAGCTATATTGAATAGGGAAGGAGATAATGAATCTCCCTGTTTCAATCCAGTTCTTACTTCAAAGGCTTCTGACACCGTAGATTCAACCCTTATTTTATACTATGTATTCTCCATGCATATTTTTGTTAACGTCACTAATTTTTGTGGGATCCCGAACTCCTCCATTATGTTGTAGAGACTTTGTCGATGTATACTATCGTAGGCCTTTTTGAAATCAACGAATAGCTGCCAGATGATTTGGCGGAATTCATACTTTTTTTCTATTAATTGGCCTATGATAGCGAGTTGTTCTATTGTTGATTTCCCTTTTCGGAATCCACACTGGTGTCTGCCTAAATTTTCTTCTGCGTACGGTGTTAGCCGTTTTAATAGTATTCTCGCAAACACTTTGTAAGCTGTGTTAAGCAGTGATATTCCTCTATAGTTTTCACAAATTGACTTGTCACCTTTTTTGTAAATCGGTATAATTATGGCTTCGTTCCAGCTTTTTGGCATGCTTTCATCTTTCCAGATCTTCTGGCAAATCCTGAATAGGAGGTTTTGCATCGGTTTTCCACCATATTTAATGAGTTCAGCTGGTATTTCGTCCGATCCTGGTGACTTCCAATTTTTTAGGTCTTTTATTGCGTCATTGACTTCTACCCTAGTCACTTCACTTACCATTGGCTCTGCTCCATATAGGTTTTCCCTTCTCGTTGCATTATCTGGGATATCTGCGTTCAACAGTTCAGTGAAGTATTCTTTCCATATTTCGGCTTTTTCTTTAGGGTCCATGAGTATTTAGCCATGACGATTCTTAATAGTTTTTAGACTTGGGTTGAACGTTTTGTATTGTTTTATGGTCTTAAAGAAATTTCTAACACTTCACATCGAACAATTTCTTTCCGCCTCTTGTAATATATCACTTAGATACTTTCTTTTTTCTCTTTGTAGTACTCTTTTACACATCTTCCTTTCTAAGACGTATATTCTTTTTCTATCTGTACTATTCTCTATAGTTTTCACGGGCAATTTGTCTTTTTCTTATTGCTTGTCGACAGATTTCATTATACCATTTTTTCTCCTTGTTTCTTGTCTTTCCAATGTCCTTTGCTGCGATTTCTTTAATGGCTTTGCTAACTTTGTCCTAGTCTTCATAGAAAAAATACTAAGAAAAAATATATGTAATTTTTGTGTTTAAATACTAATCATTCAATTATACCATACCTGTATAATAATAAGAAAATAAATTTCTTATTATTTTTTTACCTTTTTCAAAGGTGATTCTATAAATTGATATTTAACTAACAAATATTATAAATTTCTTACTAGATTGAAACTGAAAATTCAAGAAATGCTACAGTAAATATACAAAAATTGAAAAATGATTTGGAAATGGTAAAAAATGAAAAAGCCACTTTGATAGAAAAACTAGAAAACTTAAAAAAATATCATTAAATCTACATAATAAAAAAAATAAATGTAACCAAAGTTATCTTATTAATTATTTTTAGGGATTAATTATAATCAGTGATTAATTTCATTTGCATACACGAAAATGAATCAACTGATATAACTAAATTAATTAATTAAAATATTTACAAATTAAACTGTAATGAAATGACCAAACATGAATATATTTTAATTAAATTATTTAACTAGAAATTATATAAGTATAACAAATATATAGTTAGATATATCTTAACTATCTTGTTACTAACTATTTAGTATCTTGTTATTTGAAAAAAGAAAGCCACTACAGTGTTTATAATTTCTACAAAACGACACCCTTAAATCAGAGTCCATGTACATATGAGTGTAATCAAATTGCCATCGAACTGTTTGTACTGATTATTTATTGACATCCCGTGTGTGATACGCACACCGTGTGCAAGTATTTGCGTTATAATGTTTTATTTATTTATTTTTCATAACCACGTGACACTAATAATAGGGTGTTGTGATCGGAAGCGCATTGGCCAGAGCGCCGACGCACAGAAATGGTATTTGGACCTTAAGCCCGGCAAAAGTCCGTATAAAGCGTGTGTTGGTAGAAAAATATATATATATATTTCCGAGACGATACAAGGTATGCCAGGAAACGGTTAACGATTCGTCCGATTTGTTGTTGTTTTTTAGTTGATAAGATATTCATTCCACCGGGTGTGTATAATCCACGAGCTCCGGTCCCAGCGGTGGGCGTTTACAAAAATACAAGACTCGTGCAACACAAAAGTTTGAGGTGAAATAATAATTGCGACACTGTTGATGAAAGTGCATCTGTTATTTACGGCCTCAAGTTACTGGCCTGCGGTTATCATACAGGTTTTATGTATTTAATTATTTCTTGTGTACATGACAATTGTTGTTTTGGTCAGCTGTTGCATAACTTACTGCCTTTAATGTCATTCATAACGACGTCGCGGTCCAATATCTATATATGTACATATTTGTCCATGTATGTGTTGCATATGAGTGTACCGAAATGTTTTGTGCCCGACGAACACTCTTCGAGGAGTTCCTTTGATCACGGCGTTCCCAAAACAAAATGTTGGTAGTCGACGTCGGGTTTAGTATGTCCACGAACCCGTCTGATCATTCCGGTTACACGACAATCGCCGTCTAACAACGTAAAATTATCGTTCAGAGTATGGGCGGTCACAGGTATGTTGAGCAGCACTAATGCGTCGTTAGATTTGTTGTTTGTTAGCTAGTCATAGGTACACGCGGAGAACGGTCGAATAGCACAATATAATACACGCCGACGACCAGTGCATGTTTCGTTAGAGTAATGGTTTTGTTGCGACGAGTGATCGAACCGAATCCATTGGTAGGCGTACGGCCGACGGGATTTGGTCGGTTGTCAGTATATTATGGCCGAATGTGATATCTGGGTGGGCGGCCACCCGCAGTGGACGCGTGAAAAAAGAAAAACAACACCATGTCGTAAATATTTTCTACGAAACGAGACCCTTTTTATCGGAACGTGGCACTTGTTGTTTGGGTTAAATTTTTTTATACTTGCATGTGCTGTTTTTGCCGCCGAGGTCGTCCCCAGAGATCATCTAAGCGTACCATCAGTAAGAATGTGACACTCACAGTGGGGATTTGTACAAATTGCACAGGTCACCGAGGGCTTACTAAGTAACAATTGCCATCGAACTGTTTGTACTGATTATTTATTGACATCCCGTGTGTGATACGCACACCGTGTGCAAGTATTTGCGTTATAATGTTTTATTTATTTATTTTTCATAACCACGTGACACTAATAATAGGGTGTTGTGATCGGAAGCGCATTGGCCAGAGCGCCGACGCACAGAAATGGTATTTGGACCTTAAGCCCGGCAAAAGTCCGTATAAAGCGTGTGTTGGTAGAAAAATATATATATATATTTCCGAGACGATACAAGGTATGCCAGGAAACGGTTAACGATTCGTCCGATTTGTTGTTGTTTTTTAGTTGATAAGATATTCATTCCACCGGGTGTGTATAATCCACGAGCTCCGGTCCCAGCGGTGGGCGTTTACAAAAATACAAGACTCGTGCAACACAAAAGTTTGAGGTGAAATAATAATTGCGACACTGTTGATGAAAGTGCATCTGTTATTTACGGCCTCAAGTTACTGGCCTGCGGTTATCATACAGGTTTTATGTATTTAATTATTTCTTGTGTACATGACAATTGTTGTTTTGGTCAGCTGTTGCATAACTTACTGCCTTTAATGTCATTCATAACGACGTCGCGGTCCAATATCTATATATGTACATATTTGTCCATGTATGTGTTGCATATGAGTGTACCGAAATGTTTTGTGCCCGACGAACACTCTTCGAGGAGTTCCTTTGATCACGGCGTTCCCAAAACAAAATGTTGGTAGTCGACGTCGGGTTTAGTATGTCCACGAACCCGTCTGATCATTCCGGTTACACGACAATCGCCGTCTAACAACGTAAAATTATCGTTCAGAGTATGGGCGGTCACAGGTATGTTGAGCAGCACTAATGCGTCGTTAGATTTGTTGTTTGTTAGCTAGTCATAGGTACACGCGGAGAACGGTCGAATAGCACAATATAATACACGCCGACGACCAGTGCATGTTTCGTTAGAGTAATGGTTTTGTTGCGACGAGTGATCGAACCGAATCCATTGGTAGGCGTACGGCCGACGGGATTTGGTCGGTTGTCAGTATATTATGGCCGAATGTGATATCTGGGTGGGCGGCCACCCGCAGTGGACGCGTGAAAAAAGAAAAACAACACCATGTCGTAAATATTTTCTACGATACTTCCTTTCCTTTTCATACCTTTTAAAAAATGTATATTTAATATTTGTGATAATTTATTGACTATTTATTTTTTAGTTGATTTACTAGTTTTAAGTGTTAATTAATGAAGAATTTATTTATGCTGTTTTAAAAGTATCGATTATGTTTTATATATTCTAAATTTGGTATATTAACTTTTTTTAGTTATAAATTATTAATTTTAGTTTTTTATGTTACAGAATTTTTTGTCGTTTGTATTGAACATTTCTAGGAATTTATGCTGATGCTGTTTGATGATGGTCATTCTCTTTAGACAATCTGGTTATTTTTATTTTATTTTTCTTTTCACTATTTTATTATACATTATAAGTTTGTAATTATTGTGTTTTTTTTATTAAATGATTGTATTCGTTATATTTATTGCTTAGACCGAGTGGTGTAAATACAATCAAATAATAATTTTTTTTAATTTTTTTATTTTATGTTTGTTTTTGTCAAATTATTATTAATAATTTGATTCAAGATTTTATGATTTTTATATTTTATGATTTTTTTGTTGTGTAGTTTCACATTTTATTACGTGTAATAAATAATACATAAACTTAATAGAAATATATTATCAGATCAGTTTTCTCCTGTGGTTAAGATGAATAAAAATAATAGTACTCTTACACAAATTCAACCACTCTCTTACGTTATTATTCCTAAAAACTCTCACGTAATAGATTCTATCACATTGACCGATCAAATACAACAAAAATATTTCAAGAATCTAACCAGAGATCGCTAAACCTGTTTTGTGGTCTATAAAAAGGCCATTTTTCTTTAAATGCGGGTGTTCTCTGGGCTCTCCTGTTCTTTGTGCTGTAACAGTCACTTTGCTTCAACTACAACTACGCGTCTTTCTGGAGTTCTCAATCAACATTCTGTAGTGTTACGCTAAAGCTTTATCGCCGTTCTTCAGTTGCAAGAAAGTCCGTTGGACAGCACTGTTTGTTAACTTTTATTCAAAAACCTCTTGGTTACAATTCAAATCTACATTGTTTTTATATTCCAGTCCTAATCGCTGGGATTTAGATGAAATATTATCTTATTTTCGGTCGAATACTTTTGGTGATACAAATATTCCAACAAATATAAAATATTGGTATTTAGTTGTTTTTTATACATACACACTTAAAAAAAACGGTAGCACAGTGGGGTCGCGGCATAGTGGAGACATTGCATAGTTTGGTACAGTGTAGATTTAATCTGACAGTGATTAAAATCACTATCATAAGAAACGCTTCGATGCAAATCTGTAGATAGTGTTTAATTTTAAAAAATTGATGGATAATTGCAAAAGCAACATCAACTTCTATTAAAATAAAATACAAAACCCATAATTATCATACAAAAATAGTATATTTTTCAATATGGTAGCCATTTGCGTATAGAAGATAGATCGTCGGGACAAATTTTTTTTTTTCATTTTGTAGTACATAAAATAAGCTTTAATTTGATATATGTTTAAAGGACGCAGTCTTTCCGGAACATTTTCAAAAATTAAGTTGAAAAAATTAATTTTTGTAAAAAAGTTGCCATTTTAAATCCCCCCCAATGAGCAGGTTAAGTGATAGATTTTCAAAAAAATGATATCAAATGAAAGGTTTTAGTATAAGGTTTTAGTATAAAAAAAAATTATGTTGATTTGTTGATTTTTCAAAAAGTTATGGAAGTTTTAAGAAAAAAAAGTGAAAAAATTTCGAAAATTAGCGATTTTTAAATTTGTAATTTTTTTGGATATTTCCCCCATTTGCGGGGAACGAGGGAATTTTTTTCAATTTTTAAGGGTAATGTCTTCAACTAGATACGATTTGTGATCTTTTGACGTATTTTCGAAAGAAATCGGTCCTGTGAGAGATGAGAAAAAGTGGCAACAGACATAAAAAAAAAAAAAAACACATTATAGTAAAATTAATACCTTCTCCGCTTCGCATCGAAGCTAAAAATATATGATTAGATTGCATTGTTCTATTACTTATTGAAGCACCAAAACCTGGTTGGACAGAGTACTAGCACTATAATATCGTTGTCAAAATTCCAACTAATTAAAAGCGTTCTCTAAAGTGTCTCTTCACTTGTCGACTAGCCAGTCTGATCTCAGCCATAGTGCGAGCCATAGGAGTATGGGACACTTACATAATTTATTACGCATTACTTACCTATATTTATTTTATTATACACGTTACACGTTTTCAAATACATAATTAGATTGAATTGTATCTATTACTTATTTATTATTTATTTATTAAGGGCCATAACCTAGCAGGACAGAATACTAGTACATTAGTATCATAATTAAAATTTTAATTAACAACAAGATTTCTCCAAAGTGTATCCACTTGTCGACTAGCCAGTCTGATCTCGGTCACAGTGCGGGCCATCGAAGAGTAGGACACTAACATAACTTATTGTGCAAAGAACCGAAATTGAGCTCGCATCTACCCTAGACTACTCTGTGGACGACTGTAAAAAGACATAGGCCACTTAGAAATAGTTTATTGCATAGGACAGTTATGTTGTTTAGAATTTCTTTATTGGTTTTACAAATTATAAATACGTTAGTATTAAACACCATACACAAGGTCAAAGAGCATAAATATACAAAAGGGTTTTTACATAAAATACCAAAAGTAAAATAAATTTAAATTTCACCTTGAGTAGATTTAATATAGAGTAGTACTAGAGAAATAGTTACACACGAGTTAACATAAATCGTATAATTTCAAATGTGTACACCAACACCTATACATATCGACAACTACATGATTCATCTCAACAGAATATCTGTCTTATCAGGATAATTGCAAGTAAGTGATAACATTATATCCCTATAATAAACCCTTCACCGAAGGATTTTTAGTAATAAACAATTTGAGTAAGGTAAGTCGTTGGAAATAAACTAAAATACTTTTACAAAAAAATACGATATTTGTGACTCGCCAGAAATTCGTGTACGCGTTTCTGTGCAGGAGCTAGGTAGTGTTGTAATTTCATTTTATTCATATATATCAGACGTGTTTGCGTAAGCATAGATACCCCGAGATCCCTTTCTATTTCATTCTATTATAGTCATTACCCAGTACTTCTAGCTTACTCATACTTTCTTTATACTAAACTACCATCACAGCCAATACTTTCCTTTCCTTCTTTATACTACCCTCTAATTTTTTTCTTTTTGTTTATTACAGTTGTATAATTTAATGAAAATTATTTTATAATAAAATAATATTGAATATGATCAGTTTCTACAAATTTATCTTTTAATATTTTATTTTAGATTGACAATACTATGTCCCATTCTTTAGATTGGATTTTTATAGCAAAACGGTCATTTTAAGAATTTTTATCACAAAAAAATTGAATTATTTTCTACAAATTTAAACAGGTATAATTTTATATTACAAATATTGATAAGAAATACACAAGTCAATATCATTATTAAATACACAATAATTATTAAAAAATAAAATTTAATATAAGTAAAAACTATAATAATAACAGTACTTCAGTATACATAATTATTAATAATTATTAACAGTACACTATTAAAATGTAATGTTGGAAATTAAAAAAGAAATATGAATCATTATGATAATTATACAAAGTACATCAAGTACAATATTAAAAAATTCAGTTTTTAAAATAAATTATAATTTAAGTATTATAAAACTTATATTAATGGTGTTAAAACTAACAGGTTAGTATTTATTTAAAAGAAAATTTTCCTTGTTGGAATTTTCATATTTTTGTTTATCACAAATAAAAATTAAATAAATATATAGTTATTAAAAATGCATATAACTATTTGGAAATCATCAACAAAGTTTACTCATACAATTGTAAAACGTTTTCAAGATTTTGTGCTATCTAAAAAAGAAAATATATTTAATATCAATATATATTTTAAACTTAAAATATTTTATAATTATTATTCAAAAAAACTTGTTTTAGGAAAACTATCCCTTGCTCTATTCTTTAAATATATTAATTTGAATGAAATTATATAATATTAAACCTATTATGGTTAAAACAAAATGTTCTATTTATGAAACATATTTATCTTTATTTTGGTTATTTTTAAATAGGATATATAATAGTATGGAAACAGATATAATGTTATAAGCAATAGAAATGATTGAAAATTATTATTGATATCGGGTTTCACACTTTTTGACATGTATAATGATTGCAAATAGGTTAAAACTGGTTAACTACCTGCTTAAGATACTTGTCTATTTATTCAAATCAAGATATAGTAACATTAGTCATCACAATTTTTCCAAAAATTAATTTTAAAACTTGACCTTAATCAGAATAAGATTCATGGGAAAATATGTTAAACTCGCTCATTTTTTTATTTTACAAATTTAAGACTAATATATAGATAAAAATTAGTTAGTTTCATACTGGTACCCAAATTAATGTGATTTTTTAGAATATTTTAGAATGTTATAAAAAAAATATATAAATACTTTATGGTAAAAATCAATTTGATGCTTGAGGAATAATTTTATATGATGATTAAGCTGTATGTTTTGTTCCAAATGAAAATGATTTATTTCTGATAATAATGCATAGGAAACAACATCAGTTCTCTCTTTGACATTTTGAACTTCTTGATGAGTCATTTTATTCTCTCCATAAAGTTTTTCACATTCTTTGTGTTTCTGTAGTGCACCCTTCAATTTATAAACAAGGGTAAGTACAGTTGGTATTGATAAATTTTTTTTCATAATTGATTAAAATCACTGTGACAAAATGTTTTGATGTGTATTTGAAACGATTTAAAAAAAAATTGTCATATTCACTAAAAATTACATGATTGTTAACTTAAGAGGCTAATACTCATATATATATTTAATTTAGTTTCAAATTATTTAGATGTTCAATTGATATGCAAAACAACACTTCATAATCACCTGCATCCAGTATTTTGATAATGGTTCAACCAATAATAGAATAACATCAGTCATAATAGTTTTGGTTTTAAAGTAAAAATTTAACTTATTATTAGAAAAACATATTTTTAATTACTTTATGTACAGTTAAAATATCAGGAAATGATGTTATTATTCCTTTATAGATATGCAACATGTCACCAAACGGCTCCCAATCTAATTTTGGTTGTTCTTCTATAAGTTTACCAATTTCATTATATACATCACCAGTTTTTTTCAAAGCATTTGTTAAATTAGCTCTCGAAAAACCTAAAATTTAAAATAAAATAGTATTTTAAATAGAAAAATAAAAAATGAAATATTATAATTTTTAATAATCAATAAACATAAAACGTACCAATATGTTCTTCCTTTCCATAAGCATGACCAAGAGCATAAAATGACTGTCCAATTTTCTGATACTCACGTTTATAAAATGTTTGCATTTTTTTTGACTGATCACTAACTACCAGAGACATATTTTTTACAGCACTGTCAAGACCATTGATAAATTTTGAAAAACTTTCAGTATCATGCTCTCTAAAATGTTGTTATATTTAAAACAATTTCATATTTAGAAATAAAAGAATATATTTAAAATCTTATAAATAATGTATATACTATGACTTACAGTAACATTTGATTTAAAGGTTCTTCTGGAGCCTGAATTGCAAAAAAATAATTAGCTCCTGTTAGCTCTGATTTTTCAGCTTTTCTTTTACCCAGTTTCCATCTTTTTTCATCAGTGCAAGTAATAAAATGTTGCCATACAGAACATTGAGAAAGAACTGGATGACGACATACTGCATCTACAAATGCTTGAAGTTGGTTTTTTCTACGCTCTATAAAGTTTTCTTCATACCTTCCTTTAGTGCAATATAGAATTACAATATTTTAAACAGTAAAAAAAAATATGATGATAAGTATTATATATTAAAATATAGTAATATAAATAACCCAACATGATAATAGTTAGTACTATAAAAAAATAAATAAATTCATTTATTAATTAAAAAAAAGGACAGACAAACCTGAAATTTGTTTGTCTGGTAAAGGCGGAATTGGAATTAAGCTAAATTTTTCTTCAAGCCGTTCGTGAAGCCAATCAAAATGTTTATATCTTCTTGAAACTTGAATATTATTAAACTATAAAATTTAAGTAATTAGGCTATAAGGCAAGTATAAACTATTTTTATACTTACTGTAGGAGTAATTTGATAAGCAATAAAACTTTTAAGACCTTTTAGTTTAGTTTCTTTTTTTGGTGATGCTACTATACATTGATAATATTCATTGGGGGCATTCCATTCAACACCAATTTCACACTTAATTATAGTAACACGTTCACTATCAGGTACAGGAATAGTAACTGTACCCATAATATAACTTTCCCCACCAGATTTGGAAAATGTTGAAAAACGATTCACATTTTTTTTCATTCCAGCAGCAACAACACTCCTCACTTAAAAATATATTTATTTGATTAAATAATATAAAACAATGCATACACAAGTTATCAAAATATTAAGAGCTATTTTTTTTTTTTTTTTTAAGGACTTAGACAATTGAATTAGCATTCTGTCAATACCGATGTAAACATAAAACCAAAATTTAATTTTTTATGTTATTAAATATTAAAATTAGACTTAATTTTATAAAATATAATTTCTACATGATTATACATAAGTTTCTTACTATCTGGTCTAGATTGTGTAGAACTAATAGTTTGATTATTTCCCATGGGTGGATATGAATTTGATACTGTTCCACATTCAGATTCATCTTCCCATTCATCATCATAAAAATCAACATTTTCAGTCTAAATTTGTATGTTAAATTACGACACCATAAAAAAAAATAAAAATATATATTTTTGATCAAAATAAGACATCAATCAGATCTACTCAAAAAATAAAAACCATAAACTACATAAATAAAAATAATATAAAAACATACAAATTTGTGAAATTTATAAAATTATTAATTCTATTCGACCATAGATGTACATTTATCTATTCAGAAGATACAAGTAAATTCTAACCTCTTTTTTAAATAGTATTAGAACTTTGAATTATTTTCCATTACATAACCACTTTCTTTCCCTAATTTTTATTAAGTTAAATAAGAATATTTTGATAAATACATTTATATAGAAATTTTTTCAAAATGACTTCTAAATGTTTAACTCTGAACTAATGACCTGTGATCCCACAATTATTATAAAATAAAATAGAAACAAAGGACTTAGCTATAATTTTTTTTTTTTGCCTTAATATTTAATTAAATAACTTATTTTGATGAATTTTTATTTCATAATATGAAAAGAACACCAAGATAAATAATTTAATATTTATTTATTGTTCATAAAGTAAAGAAAAAAACAAAAAAATGGTAGCACAGTGGGGTTGTGGCATAGTATGGACAGTAATTAAAATCACTATCATAAGAAACGCTTCGATGCAAATCTGTAGATAGTGTTTAATTTTAAGAAATTGGTAGAATATTTCAAAAGCAACAATAACTCTTATTCCTTAATAACTCTTAATTTTATCCTGATTAGTTATTTGATTTATAATTATAATATATGAATAAATAATTCTAGTAATTAAATTTAGTATGAAATTGATAATCAATAATTTAATATTGTAATTTTAAAGAAATACTATGAAAATAATAAAGTAGTTGTATATTTCTTTACTTTTAACGTGTATAAAAATTTAAAGAGCTTGGATACAATACTTTTCAATAAAAAATGTTTTTTATTTATAATAAAGTTATAAGTTTTATACACTGGACTACAAGGAACTTTCAACAGAAACAAAAATATATTTTTCTAAATAAACTTTTTGCGGTGTTTTCAAATGTGCAATTTGACTTTTTCTATGACTTCTAAGTTTTAATATTAATAATATTATTAATAAATAAGTATTTACATATAAAAAAATAATTAAGAACAAAAAAATTGTTTTAAATTAATTCTGATTTTAGGAAAAAGACATATTTAACCTATTTTTTTAAACCTTTAAAGTTGATTTTTGTGAAAATTTATAGTAAAAAATGAATTTATTACCATAACTTTTAGCTCAAATTTGCAAGTTTGAAATTGACATCATTAAATAGGAAATTTTATGAGAATTAAAAAAATTGTATTGTTAAGATTAATATGTAGTCAGGAAATTTTATAATAACTATTTACAGTAAATTTATCAGAAAAGCTCAATATTTTTTTACATTTTTATCATAATAGATAAGAACAAGGGATAAGTAACTGTTTAATTGAAAAATTAGAATTTTTTTTTCAACATTTGAGGATAGTATCTTCAACTAGATATGAATTATAATCATTTGACGTATCATTGAAAAAAGTAGGTCAAGTTAGATCAGACAAAATAAATGATAGTCACAAAAAATTACCTTCTCAGCTTTGCATCAAAGCTAAAACCTAAAATGTAGTAAAATAATTTTAATATGAATAAGAAATTTCTTGTCATGAGGGGCGACTACAGTGTTGGGATCCTTGATCTTTATAGAAGTTATTGAATCTAAATGAGATAAAAATCAAATGAGTTGAAAATTTATTCTAACTTAAAAAGAATTAAGAAAAAAATGCAAAAAATCCCTTGCCAATTACGGTAGCCATTTTCACCATGAAGACAAATCCAGAGGTCAAATTTTTTTTTTTCAAATTAAAGTATATTACTTAAGCTTTAATTTAAGATATATATAAGTATCAGTATTACCAGAACACTTTCAAAAATTAAGTTGAAAATATCCTAGTTTCAATACACATATTTGAAGTTTTGACCCCCCTTACATAAAGGGATATTATCAGATTTAAAAAAAAAGTATCAGATAAATAAAAATTATTTATAAAAAAATAATAATATTGATCCACACATTTTTCCAAAAATTATAGCAATATAAATTTAAAAATATAAAATCGAGATATTTTCACAGAAATTGTAGATGTTTCTTTAACTTTAATGTCCGTTTTACACCACGAAGACAAGTCAACAGGTCAAATTTTTTTTTTTTTTCAAAATAAAGTATATTAAGCTACTTAATTATGCTTAAATTTAAGGTATATATAAAAGTGTTTTTTGTGAAAAAGTTGCCATTTTGAAACACTTCCTGTGAGCTGGTAAATGGTCAAATGTTGAAAAAATATAGCAAATGATAGGTAAATACCTAAGTAATCTATAAAATAAAAAAAAAATTACATTGATTTGGTCATTTTTAAAAAAAGTTATGGCAGTTTTAAGTAAAAAAAATTGAAAAAATGTCAAAAAGCGATTTATAAATTAATAATTTTTTTGGGAATTTCCCCCGTAAACAGAAAAGGGGGGAATTTTTTTTTCAATTTTGGAGGGTAATGTTTTCGACTAGTACAATTTGTGATCTTTTGACGTATTTTTCATCAAAATCAATCCAGCGAGGGCTGAGATTGAGCGTTTATAGACACAAAAAAAAAACACATCATAGTAAAATTAATACCTTCTCTAAAAAAATAAATTTTTTATTGTATTAGACACATGAACTGAAAGGATAAACTATTATAATAGTGAAGTACAATAAATTGGATGCACACAAAATTAAATGTATTTGAAATTCCAAATAACAGATACTACCAAAAAATATTCAAAATACATTTTTCTTAAATTCTTTAGAATATTTAAACAAAACTTTAAGATGATTTAACCATACTATAATATAGACAACATTACCAGGATCGTAAAAAAATTAGTTACCAATTAGATAATAGAAACAATATGTAAACTGCAAACTGTTCCTGTCCTTGCTATTTTAGTAACTGCATTTAAAAAAATTCTGAAAATAAAAATCTTAGCCATATAACAATTTAAACTTAAAATTGGTTTAGATTGAAACCAACATTAAATTTTAAAGAAGTTATTAAAAAATTATTTTTTAAAATGTAGTTTTGGTTTATATCCATAATATTTATCATCATAATAATAAGAACATATTAATTTGAGAAAATAATCCACTTTAGGTAAGTCTATTGTATTTTGGAAAATTTCTTATAGAAAGAACTTATAAATAATATTATACATCTTGTCATACATACTTGAGGAACTTGTGCATAGTACTCATTTTGCTGATCATCCCAACTGGTAGGTAATGGTGGTGGAGGAATTCCAGGAGGCTTACTAGTTTTCAACTCCTTAAAAATTATTTTTTATGTCGATAAATATATCATTTATGTATTCAAAATTTGTTGTGAACGTAATGAAATGAACTTACTTCAACATATGCAGCTGGAAAAAGACCTGTTTGACCTTTGCTATTCGTCCCTTCCCACCATCCTTCACCAACATCATTTCTGGTAACTGTCAATATTTCACCAGCAATTACTGATAATTCTGATGACCCGGGTTCTCCAATAAAATCATATAAAACTAGAACCTTAAAAAAAAATTGGAATATAAAATATAGAGATAAAAAGCATGATATGTAATATCATGCACAGATATTTTTCATAATATCTATTTTAATTTAACACATAAAAATATATACAGTGTAAATTTTTAACTATAATCCCCTCAATTACTCAAAAAATAATTATTTTGAAAAATTTTCTTTGGTTAATTTTAGTTACATCTTGTTCTTAAATTATTAACAATGTAATACTTTTTAAACATATCCCTTATGTATTGTAAGGGTAAAAACTTTGTTTTTTCAAATAGAAAAACATATTTTAATTTAAATTAAATTTATGAGGGTTTTTTTTAATAATAAATGGTGTTTAAATTTTTAAATAATTACAGCTGTTTATTAGATACAACACTTTCTGTTTAGCGGGTTTGCGTATTTATAAAAGATAACTCATAATATTATACCTTATAAACAACCATACACAAAACATATCAAGTGATAATCGTAATTGACAATAAATGCTGCATATCTGTGAATAACAAAGTCAAAGAAGCAATTAGCTTGTATATGGTTACATCCCTCATATATTGTATATTTATGATAACTCAAAAAATCTAAACTTTAAAATGTAATTAAAAGCTTAAACATCATTTATTATAAAAAAAACTCAAAATTATAATAAATTAAAAATATTTATTCCTATCAAAAATAAAAAAAAATTAATACCCTTACAAGGCATAAATGATGAACTTAAAAATTATTACATAGCTAATAATTTAATTACAAGACTTGATTAAAAATTATCTAGAAAAATGTAAAAATTATTTTTATTCTGCAAGCAACTGAGCGAGCTGTGATAAAAAAAAATCCATCCTGTATTGAATAAACTTAAGTTAAAATAGTCAAAGATCAATGTCATCATCAAATTAATAATTAAAAACAATAAAGAAAAAATTATTTTTTATATTTATTAATGAAGCTTCCTACAAATACATATTCAAGAGTACAAAAGGTCTTAACCTCCCCAAATGTTAAATTGTACATAATTCTTATAATATTAAATTTGATAATATTTTGTAAAAAAGAAAAATTTTTTGATTGCACTATCCCCCTCCAATGAAATCCTGACTTCTTTACTTTAATTTTAAAAATTATGTAACTAATTATACATATCATATTAAGTTAATGTTTGTATTAAATTAATCACAAATATAAAACATAATTTTAAATTAAACATTATTTTATGCATGTAATTATAATCTTAAATAAAATAAGGAAAAAATGAATATATTAAAGGTCAAATAATAACTCTTGATTATTCATTTATTTCTTTATAAAATAATAGTATGATAATAATAATAATAATAATTCCTGAAGAATACTTTTTAAAAAAATTGTATTTAATATTGTTACTTACAATCATTAGACTTTTAATAAAACAATATTAAAATTTAATTATTTTATCTAGGAAAAATAATTATCGAATCTACATGTTACCAAACATTTAAAAATTAGTAGTGAATGAGTAAATAATATAAAGTTTATTCAATAGAACTTTGCATCTGTGTAAATAACACAAAAAAAAATGTACATATAAAATGAATCATTTTTTTATTTTCAATTAGACTTGAAAATCTTTTTTTTTTTATAAAATAAGAAATTTATTTAAAGAACTTACTTTCATAGTGAGTTAGTGATATCTCTTACACACAATATTTCAATATTTAAAAAAATTGGTTTTTCCTCGATAAAAAAATAAAATATTTGAGGTGATTCTGGTAAAATTTTAAAGAAATAATTTTAGTAAATAATGAATTATTCTCAGTATCATTTTATTGATGAATTTGATGATTGGAGTTAATTTCTGAAACGATTTTAATAATAAATTTTAGATAACAAATGTTTAACGAAAAATAATTAATAATTAACTATACTTAAGAGGATTCATCATATGCGTTGTGATGTCATAGCGTATTTTCTACTGTAGGGTGTACCTACAATTATAATTCAGTAAATTAAAATAATGTAATATCATAGAAATAAGACGAAGAAATAATCAAAATAATAATAACAACAATGTGTTGCATTCTACAATTTCTGTGTTATCAGTAACTTCATGAACCTCAAAGAGTATGCTCATCACATAGAGCAAGTCATATAGTCTGTGGTAATACAAGCTATATAACCATGACATAGAGTAATATAAAGAAACCGTTGCCTATTACTCTCTGTACGCTGCAGTCACACCACCGAGGTTAATAATATGCAGTATGACCACGAGTATATTTGCAAATACAGTTCCAAAATAATTATTATACATGATATCATTATGAAGAAATGATTACACTAGTTTACAACAAAATTGACCTTTGAATTATGATAGTCATTTTTTATGTAAATCGTCCACTGAGTCCAAAATACAAAAAGTAGAACAGTTTTTGAGTTATTGCGAAATTAGCGTTTTTCGTGTGCCGCAAAAAAGTGTTTTAATAATATTCTAAATATCTTTAATTGCATTCAATCGATTTTCATTTTTTTTACATAAAATTAAACATTATTAAATTACCTATAACTTTTATCTTAAACAATTTTTTATCAGACTTTTTTCTCGTTTGCTATCTACAAATTTACCTCTGAATTTTATCATTTTTTTTAAAAATGTCAGAAAAAATTCAGAGTTTTACGTAAAATACACCAATAAAAAATAAATTTATCAACAATCTACTCAATAGATATTATACTCTAATACATAACAAAGAAAATTATATATTATTTTGTAATATTGATAAAAAAAATGAAGAAGTTATGCGCGATTGAAAAATAAAACGAATTTCCTAATATCAGAGTTTAAAAAACCCTGATATCGAATTAAAAATTCGATGCTTTAATTTTGTAAAATATAGAAAAAAATATTGAAAAATTACTTACAATATTACTTTTCAATACATAATTTCAATTTTTTAAATAACTTAAGGTTATTTCATATAGTTTTATTTGGATGTTTTTAAATTGAGTTAATTTTACAGTTTGGTGGAGTTGTGGTAAATTTTCATATTTTCCTTTTTTGTAAAACTTAATTATTTATTTTATTATTTATATATTAAATTTACTAAATTTACTTTTTTTTAAATACGAAAATTTACCACAACCTCACCAAACTAAAATATATCATAAGTCATGGGTCAGAAAATTTTTTTTTATTTGTAAACTAGTGTTATTAACAATACTATTGTACTCATATACTATTTGATATTTGATATTAAATATAATTTATTATATTATTACATTGTGCTAGCATCTAATAATTATAATTCAAAACATTTCTAAATAAGGAAGTAATAGAATCAATAACCCATTTATTTTATTCATTCAATTTTAAATTTTAATTATAATACATGATTATATAACTAAATTATTATATAAGAAGCTTAGAAGCCAAAATATATGTCACATTTAATTTGAAAAAATCGAGTTTAAAGATTTATTTTCACACTATGTAAATTAAAGTCTAATTTTTATCATTTTTATGTATTTTTTACAAATTTTCTTTTTTGTTTAATAAAATTATTGATTACTAGTCCAACTGTTCACTTAACTCAATTTTTTTTTAATCCCTTATTCCCTTTGCATTATTAGCGTCCNATTCTTCTCTCCTCATAACATGACCAAACCATCTAAGTCATTGTCTCTTATTTATTATATTAAATACATAGTTTTAATGGCTTTTCTAATTTTTCTATATATTTATGGTTCCATACGAAGTTGAGAAAATATTAATTTTTCTTATGATTGTTGCCTCATTTTCAGAGCCTCACTGGACCAATTATTTCAATGATACGTAAATAGATCATAAATCATATAAAGTTGAAGATATTGACCTTAAAAATTGAAAAACTTCCCTCCTTTCCTGAAATGAAGGAAATCCCCAAAAATTTTGATTTTTAAAATTACCTTATTTAACCTCCCTTTTACAAAAAAATTATATCTTCTTCTTAATTATTATATTCTTCTTAATTATTATCTTCTTCTTAATTCTTCTATATTCTTCGCCTTAATCCCAACTTTTTGGGGTCGGCCACCCTTATCCTAAACTTCCACTTGACACGATATTCCCACATCAGCTGTCCTTATATCGCATTCAATAGCATCCCTCCATCTCTTTTTTGGTCTTTCTCTACCTCTTCTTCCTTCAATATTCATTTCTATAACTGTTCTTACGGCTCCCAATTCTTCTCTTCTCATAACAACCAAAATATCTAAGTCTATTTTCTCTCATCTTATCCACGATTGACGCCACACCTATACTCCCTCTTATATGCTCGTTTCTTATTCTATATTTTCTAGTCACTCCACTCATCCATCTAAGCATTCTTATCTCTGCTACACTCATTCTCTGCTCTACTTTCTTATCAACCGCCCAACACTCTGAACCATACATCGTAGCTGACCTCACTACAGTCTTGTAGAACTTACCTTTATCAGCCTCATTGGAATTCTTTTATCGCATAAGACGCTAGACGCTTTTTTCCACTTCAACCACCCATAAAAATTATATATTTTTCTCAATTTATCAATCATGAAATATTTTTTATGTTCATCCCTTATTTCTTAAAAGTGTGTCAATTAAATTTTTTTAAATAGTTAACATACATAATTAATTAGCTTGTTTATTAAATGATGGCCTAATCAAGAAAATGTGCTGGTTGTTTAAAATTTGTGAATCAGTATTTCAAAAGTTATTTTGAAGTCGTGACATTTTTACACCATGGTGGGAGGAGTGTGATCGATAAATATCTAGTAATAAAAATAGTAGCACATGCGTCTCACCTACTTTAAATTATTTAGTACAATTTAACATCATATAGTATTATTGTACAGTATCATCACAAAACTGATAAACCAAAAAGTTAACATAAGACATAAAACCATATTTTGAACACTCCCTTCCTGTGTAAAAAGCATTATCATCTATTTTTAATCCCATTCGGAAAATTTAGGCTCTTTCTTTGTTAATTCTATTTTGGTGATTTACAATTTATGATTCGTATGAATAAAATGTTATTCTAAAGTAACAAAAGTAAAGTTTCTTTTTTCTAGTAGCGACTTATTTAAGGGGGTGGTAACAGGGGCAATCGCTTCTTCGGGCCAGCAATATCAATATTTTGTAAAGTAAAAATATGGCTTTAAATAGCTATATTTTTGGTTATATAGAAAAAAAAATGTTTCAAGCAATATTTATCAAAGTAATAAAAAATGAAGTCACCTTCTAAAATGAGTTCTAAATACGCCCCTGTTTTTTAGTGACGTGTTACTAAAAATTGCTAAATAAATGCAAATAATTTACTTGTCAAAAAAATTAATTAAATTACCTCATTTTATTACAGAACAAGTAATTTCAGTTACTTAACTTGAAACTTTGAGACTTGTTCCCTGTCCGTTGAAAAATCTTTTGTACACCACTGACTGTTAGCTACCATTATACATATATAAATGAAAAATAATAATAAAACCAACATGTGTTTTTTTCTAAAATCTAATAGCACCAATGGCATTAATTTTTTTTTATCAACAGCCGTGCTATATTTTATGATTTTCTTTAGACAAAAAACATCTGGTTTTATGTTAACGATTCTATAGTTTAAAAATAATATTACGCTCATTTAGATCTGAATATCTCGATCCCAAATTCTTAGCCCATTAGCTGTTAATAATAATTTTTAAGCGATATTTTACACAGTAACAATCTTATTTTTTTAAACTGTGTTTATTTTTTAAATACTAACTTAAAAATATTAATCATGTATCGAATCACTACTATTAGTTTCGCTATAATGCTGTAACTTAAAAATTTATAAGTTTTTTGTATCTATCTATCCTTATCAAATGATACAAAAAAAATCAGAATTATATTTAAGCCAGTGGCCTTGATGTGCTAGAATATTCAAAGATAAAAAAAAAAATCAAAAGACTAAAAAATTTAAGAATTTATAAAATTGAATTAGATTTCCATTAAACTTCATTCCATCCACTTGTGTCGTAGCACCCATTGCATTTTAAAATAGCATATCGAAACTTTTTGTAAGGCTTTTAGGAAAATGTTTACAGTAAGTGGTGGAAAATAAACATTATACAATGTTTATTTTATTATAATTTATGCGTCTAATACAATTAAGGCGTCTGGGTACCGACCGTTTTTAGTAAAAAACAACTTGTTTTTGTTCCATCAGTACGATGAAACTACTGATGTAATAAGACTTCTGAAAACAGCATCATGTCACATATGTATTGGTCAGAATTGAGGAGTTCAGAAATTGAATTTCTTAATAGTATTATAATAATAAAAAAGAAAGATGATTTATATCTAGGATATATGTTCAAATTTTTGTTTAGATCGTTAAATTAAAATCTTTTTAATGTTTGCAATTTTAAAATGCAAAAAACATCAATACTTGTAATTTCCAACAATTGACTAAATTTGAGTTATCATTCTAAGTATTGTAATTTGAAAAGGTTTATTCAAATTTTTGAAATGATAGGTTCAATAATAGGCTGACATTTTCACGAAAAGATAAAAAAATCGCAATTCCGTAAAATATGGTATTATAAAAATATTTTTTCTGAATTTTAAAAATTCTATAACGAAATAACTGCCTAACTACAATAATCTTTATTTTGGTTTGCTATTTGTGAATATTTAATGAAAAACAATATTCAATGAATTTTAAGGAGTATTTAATATTTTTTTGTGAAATTTTAATAATATAAAAATTATAAAATTGTATAAACAAATTATAGTAAAATTTATCAGACTCCCATGGAGGCGTTTTTTCGATAATGATGCAAATCATTGTTAGATATCATCTATACTTGTGATCATAAGCTCCTTGATCAATGTCACAGAGTAAACAAATCTAGTCAGTTATAATTTAAAACTTTTGAAACTTTTGTTATAATTACAGTCATGACATTATTATGTATTTATAAGATAATAAATAAAATCACAGGCTTATTAATAAGATAATATATTTTCAGAATAAAAATTATTATTTTGATGATACAACTTTTAACTTAAAATTTTGAATATAAAACAAAAGCAATTATGTATCAAATATATTTTTTTTATAATAAAATCATGCAATTTATACTATTATTGGTTATTTAAGTATGATGTTAATTAATTAATTAAACTATTTTTATGTTTATCAACAAGAATATCTGTTAATAGTCATACAAGCATATTTTTATAAAACAAATTTGTTTTTATACATTTTAAACGATATTTTTATTTATCATATAAACTGGATATAGATTTTATTTTAAAGAGTTATTTCATCTTAGCTAATTTTTTTTTTTGGTTATCCATACTCAGCATTGTAATTAATAATTTGAATAATTATTAATTATTATTAGTTAATACCTCAGGCTATATAAAAAGTAGTCATGTCTGTGATAATACCCACACACCCATTTATTATTTTTACTATAACTTATCTCATATACAGAGTGTTCAGTAAATAAGGAAACGAATTTCTATTGTACTCATTGTTTGTAACAATTTAACTGTTTCCTAACTTACTGAACACTCTGTATAATGTAGTTAATTGCGTTACTCATTGAAACTAACAACCATGTATTAAAAAAAAATAGTTTTATTAACAATTATTGAGATCACTGCTTTAATATTATTGATAATAGGAAGTTTTATATTTTTCTAAAAAGCTCTAACATTTTTTACTTATTAAAAATTTCTATTTGATTTACTTAAAGTTAACTAGAAAAGTTGTTATTTTATAATATTGTTGTACACATGATATTTTAATCTAAAAATAGACTAATTGAATAAGTTACTGCTAAATTTTAAACATTTTGGTCCTAAGTATCAAGGGAGGTAGTGAACTCTATTCTGTTTCCAATAAATGCCAATAAAGAGTTCATATTTCATGTTTGTTAAAGTTTCTTATTTTAAAAAAGAACAAATCGTCTTGGGAATAAAGAGACTTGTTTAATCCTGCGCTTAACTCTCCCGCCCATTAGTTAGACTAAATTAAAATGGGACAAATGCTCATCACCCGTTTGATGCGGATTAGTGCGAATGCGATATAAATATTTATGTTTTGATAAAGTTACTACACCGAACGATTCATATTTCGTTCAGGTATGTCATTTTTATTTCGGTCTCTTATGTCACTTTTTGCTACGTGAAATTATGATTAAATTTAAGTATATTGAAAATAAATAAATAAATATTGTTTTGTTTTATATTGTGCGTTATGTGGAATATTTATAAAGTATAATAATTTTTAGTTCAGTAGCAGTATTATGTAAAAATTTAATTAAAAATGTCGGGTTAGTTGTAGTATGAGCAATCGTTTTATTACTTAAATTTCATATATTAATTATTATTATTTGGTTTTATATGTGTATAGATAAATGAAATAGGTATTATATTTTTGAGGAATGGATCACAGGGTTAAAGCCATGAGCAGGCAACGACATAGGTTACCTTGGTGGACACCTAGAGATTGTCGTTTTGAAAACCCTGAGCTTGAAGCACTTTACCAACAATACGTTTCTAAACTTCATCAATCATGCGTTACAAATGTAATCGCATTAATGGCAATCCTTACCCTTATCCTAGCCATCATTAGTGCAATATATAATCAAACTCTGACGATTAACAATGTTTACTACTTTTTTAATACTTTTATATTTATTATATTAATGATTTTTCTCAACACCAAGTACATGCATAAATCTTACTTACATTTGATTTGCTGCATTCTATTATGTTTTTTCATAATGTTTTCTCTAGTCTCATTTCCTATTGGAAATCCTTTTTATAAGATCTTACCTTTTACAAAATTTGAATCTCATCAGGTAATTGCCGAAGGTATTTGGCAAATCTCTTTTGTAACGTTCCTCACATATACAATGATGCCTTTAAAAACATCTATTGTTTTTTCTTTTGGGCTGGCATTGCCTATTATACATCTCACCATATCAGTAATATTTGCTCACACATTTCAAAAGTATACAATTCAACAGGTAAATATATTATAACATATTACTTATTTATTAAATAAATAAATAAATAAAAATGTCAAATTGATTATTAATTAATTGATTAAGAAATTATTTATTTGAATGTAAAATAATAAATCATATAAATTATTCATAAATGATACCTTAAAGTTTTTAACTTTTTAGTAACCTGTGATATATTTATTAACTACATATTTTTACTGTATTATTCTTTGTTTTATGGATATAAAATAAGTAATATCAGTACTTTAATTTTTAGCCTTTCAGTAATGTATCTGATAATTTTGAATTTTCTTAATACTATTTGATTTATTTAAGCTATAATAAATTATTGTGCTATTATTTAATTTATTTACACATATTTTTCAGACTATTTCAAATATTGTAGTTTTGACATGTATTAATATAATAGGATTAATATTACATATACTTATGGAACAAGCACAACGTCGTGTATTTTTGGATACGAGAAACTGTATTGCTGCAAGACTTGATATGGAAGATGAAAATGAAAAATTAGTAATTTTTACATATATTAAAATACTAAAAATACTTTTTTAACACTAAATATATTACATCTTCTTTTTATTTCCTTATTATATTAGTCCTGTTATAAATATTACATTTTTAAACTTTGATTATACAAATTAAAAATAATTAACATTTTTAATAAAATATAAATTATTGAGATATGAATTATGTAGACCTAACATATAACTGTTATTAAAAAAAATCAATAAAAATTATTAACTAGATAAAAAGTTATTTAAGTTGTCAGTGAATGCTGGGTTACCCTGTTTAATTGTATTTTTTATACTAAGTATAATAGTTAATTTAAATAAATTGATACTAGTTAACGCATTAAATTAACTATTTACTAAATAATAATCTTATTAAATTTTATTTTAGGAAAGATTGTTGTTGTCAGTACTTCCACAACATGTAGCTTTAGAAATGAAAAATGATATAATGTCCCCAGTAGAGGGTCAATTCCATAAAATTTACATACAACGCCATGACAATGTCAGTATTTTATTCGCAGACATAGTTGGTTTTACAGTTCTAGCATCACAGTGTTGTGCTCAACAATTAGTTAGGCTACTTAATGAACTATTTGGTAGATTTGATCAATTAGCTAATCATAATCATTGTTTACGTATAAGAATACTTGGAGATTGTTATTATTGTGTATCTGGATTACCTGAATCACGATCAGATCATGCTAAGTGTGCTGTAAATATGGGACTTGATATGATTGATGCTATTTCGTATGTATTGGTTTTTAAATTAAATAAATTATCTTTACACTATATGGGATCATCAGAATGTGCTATAGAGGCTTAGACCCTCAAAAATTTAGAGATATCTGTATTTTATAAAATAATATTAAGTCAGTATAAAAATAATTTCACCCAACGTGTATGTATATAATAATTAATGAATATATATATATATATGTATAATTTTAATTATTATTTTATAATTATTGAAAAATATATACATTCATTTGTTACTTTTTTCAGTCGAGTGGTTGAAGCTACTGATGTAGTCTTAAACATGAGAGTTGGAATTCATTCTGGACGAGTATTATGTGGAGTACTTGGTCTAAAAAAATGGCAGTATGATGTTTGGTCTAATGATGTAACATTAGCTAATAATATGGAAGCCGGTGGAGAACCAGGGTAATTTTATTTTCAAGTTTTCATATAAATGTTATAAAGCTAAAATTACTTTATTTAAATAAAAATATTTGAACTAATAATTCTTAAAATTCCATTACTTTTAGACGTGTTCATATTACACAAACAACATTAGATTGTTTAGATGGAGAATATGAAGTTGAACCAGGGCATGGTAGTACACGTAATAAATACTTAAGGGATAATAATGTAACAACTTACTTTATTGTTCCACCTTCTCGTAGGAGAAAAGTAATTAGTTAATGATATATTGTTTCAAAAATTTATAATTTTTTATTGTTTATTTATATATTTAGCCACTTATAATGAATCCACAAAGTAATTTTACTGCTAGAGAAGGTAAAAAAATAACATTTAAAAATGTTTCGAATGTTGTCATACAACTGCTTCACTCAATTAAATATTCAGTTGAAGCTCCTTTCAGTAATATTACAACACCAATGACTTCAGATACAAATATAGTGTCTTCATCAAAAGTAATAATTTACTCTTTAATTACATTTATAAATATAAATTTTTAATTTGCTATGTATAATTATATGAGAAATACAGGGTGTTCAGTAAGTCAGAAAACGGGTTTCTATTGTTCTCATTGTTACAAACAATGAGAACAATAGAAACCCGTTTCCTGACTTACTGAACACCCTGTATATTTTTTCTGATATGAATAAAAAAAACATTTAACAATGAAATGGATTTTAAAAAATTTTCAATTTTGTAAAAAGAGCTCAAATTATTTGCTAACTACTCTTATTGAAATAAATTTAAATTTATATATGACAGAATTATTTCTATTTTTGTTTAGGTGTATTATACAAGCAAATGTAAGATAAAAATAATTTTTTTATTCAAAATTATTTTTATAGATAACTTTTGTGTCGTTATAAAAATAATGTCTAAATTTAAATAATTTCAGCATAAAGTTACTGATAAGCTAAAAAGACCATTTAAGAAACGTCATTCTAGTGTTTACCACCAACCAACAAATAGAATAAATAAGTACTTAAATCAAGCTATTGAAGCACGTAGTATAGATAGAGAAAAAGAAGCTCAAGCTAATTTAGTAACATTATGTTTTAAAGATAGGCATAAGGAGACTTTGGTAATTAATTAATTTTATAAAAAAGTTATTTATTAATATCTAATTTTCTTTTTTACAGTATCAATTAGATGGTTCAAATATAGGATTTGCAAGCTCATTGGTTACCAATTTACTTATTGTTATTGTAATTGCTTGCCTACATGCTATCATACTACCAAGAACAGTTATTTTGTTACTTTTATTTTTGACTGCCTTTGTTTGGAATGCTGTAAGTATGATACTTGAAAATACATTTAGTAAAAATACATGTAGTATAAAAATAATTTAAAATATGTAAAAATTTATTTAATATTAGATTTTAAGTATATTGAGTAGAAATTATTACTATAAGATGTATGCTGTATTTTAAACTTAACTAATGTATTTTTGGATTTCTGTTAATTTAACTAATACTAAAAAAGAAATAAAAAAACGTCTTAAATATTATATGAGATATTTTACCATAGGATTGTTATTTAAATGAAATTTAGTTAATGGCTAAACATTTTTTTGTTATTTAGGTTGTTTTAATGGTTGTATTAGCCGTTCGCTTGAGATGGATTATGTGGGATATATCACAATGCTTTTTGTTACGTTTAGCAATAAATGTTTTTACAGTGTTACTTGTTTATATTGTTGCTCAAGTCAATGTGGTAATAAGATTTACATTACCATAATTTGTTTATATACATGATATTTTTTACTCCAAATATTAAAATGATTAAATCTTATAAGTAATTTTCATTCTATAGTAAATTTTGATACAAGTAGCTTAATTCTAAAACTAAGACTATCCAATTAATTAGCAAAATAACTCGTTATTTTCTTATAATATAATTTTAATATTAATAATCTTTTCTAAGAAATTAAAAAAAATATGTAAAGAATTTCATTGTGAATTAAATTTAGAGAAGTAATATTAAATTGAATTTATTTAAAAACCTTTAAATGATATTTTTTTAAAATTTAGTTTACTTGTCGAATGGATACTTCTTGCAATGGTTTAGTAAATGTATCATCTACTGAAGCTATGATACTTAGTGTATCAGATCACCGTGCTTGCCCTTTACCACAATATGTTGTTTTATCATGTTGTTTAGGATACTTATCTGTAGCTGTATTTTTGCGGCTTCCTATTTTAATCAAATGTTTTCTGGTCAGTGTCATGGCTCTCATGTATATTCTTTTTATTCAGTATACACATCGACATTTGTTTTCATGCTATGATATCACAATCAAGTAATTAATGCTAAATTATATTTTATATTTTGGTATTAATAATTGTAATTATAAATATTTTTCATAGAAATGCTGTTCCTTTACACATAACAAGTATTGTGTTTGTCATCATGTTTATGTTAGCTATTATTATTCATGGTAGGCAAGTGGAATGGACAACACGTTTAGATTTTCTATGGAAAATACAGGTTAGATTATAATGTAATAATGTATACAATTATATTATATGTAATTATTTATCATTGGAAGATAGGGTAGAATAATTGATTATCTTTGATGGTTAAATTTCTCCTAAAATAATTGAATAATTTTATTTTTAATTTTGGTTAGTATTATTCAATTTTTGTTTTTTAAGTGATTAAATACTTTTAGGTCCATCCCTCATTAGGGTAACATTTTTTTTAATAGCAACTTACATATTAACTTCCCCATGTAATAGAAAATGATTCAAGTAAGGAAATAACTAGTTAATAACAACTTTTGAAATAGTTGAAGTTAACAAAATTTAAAATGAAGACAACTGGAGACAAGGTGTGAGTTATATTATTTTTCATGAAAAATTTCTCTGCGAAGCTAATTACTACTCATCATAAATTTTTTATTGGCTTATTCCAATATTTAAAAAAAAAAAACTCATTTGAAATTTTGAAAAAAATAATTTTTTTTTTTCATTATTTTTTATTATTGAAAACAAGTTATAAAACATACTTTAAATAAAATTTAATAATGTAACAATTATTTAAAAAAAACTAGTGAAATGTTAATTGCATCAAAATTATAAAAGTTATCGATTAGATCTGTTTCACTCTTATATATACTAGTAATTTTATTTATTTTTGATTAGCCCACTGTACAATAGTATTAATTTAACTGTGTTTAATGATGGAAATTCCTTAAAATAATAATTATTAGAATTTTTACATATTATTTTTTAACTTAAAAAAAACTATAGATCAATAACAATTTTTTTTTTTTTTTTTGAAATACTTAAAAGAACTTCAAATACAAGTACAATTACTTTGTATAATTTTGTAAAAAATTTGGAATCATTCTCCTTTTATTAAAATAATTTTTTATTACTATTATTTTTACTATATTAATAATATAATTATTTAACAAACAAAAATGTAACAGGCTAAAGAAGAAAAGAAAGAAATGGAGTTATTACAAAATAGCAATAAAAGAATATTGTATAATTTGCTACCAGCACATGTAGCAGCTTATTTTTTAGAAAATCAATTTAAAAACAATATTGTAAGTATATATTTTTAAATAATATTATTCGTTAAAATTCTTGAATTATTTTTCCTATTTCAACTCATTAAAAAATAGTTGATTTATTATTTTAATATTAAATAAAGCAATGTATTAATATACTTTGTAATTGGTAAATTATCAGAGAATAACAATTTTGATTTATAGGATCAATTTATTCTATATAGATAGTATACTCCTATTTGAATGAAATTAAGTATTTCATAGAAATAAATTATTTGAAATTTTTTTTGTAAATGGTTTTTTTTTTAATAATTAATTTTAACTGTTTGATATTGTGTTAAAAGACTAGCTTTAAATTCATACTAGAATATTGTGTAATTAATAATATAATTTTATTTTGTTATAGAAATGGCTCAAATATTGTAGTGAAAACTTTATTTCACCAAAAAAATTGAATTTTAATTGTAATAAAGGCTAAATTTAACTTTATTTCAAATGCATTTTTCTTGTGATACATATTATTAATTTTTGTGATTTAATTAATTTTAATGTAGTTTTAAAACTATTTGAATACAAAAGTTGTATTCAACATAATTATACACAAAACAAATGTTTTCTTATTTAATAATAATATACTTTAAAAATTAAAATATTTATTTAACTAGGGTAAATTTTACCATTTTTAAATGATTACTAAGGCTGAGCTATTATAAAAAAATTATATTTTATAGATTTAATCAACTTATTATGTAGTAATAAAAAAAAAAATGATTTATTGCAAAATAATAATAAAAATCTTGAAAAATAATTTTTCATATTACTAATAAAATAAATATTTGTAATTGGGCCCTTTTTCCAATTTTTCATATTTTTTTTATTACTCTTTTATAGCATGGTATACACGACCTTTATCATCATAGTTACAATAAAGTTGGAGTTATGTTTGCATCAATTACAAATTATCACGAATTCTATATAGAGTTAGATGGAAATAATCAAGGTGTTGAATGTTTAAGATTGTTAAATGAAATCATTGCAGATTTTGATGAGGTGAATAAATTATTTTATAGTTTTATCTATTTTATATTTTACGTAAGAATAAAATAATTGTTTATTTGTATAATTATAGCTTTTAGAAGATAATAATTTCCAAGCTATTGATAAAATTAAAACAGTTGGATCAACTTATATGGCGGCTGTAGGATTAATGCCTGAACACAGTATTTCAGATAATGAAGCCATGTCAGCTGTTCATTATTTAACTGTTTTAATAGAATTTGTTTTTGCTATGAGGGAAAAACTTGTTTATATTAATGATAACTCTTATAATAATTTTATGCTTAGAGTGGGTATGTACTATTATAACTCTTATAAAAAATTTCATTTAGCAATGATTTAAATATATATTTAGGAATAAATATTGGACCTGTTGTTGCTGGAGTAATTGGAGCTCGAAAACCTCAGTATGACATTTGGGGAAACACAGTTAATGTGGCAAGTCGTATGGACTCAACTGGTCTTCCAAATCACACTCAAGTAATTATTACTGTTATGTATTTATAAATATAAAAAATATCCTAGAAATGAAATATTTATCAAAATTTAAATGACATTTATAAATATTTTGAAAGTGTATTATTATTATGTAAACTAATTATTATGTATACTAATTAGGTTCACTTTTAATTGAATCATTTATATATTTTTTAGCCCAAATAGTCTAGTACTATTTAATACTAATCAAAATTCAATTTAATTTGCTGTCTAAATCATCTATTTAGTATTCACACATTTTTTCAATAGTTATACAATAAATTTTAACATGAAAATTTAATTTTTTTATGGATTGTATATAGATGATAAATTTACTTTTTTAGGGAAAGTTGTTCATGTTTATTAAGTGATTAACATAGCTTATAATTTTGATTGTTAAAATATTTTTTGTAATTTATGTAATTAAAAAAATTGTAACTATATGATTTAATGTTATCTAGGTGACTGAGGAGGTGTACCAAATATTAAAAAATGAGTCATATGTTTTCCAATGTAGAGGAAATGTCAAAGTCAAAGGAAAGGGAGATATGACTACTTATTTTTTGACTGACAGAAAAAAAATTTCTAGTGTGAATTCAATTCAATCTACTTGTACCAGAAATGAATTGACTCGTAAATTTTTTTTTCCAAATATTCCTTAAATAATAATGATGCATAATGCTTATTTTTTTAGAAACTTTGTATGGTGGTGTACCTACTCCTTTGTGTTCATTAAATGTCCCACCTAGACCTTATAAAATGCTTAGACCAACTATGAATCGATTACGCCCATTAAACCATAATAAAGAAAGCATGCCACCAGAATGTCACTTATTACTTCCTACAGGTAATATTATTAATATTCATTAAGTATTCTACATTTAGTATAAAAATGGTGAAAGTGTCACAAAAATTAGTAACATTTTTAATACATTAATTTTTAATTAATTTTAATTAACATTTTAATGTTTTATAAGTTCTAGCACTTAAAACAACATTAATAATTTAGCAAATTAACTTAAATTGCTTTTTACATTAATAAATATATTACATTAAGTATCTGTAGGCTGCTATAAACATTTTTTTCAATTTTTATATCTGTTTAAAAACTTTATTTTTGTATACAAAAATTTTTCATACATAAATTATTGGCTTTCAATATTTTTGTAAATCAGGGTTAATTATAATAGTGTCTTTACTAAATAACAAAACTTTAAACAACTACTTAAAATATATTTGTTTAGAAGTACCCTTTTTAATAAAAATAACATATTTTCTCATAGTTAATTTTCATGTATAATAATAATAAAGAAAATGACTGTTGTCTAGTGTTATTTATCAATAATAAAAAATGGTAAATATTAAATAATGTTTGTATACAATTTAAAATTTTACTTATAAAAAATAAAATTTTATTAGCTTCGATGTGAAGCTGAGTAGGTATTGGTTTTACTATGATGTTTTCTTTTTGTCTGTTACCACTTTTTCTCAGTTCTCACCAAACCGATTTCTTTCAATGATACGTCAAAAGATCACAAATTGTATCTAGTCAAAGACATTACCCTCAAAAATTGAATCAAATTTCCTTCGTTCCCCGTAAATGGAGGAAACCTCCATAAAAATTACAAAATTTAAAAATCGCTAATTTTCGAAATGTTTTCAATTTTTTTTACTAAAAACTGCCATAACTTTTTCAAAAATGAACAAAACAATATAATTTATTTTTTTTATAAATGCTTGATGTATTTACCTATCATTTGGTATATTTTTTTATAAATTTAACCCTTTACCTGCCCACAGGGGGGGATTTAAAATGACAACTTTTTCACAAAAAGTTAACTTTTTCAACTTAACTTTTGAAAGTGTTCCGTAAAGTCTGACACTTTTATATATATCTTAAATTAAAGCTAATGTAATGTACTTTATTATGGAAAAAAAAATTTTGGACTTTATTTTGTCTTCACAGTAAAAATGCTACCAAATGCTATTTTTGTGTAAAAATTCTCAATTTTATTTTTTACATTTTTAACTTGCTATAATAATGCTATAACTTGGTGGCGTGCAAGGACACGAAAACTTGAGCACAAGGGTGCAACAACAAATAATAAAAACTATGGCGTACAACGGCCGAACAATTTACTATTCAAGCGAAGGTGCTTGCTACAGAATAGAATGACACATAAAACAAATTTACTGACTGACTTATGACAATGAACTGTACACGGATGAAAACTGACACAGAGGTCATCAATTTGCCGTGATGGGTGTACAAGAGGGTGAGTAAAGCAAGATGCTGGTGATCAGCGGCCCCACGAAATAATATAATCAATGATCTTTGTAACAACTGGTCAACTAGATCCTTCTAAAGACATTCTGTAACATACAATTTATATCCCTTTTTCATTCGACATACTTTATCTTAATTAGGATATAAATAAAGAAATAGCAGATCATGTAGCTTTAGGAATAATCCACCAATTTTTTTAAATTAAACACTATATAAAGATTTGCATCGAAGCGTTTTTTACAATAGTGATTTTAATCAATGTCAGATATCATTATACTTGATCCAACTATGCCACATCACCACTGTGCCGCGACCCCCAGTGCTAGATTTTATTAATTATAAGCTATTTATTTCTTTTAAACTGTAGTAAAACATTGTTCTTTTTCACATAACTCAACGAACACATAATTATATGATTCCATCCTGTTAATTCTTATGTTATGTACTTACAATAAGCTTACCAATTTAAATGTATTTTATAATGATGATAATATTGTAATACAATTAGTATGTAACTTGTAGTTATTCTTGATTTAATGTTTTTATTATTTTTACTGTAATTTAATTGTCATATATTTTATATATTTCTGTACTATTTCCATTCTGGGCATTTGTAAAAAAAAAAAAAATAAACACCATTTCAACATAGTAAGTTTTACTTATTTTTTTAGGCAGCAGTAACAGCAATAGTTTTGGTAAAAAGAGTAACAATATATATAACTATCAACATATTTCACCAGTTATGTTATCTCCTAAGTTACCACAACACAAAGGACTCACAAAAGTTTTTCCTCCATCAACTGCTCAATATTCTCCGTGGAAGCCATCATCAACTCTTAGGTATTTTATTTAAGTATTTCATTGTTGAACAAATTGATTTAAATATTAAAAAATTTAATTGATTTTTTTTCATATTAAAGCAATGAAAATAAATGGCAACAAAATATAAAGCCTTACTTGAAACCTCTACCAAAGCCCCCATCAAGTAGTAATATTAGTAATCATGGAACAAACACATTACTTGCTTCTAAAAATAAATTACGGGATTATAGTCAATCTAACACCAATGGTGCTATTCAATGTTCTTCATTAAGCTCTCTAAATCGATCTCTTACATCTAGCTCATCATCAGATGAAAGCTATAGCCGTACAACTACTGACGCTTCTCCTTCACCATCACCACCACCTACATCAGTTCCTACACCAAGCAAATGGCTTTTTTCATCTGACATTAATTTAGATTTATCAGAGCCTGAAAATGATTGCAATAATAGTTTAAATGGAGTTGAAAATATCAAATTTAATAGCTTTACCAATAATAAAACAAGTAGAAGTCAATCATTTAATGATAATAGTAGCTGTAAACATAGCAAAGACTCCTCATTGAATAAAAAAGATGAAACTACTAATACTGATCAACAACTAGCAGAAATAAACTCTAATAGTACAAAATTATCAAAAAAGAATGCAAGTTGTCAAAATGAAATTTTAGATACAATATCTGTAGATGCTGACAATAATCAGTCTGATTTTACTAATAAAATCCAGAGAATTCTTGCTGATCAGCCATGTCAAAATATTAAAAACATGAGCAATACTAGTGATTTAGATTCAACTATTACTGAGTAAGTTTTAAAAATTAAAGAAATAAACATAATTGGAACTAGATATTTTAAATAGACTGGGTTTCTTATAATTTTACCTATTCAATGACCTGATCAGAATTTTTTCATAAGAGTAAGTTTGTATAAAATAGATTTTTACCACCCCGTTCTAATTCATTGGCACAATTTTGAAGGGAGTTATATAATCGGCAATTAATTTTGATTATTAAAATGAATATTCAAATTGTATTTTAATATAAAATTTTTTATTAATAATTACATTAAAAACATTTAATGAATACATTTAGCATAGGCTTACTAACCTGAACCATGGCCCAGTAAATCCAGGCTTTAGTTCTGCTTTGGTAATAATTTTAAATATTTAGTTTAATGCAAGCTATAATTTAGAGAAAAACAAGAAGATAATTATCAAGTGATTATTGATATCTCCAATGAAATTGAGCAATCAGATAATCTTTTGAGTGAAGATTTATTAAAATCCAAACTATTTGAAAAAAAAGAAAGAGAAATTATGGAAGAAGTTAAACGACAAGTAATTCACTGAAAAAAATTTTTTTAATGAAAAATTCTTGTATTTTAGATACAACAAATATATTATTAATAATTAAAATTATGTTTTTGTTTGTATACATATGAAATTAAATAAAAATGTTACAGGAAGCCGAAGTTAGGAGAATGTTAGAGGAAAGTGCTTGTCAATTAGGAATTTCAGAGTCTGAATGGAGCGATGAAGAAGAAGCTTCTGAACCACTTTTAGATAAAGACAGTACAGGATATACAACTGATGATCCAGCATTAGAAAATATTTCTATTATGAATGACACGGGTCTAACAGATGCAGAAGGTAATTTGTATAATTTTGTTTTTTATGATTGTAGTAATATGAATGACCTTAAATTTATTAAATCTAACTATATCAAACATTTTCCTTATCAAATAAAAAAATTATTGTCAAATGCAAATAACCCTCTCTCAAAAATTATACAAAATTTGCATTTGAGCATAGTTTCTCTTTTTTTTTTTGTTCAAGTTAACTTTCAAAAATTTTAAATTCAGCTTATTAAGTTCAGTGAATTTATATTGAATAAAGGTGCTCTGAGTGATGTCAATTCTATGTTCGAGGGAATTGTTGACTTTAGTAGACATCATCGTAGTGGTTATAGAGGAGATGATGAAGATGATCACACTAGTATATCATCAAGAGCCTCTAGTAGGAATTTCGAGTCAGAAGGCTGTTTTTTCCAAGATAATGATGGTATTGCATATTACTCACAATATCCTCATAATGCTCACAACTGTAAAAGGTTTGCTATTTTAATTTAAATTTTTTTATCTATGTTACTTATTTATTTTAATTTATATTTTAAAACTATTGACAGGTATAATGGATTACCATTTAATTCTCTTGGGCATGAGCGACAAAGTATGGATTCTAATATTTTAACAGAACCAGAACTGTTGAACATAATGTCTGTGTCAGAATTATCAGATGGATATTCAGATAACTACAATAAACCCACAGGTGCTAATGATACTGATAGCGATGTGTAGATGACACTTATTGTAAAACTATTAATATTAATTATTTATTTAATGTTTTTATTTTATATAATATTTTTAAAAATATAAAAAAGATTTATACTTAAAAGGAAATAAAATAATAATACATCACAAAAAATTAAAATAAAATAATTTTATTGTTTAACAGTAATCTAATATACAATAGTAACTTTCAATGAACAATGATAAAGAAAATTACATATAACTTTATTTGACATTGATTTGATTCAATAATTACATTAAAAATAAAAGTATAATTAAGTCTTAGTATACGGTCTCTTATATATCATTCAAAATATAAAAAAACTTATAGATAACATATTCAATAACTTATTATAAATGTGGAGATTGATTGACAGCTTACTGTACTATGCTAGACACAAATGCTTCAATGGAAATAGTTAATTAAAATTAACAACTTGCCAATTATTAGTGTTACCATTAATGCTCAGTTTTGAAATAGTAATATTGTTGTAAACTATTCTTATTATTTTTAATTATTATTTTCTAAAAGGATTCCATATTTTTTTTCTTAATAATGAATTCCTCGGACTGACATCATTTACTGAGTTTGATTTATTATTTATTAAGTTCTTAGAATTTAATAAATTTTGTTTGTTCGTATACTGAAAATTTTTAATTTGATAGTTTTTATTTTTGAAGTAAATTGTTGATGATAATGTATATCAATGGTTAAGAGTACAAATATATTATAAGTAATTATAAAATTGTTCATAATTTTTGAAATTTTATATTGGTATCATGATATTAATGTTATAAGCATGCACATAAAACATACTAACATTATTTGGACTTGCCTGAGAATATTTTAGGAGTATAGAAAAATTTATTTAACTTATAACTTGTGTGGCTGGAGTAGATGAGAGTAGGCACACTATCACCCTATTACCCAAAGTTTACACTTATGCAGGAATATTGTTTAAGTATTGGAGCATTAATTGTTCCTAGGTTTGAATGGAAATTGAAGTAAACACAAACCTAAGGTTAATATTAATTTTATAAAACTATACTCCCTAACTGAATTTTATTAATATATTTCTTACTCCTAATGATGATAATTCATTAAAAAACTATGATAAATATATTTTTACCCTACACCATTAATATATAAATAACATTTAATGTAATGTAGTTAATTTAAAAGCTATAAACTTTGTTTATTAAATTATTTAAAACAAAAATACACAAAATACATATCAAATGACTAAAAAATGTTTTGTTATAGATTTTATAATTTTATTGGAAATAGAATACATATTAACTTACTTTATTGGAATCGCGATTGATTGGCGTTACTACTTTTAGTACCAATGAATCTTGAAAGTGCTTAATGAGTTTAGCAACATGATCTGATTTAGCCCATTTAACATCTTCATCGCCAATTCCAACTATGAGGTCTCCTTCTTTCATACCAGCATACTAAAAATTATAAAAATTATATAAAATTTAATGATACTTAAAAAAAACATGTTACTTTTAAATTTTATTGTATATTTTTTAACTTTAATTTTTAAAAAGNGTCTATTTTAGTGTTATAATTTTGTTTAATAAAAGTCTACCGCCATTTAAATAATTGTGTGTTGTAAGATATAACCCACAGGATTTTTTCATGCAAACCCATTTGCATTCTCAGAAAAAAATAAAGTTGACAAATATTAGTTAGAACAAATTTTAGCGTCGCCTACGTTAGCCGAAGATCCAGTGACCGACTTGAGCTCCTTTGAGACTATTTAAAGTTTTATTTTTGTATATTCGTAATTGTTGTAAAAAAAAAAAAATTGAAAAAACTGTGTGGAAGCTAAACTGAATTTATGCCAACATTTTACGATTAATAAATTGAGAAAAATATTTATCTAAAAGAAATTATAAATAAATTCTCAGTTTTACTTTTATTTTTTGATCCATAATAAATGAAATGTAGTACCCGTAGGAACTGAGAGTTTTGCATATTAGCAAGCAAGCCATTAATGATTTTTAACCAACAAGGGAGATAGACATATGCTTACGTAAATTTTTTTTAATTTGCATAGATTGTGTAATGGAGATACTAGATGGTATTCGTAAATTAATATTTGAACTATTTCTTAAAAAATTAATAAATCGCACTCGACTGTACGGTATATTATAATCCGTCACAATAAAACTAGTTCTTTTAAAGATTGAAAACGTTCTAAACGTCCTCAAAAGTTAAAATCATATCAAAAGAGGGCCATTGTAAAAATTAAGTAGTTGAATTCTAGGTCCCAGAGCGAGCTTTCAATACTTTACATAAACATTAACATAATTAACTATATATATAAACGACGAGTCGGCTGTTTTACTTGACAGTCAATAAAATCAAAAGACAATTAAATTTTTTCTAATTACATGATCCTATTACGTGTATCAATCAAACAATTGCATATAGTAGGACACATCTGACACACCGCTTCGTGAAGTTACAGTCCTCAGAATGCTTCATAACAACAAATCCTTCTCGGCAAACGTTAATAATCATGAGTGTCTCTATTATTTCTAAGGTGACCGTACATACTAACTGACCGGAAACAAAAGAAACACCACCGGTTTATGAACGGTTAGAATACCACCCCCAAATATGAAGTGAGTATTCAATAAAACATACGTTTAGTTTTTCGCCTATATAGGCCGACACAAAACCAACACAATTACGTCAGTTTATGGGCAACGAGTCATCGGACTCAACGGTACGATTTGACCACCGTACACAAACATCATGACTAAGATGCCGATATTGCCGTATACGACTACTATGAATGTCGTAGGTCAAGAGGCGATAGGGAGTGGGTGATAAGTTATGTGTATAGCTTGATCGGGCTACGCACCAAACTTTTAAACACCCATTCTAAGAACAATTGTGACGAAACTAAAAATCATTGCACCTAAACTGGCTTTTATGTCTGAAACTGACTATAAAGTAAAGTTATGCCACCGACCATTCGTAATGTTATTAAAAACGAAAGATATAAAGGTTATGTAGCTAGGAAAAAACCTTTTATGAGTCAAATAAATAAAAATGAATTTTTAGATTTTGTGAAGGCACTCATTAATAAGGGAAATCTGTATTATTTAGCGAAAATAGTAAGTTTAATATTTTTGATTCAGATGGTCGAGTTATGGTGTGGAGAAAACGTAATAAGCAGATGGATTGCATAAATTTGTGCCAAACGGTAAAACATGGGGTGGAAATGTATGAGCGCTGTTGATGTTGGTAATTTGGTATTTGTCGATGTTATTATAGGTTTACAATGCTATTCCAATGAGGCTTATGCGATAAAAGAATTCCAATGAGGCTGATAAAGGTAAGTTCTACAAGACTGTAGTGAGGTCAGCTACGATGTATGGTTCAGAGTGTTGGGCGGTTGATAAGAAAGTAGAGCAGAGAATGAGTGTAGCAGAGATAAGAATGCTTAGATGGATGAGTGGAGTGACTAGAAAATATAGAATAAGAAACGAGCATATAAGAGGGAGTATAGGTGTGGCGTCAATCGTGGATAAGATGAGAGAAAATAGACTTAGATATTTTGGTTGTTATGAGAAGAGAAGAATTGGGAGCCGTAAGAACAGTTATAGAAATGAATATTGAAGGAAGAAGAGGTAGAGAAAGACCAAAAAAGAGATGGAGGGATGCTATTGAATGCGATATAAGGACAGCTGATGTGGGAATATCGTGTCAAGTGGAAGTTTAGGATAAGGGTGGCCGACCCCAAAAAGTTGGGATTAAGGCGAAGAATATAGAAGAATTAAGAAGAAGATAATAATTAAGAAGAATATAATAATTAAGAAGAAGATATAATTTTTTTGTAAAAGGGAGGTTAAATAAGGTAATTTTAAAAATCAAAATTTTTGGGGATTTCCTTCATTTCAGGAAAGGAGGGAAGTTTTTCAATTTTTAAGGTCAATATCTTCAACTTTATATGATTTATGATCTATTTACGTATCATTGAAATAATTGGTCCAGTGAGGCTCTGAAAATGAGGCAACAATCATAAGAAAAATTAATATTTTCTCAACTTCGTATGGAACCATAAATATATAGAAAAATTAGAAAAGCCATTAAAACTATGTATTTAATATAATAAATAAGAGACAATGACTTAGATGGTTTGGTCATGTTATGAGGAGAGAAGAATCGGAAGCTTTAAGAACAGTTATAGAAATGAATGTTGAAGGAAGAAGAGGTAGAGGAAGACCAAAAAAGAGATGGAGGGATGCTATTGAATGCGATATGAGGACAGCTGATGTGAGCGTAGATGATGTGGGAGATTGTGTCAAGTGGATGTTTAGGATAAGGGTGGCCGACCACAAGTAGTTAGGATTAAGGCTAGGAAGAAGTCGATGTTATTATGGGTCGATATATATATTTAATTTGAAATATAACTTACATGCAAGTGCCGAAAAACTAAATATTGGCAATTCGTTCATTTTTCAACAAGATTACGACCCAAAACATACCGTGAAAAAAGTTCAAGAATGATTTTTATACCGAGCCAAAGCAACTTAACATACACCCTCATACACAAGCTACGAATCCTATTGAGCATTTATGGATAAAATAGGTAGACGTTCAAAAACTTATCAAACTAGAAACAAAGAGCAGTCTAAAAATGCAATATTTTAAGTATAAAATATATTGACTCTACTGTTACATGAAAATTAGTAGAATTTATGGAAAAACGAATGCACGAAATGCTAAAGAAGGGCCAACTGAGCATCAATAACAATAATTATAATAATATATTAAATTTAAAGTATTTATGTTATCTTGTACAGAAAATTTTTTGTTGTTATTTTTCTAACAATGTTTAAATAAATGCACGTATAAAATAAAATATTATTTTTTATAAATAAATATATATTTATGTGTTCTAAATAAATGTTAAATGTTAAAAATAAGAAGTTTTTCGACTTTTGAACTATCATGATATGTTATTGAAAAAATCTGGCCAGTGAATGGATTCTTTTTTTATTCCCTGTAAGTTTTGTTACAACGTACCTGTGCTATTGACCCCGGTTCTACATCTTTAATTGTGACTGGAGCATCACCACGTACGCTAAATCCAAAGCTACCGCCATTAGTATGTCCTCCTCCATTATTATGGGAAGTGCTACGATATCCAGTCTTTTTAAGTTTAAGAATTTTAGGTGCCGTCCAATGATGTTTTGCAGAAAATACTGCAACGGGTCCTAGGTTGGAAAATAGATCTTCAGCTGGTAGACTACCAAAATCCGGAGGTGTCAGTGACAATTGAAATTTACTGCAAGCTAAGTATTTAAATACAAAATATATAAATACATAAATTTAAGTTTTATACAATGTATACTTAATTATGTAACTTTAATAAACTGTTGTAGATTGTGTAAAAAAATATGTTAAATATTGAACAAAATTGTTATCACGTCACAACGCCAATATTACATATTGATTTGATAACAATTAAGACTATTACAATAAATGAAAGAATGGGAAAATTGCAGCTCTTCTTAGCTACATAATTGATGTCATGATAATGACTAGAACTTGGAAATTTAAATTTATTTTAGCCATCCCAATTACATCAATGATGAAGAGATTTTCGTGTTTGTTTTTCTTAACGCTGAACAATGTATATTAATTATGAATTTGGTTATGGGTGATGTGGAGGATCACTTCTTCCACCAGAACAAAAAAACTTACTGTGGTAATTTATATATCCAATAAATTTTCGTGAAGCTGATGTCTGGAGGGATTCAAATAAATGTTATAAATACATAAAGTTCCAAACCTTATGAATGACATAAAATAGTGGAAATTTGTTTTACATATATGTCATTTTAAAGCTTTATCATTTGCATTAACTATATACAATACAAATAATTAGAAAACATTGTTTCCTAAGTAAAATAATAATCAGTATTCGACTAAACCGCTGGGAAGCCAAGATAATTCCCGTTTGTCGCTACTCATGTTATAATTTAAACAATTTTTTTACACTTAGTACATATTATGTATTAAAGTTGGCAAAGTAATGCTTAGGGGCCTACAGTGCTTTTTAGCTAGTAAACTGGACAATATAAATTTCATGTTTATACATGTTTATAAAAGAATATTAATATGAAACTATTATTATCATGCAATATTTTTGTTAATCATTGAGAATTTTTCAAAAAAATTAACTGTACAAAGTTCTAAACATTTCGAGTCCCTCAAGATGTTTATTACAACAATATCGAAATTTAGAAACCAGTATAGATCACTTGGTTTAATTTTGGGGGGATAAGGATGTCATATCATACATGACAAAAATAATATGATGATATTAATTTAATTCTATGTTATAATGTATACCCTATTTGAGAATATAATAAAACGATAATTAATGTTAAGTAATTTAATAATTTAAGATGTGTTCAATAATATCACTATATTTGAGAATAATTAGTATTTTAATTATGAAGATATCAGTATCACTTATCAACTTAGTACTTACGTTCGATAACTGGAGTTTCAATAGTATCGCAATAAAAATCGTCGTCTTCCGACTCGAGACTTCCCTCGTCATTTAACACATCCATCGTTATAGCCATGGCTGATTTAAGTACATCAGCTAATCCGTTCTTTGTACGCAGTTCTCTGCACAGTCTTTGAATCCTTAAGGCTTCTTCGTGAAACAAAACCGATAACTTTAGAAGGGCTTTACCTGTAACGAGTTTCAAAATTAATTTATCCTCTATTGAGATAAGTTAAACAGATAATTTTACTTGTGCCATCTACTCTACTGTATTGAGAAGTAGGATAACTTTACATAAGTTAAATATATATTTTTTAATTATACATTTGTAAAAGATAATGGTGAATTATTAAGTGCCTATACTTCATTATACACATATACAATGGTGAGCATTAACTAGATAATTATTTTTCTAATAAACTTTTTAACTTAACTATTTTAATTTTCCGTTGAAATAACTTAGCTTTTTTCAGTTAATTAATTAAAATAACAGTTAAGCTAAATTCAATATTTCATTAAAGGAAAGTATGTCTTTATACGTGGTTTCTTTTTCTTCTTCCTCGCCTTAATCCTAACTACTTGTGGTCGGCCACCCTTATCCTAAACATCCACTTGACACGATCTCCCACATCATCTACGCTCACATCAGCTATCCTCATATCGCATTCAATAGCATCCCTCCATCTCTTTTTTGGTCTTCCTCAACCTCTTCTTCCTTCAACATTCATTTCTATAACTGTTCTTACAGCTTCCGATTCTTCTCTCCTCATAACATGACCAAACCATCTAAGTCATTGTCTCTCATCTTATGCACGATTGACGCTACACCTATACTCCCTCTTATATGCTCATTCTTTATTCTATCTTTTCTAATCACAAATATTATATCTATATAACTATAATTATAATTTCCAGGATTTTTTCAAAAATATATATGATTTTTAACTGTTTTTTTTTAATAACTAGTTTTAAAGATAAAACAATGCAACCAACACAAAGATGTACAAAATGAATAAAAAAAATTGTTCTTATCATTAATATTTTTTCCTAAGATATGATAAGTTGTATGACAGGCTAGGAACAAAGGAAGGCGAAAATGAAGTCTATAGACTTGCAAAAGTAAGAGAAAAAAGGTCTAAAGATTATCATTATATAAAGTGTATTATATGTGTGTTAATAATAGGGAGCTATCGTGTGATGATGATGTTAAAAAAAGGTGGATATAGTATTTTGAAAAATTACTGAATGAAGAGTATCCAAAAGAAATATTAGAGGATATCTCGTGGAATGAGGGACTGGTAGATTTTATTAGTGAGAAAGAGTTATGAGAGGCTGTGGCATCAATGAAAAAAAGTAAAACAGTAGGACCAGATGAAGTGCCAGTAAAAGTATGGAAAATATTAGATGGTGTTGGCATAAGGTGGTTGAAGGATCTTTCAAATAAAATCTTATTAGAAGAGAAAATTAATGGAGAAATAGTATTGTCGTGCCGATATTTAAAGATAAAGGAGACATACAATAGTGCGGAAATTATAGAAACATAAAGCTTATGAGTCATAGTATAAAAATTTGGGAAAAGGTAATAGATAAGAGAATAAGAAATGAGACATCGGTATCTAAAAACCAGTTTGGATTTATACCTGATAAGTCAACATTGGAGCCAGTATTTTGTGTGAAGGAACTAATAGAAAAGTTTAGGGAAAAGAAGAAAAAGCTGTGTATGGTATTTATAGATTTGGAGAAAGCCTATGATAGAGTACCGAGAGAGGTTTTAAAGTGGGCATTAATAAGAAAAGGAGTGCCGAAAAGTTACATTAATATAATAGAAAAAATGTATGATTGTAAGTACTTAGGATTAGTTGTGTAAAAGAGCGGCGGTACTGATGAATATGTAAGACACAGTGTTATGTGCGGGTGGTTAAAGTGGAGAGAAGCGTCTGGTATCTTATGTGATAAAAGATTTCCAATGAGGCTGAAAGGTAAATTCAGTATTCAATATTTAAGGAAGAAGAGGTAGAGGAAGACTAAAAAAGAGATGGAAGGATGTTATTGAATGTGATATGAGGACGGCTGATGTAAACGTAGATGATATGGAAGATCGTGTCAAGTTTAGGATAAGTGTGGCCGATCCCAAGTAGTTTGGATTAAGGTGAGGAAAAAGAAGAACATTCAACTTTAAATGTTAAAATCGATTCTTAGCTCTCCCGTATATCACCGACCAATAAAAAATGATTTTAGCCAAAACATTAATTATAATTGAAATAAACTTTATTTAAACTAGTTAAGTTAAAAATAAATTTTAACTTATCTTTTAACTTTGATAGTTAAACTTATAATTTGATAATTTTTAACTGTTAATAACTTATCTGGAGTTAATTATTTTCATTAACTTGTCCATTTTTGCACATATATATTATTTCAAAAATAAAAAATAGGCAATCATTAAATTGTGGTTGCACGTAAAAAAGGTTTAAGTTATTTCCAAATAATTATAGGCATTTCATTATTTTGTTGGATCTATTTAGACTATTTAGTTCTTTATATAGCCTAAAATTGCATAGTGTATATTCATTATATATATATGACTTATTCCATTATATTATAATTAGATAAATCATGAAAAATATTTATTATTACGTGCAAAATGATATATATTTTATTTATTAAGTTATCTCAATAAAGCTCTAAGATTAAATTACATTGTTAAAATATATAAATTGGTTGTTTTTAATTACAGAAAATGTTTTTTTTGTTTTCTTGAAAAATTGATAATTCTGATTTTGACCTTTTTTACGCGCAATCGAGAAATATGAAAATATGTACACGTACCAAGTTGTTTACGGTTTTCATCGGTAATGGTTGGAGGCGAAGATGAACTAGATTTACTGTCTAAGTTATGAGATCTGCGTCGGTTGCTACTACTATGCTTAGTACTATTAAGAGGTACTTCCCATACACCAATGCCAGTGTAATGATATGACAGAGCTGCATAATGCTCTTTTTTTACTTGAAACAATGATACCCATGTGTCTGGTATATAGCCGCCAATTCCTTCTAAAGGCATTAATGAATAGATATTGGCATACATTTCAGATACCTATGGTCGAAAAATAACAGTAAAATTAAAAGATAATATCATTTGTATAAGATTTTGTTTACACTGTTATTTACACTATAATTAAAATCAATCAACTTAATATTTCACTCCTTCTCAAAAAATTTTCTTACTCCTCATTAATAAAATAATTAATATTTTATTTTAATTCAGCAAAACAAATCAAAATATAACAAAAAACGCTCTTTTCTCAGAAGCAATTGTTCACCGTAGTACTCCAAGTATTGATGTACTTATTTTTTATAATCAATTTTTAATTTCAGGTACAATATGCGAATGTTCTCCAGAAGATAATCATCAATTTTCTAGATCGAGTTATAGAGTAATTCACTAATGGTTAATTAAAATTTTTAAATTATATTTAGTCCGAGTGTAATGATGTGCAAATTCCTAAAAATTGATACATTTTTATGAATTGTTGAGATTGTAATATGTGAATAAATATTTATTATAGCAATTAAATATAGTATGACATTAATATTTAATAATTTAATAATTAATTTTTACTGAGAAATAATAAAAAATGATAAAGTAGTTTATTTTGTAACTTCTATGACAAACACGTATAAAAATTAAAGGGCTATATGTAATACTTTACAATGTTTTTTTATTAATTTTAATGATCATTTTCACCAAGAAAACAAAACAAAGTCCGAATTTCTTTTTACCATAATAAACCATATTACATTAGCTTTAATTTATAATATATATAAGAGTGTCAGTATTTTTGGAACACTTACAAAAATTAAATTGAAAAAGTTAATTAAAAAATTATCATTTTATATCCCCCCTTGTAGGCAGGTGAAAGGTCAAATTTATAAAATAATATACAAAATAATAGGAAATATTTCATAAATGTATAAAAAAAAAATTATTTTGGTAATTTTTAAAAAATTATAGTAGTTTTAAGTTAAAAAAATTGAAAAAATATCGAAAATTAGCGATTTTTAAAATTGTAATTCTTTTAGAAATTTTCCCCATTTACAGGGAATGAGTAAAATTTTTTCAATTTTTGAGTCTCCGACTAGATACGATTTGTGATCTTTTGACATATCGTTGAAAGAAATCGGTTCGGTGAGGGCTGAGAAAAAGTGGTAACGGACAAAAAAAAAACATCATAGTAAAACCAATACCTTCTTAGCTTCGCATCGAAGTTAAAATAACTTGTCTTATATCATGGAAATTGCCATTTTTGTAGTAAACAAACTTTCTCGTTAAAATTGACTGAACTAAATATTTTGGCACTATACGGAGAAAATACTTTGCCAAACTAATTATGGAAAATTTAAAAAATAAATATTGTTACTCATCATCATCTATTAGACATTTGACACATATTTAAAGGATGATTGCTGAACTATTTTTATTTTTATTTTTCTAAGTTAATATTAGTAAATGATGTACGGGTTGATTTATTAATTATAACCCACTCAATTAGTCATACAATAAAAATAGTTTTAATTTTTTAGCTTCGATGAGAAGCTGAGAAGGTATTAATTTTACCATGAAGTGTTTATTTATTTTTTTGTCTCACTACTTTTTCTCAGCTCTCACTGGACCAATTTTTCTTAACGAGTTGTCAAAAAATTACAAATCGTTACTAGTTAAAGAAATTAACCTCAATAATTGAAAATTTTTGCCCTCGTTTCCCGTATATAGTGAAAATCCCCCAAAAAATTACGATTTTAGAATCGGGGGAGATTAAAATTACAACATCTGCACAAAAATTTAATTTTTTCAACTTAAGTTTTGAATATGTTCCGAAAAAACTTCGAGCTTCAAACATGTTAAAAAAAAAGCTTATGTTGGTACTATAAGTTCAAAAAAAAAAAAAATTTGTCCCAACGTCTTATCTTCAATGTGCAAATATTTGCCATAGTTAAAAAAACATGCTATTTTTGTGTTGAAATTCTTGGTATTGTATTTTAATTTATTTTAAAATATCTTATAAGGGGGTACACTGATTTTCATAAATATAATATAAATCTAATTGACATAGAATATAATGTTTCAACTTTTTTTTCTTTAAAATGAAAAAAATTAATTTTAACAAATGAATCAGTTTAAAATGCCAATTTTATTGAAAAACAAATGCGACGAACGTTTGCCGATTGCTCGTGGCAATAATTTTTTTGTAATTTTTTCGTAATTCTTCTTGAGTTAAAATTTTGCTTTTCAATAATCTATCAACTTCCTAAAATTAAACACTATCTATAGATTTGCATCGAAGCGTTACTTATGATAGTGATTTTAATCACTGTCAGATATCTATACTAGTCTCAACTATGCCACACTCACACTGTGCCGCGACCCCCCCACTGTACTACCTTTTTTTTGTTATTTTTGAAGTTCATTTTTTGGTCCTTGTAAGAGGATCAACTTTGGTTTTTCAAATAGGAAAACATATTAAAATAAAATATTCCAGGTTTTTCTTTTCTTAGTAAATGGTCTTTAAATTTTTAATATAACTTCATCCTTTAATAATAAATAAATCTTTAAAATTTCGAATTTTCGAGATTAATTATATGTATAAAAAATTTATATCAAATGAAAGGGAAATATCGAAGGTTTCAATATAAAAAATAATTATTTTTAATTATTCATTTTTCAAAAATTTATGGCAATTTTTAGATGAAAAAAAAAATGAAAAAAATGTCAAAATGTACGGATTCTAAAAATTGTAATTTTATGGGGGCTTTTCACTATTTACGGGGAACAAGGGCAAAATTTTCAATTTTTGAGGGTAATGTCTTCAACTAAATACGATTTGTGATCTTTTAACGTATCGTTGAGTAAAATCGGTCCAGAGAGTGCCGAGAAAAAGTAGTGACAGACACAAAAAAATAAACACATCATGGTAAAATGAATATCTTCTTAGATTCGTATCGAAGCTAATATACATAATATAACATAATAACGAGGTATTATACTAACCAGTAGCTAATTGTTTTTTTTTTTACGTAGCTATTCACAGATAAACAGCAGTTCTTGTCTATTATAACTATCGACAGATACGCTTTCTGTTTTGCTGATTATTGTATTTATAAATGTTAAATGACAACATTGTGCCTTATACTATCATATTTTAAGTATATCTGTCGAAAATGTCATATTTGACTATAAATACTGCGTATCTGAGAATAGCAAAAACAACTAACCAGTCAGTTGAATCTCTCGTTTATTATATATGTATATTAATTCTAAAATTCGAAACTTTAAAATTTTTTTTCTTATAAACAGATCAAGTTATATTAAAAGCTCAAACACTATTTTCAATAAAAAACTCTTCATGCTTTTTATTAAATTCAAAATATATGATCCTATTAAAAAACCCCAAAGTTGATACTCCTATAAGGGATAAACTTAAAAAGTATTACACAGATAAAATTATTACATTTGAGAACTAAAAATAATTAAGAAAAATTTAAAAACTATTTTTATTCTGTGAACAATTGAGTGGCTGTGATAAAAAAATCACTGTATAATTAAAAAAAAAAAAAAAAATTAACCTTATTCACTCTTTCTTCCTTTAAAATAGTATATAATAAAAAATTTTAATGGAAACATATTTATCAACTAGTTTATAAATAAAATAATGATCTATCTAAGAAAATGATCGATCGTTAACAACTTTTGAACCAGTATTTTCAAAAAAGATATTAGCATTTTAATAACAGAACAGAGAAGTAGTACGATTAAGAAACATCAAAAAATAAACAAACGTGTGTTTCATTTCCAATATTTTTATTTTAAGCTTTAATAACTATCAAAACTGTTTCTCAACAAATGTCGGTCAGACTAATATTGTCATATGCCATACACATACATATATTTTGTATTTTTTTATAGGAAATATTCCAATGAAGTAGATAATTATTTACGGTTACTGATTTGTTGATTATGTTCTTTAGAAAATATTTCTAATGGCACATCACTAGTTTAATCTTTAATATTTATAAAAACGTTGTTAATTAATAAAAATTATAATATTTTAGTTTTTGGTGTTTTATTCATTACAGTAATTCACTCACTAGAGCAGCTTCTTGGCCGAGGTCCATAGACAGGTCATAATCGGTCTTGTTGTGCACTTGCAACTCAAGTTTTTCAAACAAGCATTCTTGTGCCTGAGCCTAAGGGCACGAGACAAAAATATTATTTGAGAAATGAATTTGAAGTTCAGAATAGGTTACTATTAAGTTACAGTGAATAGTAAATTTCACTTATAGATTGGTTGTCTATATGTGTACTGACCATCATGACCTTGACCAAAAGCGTCATCATATTGGACGACAAGTCCATGCTTGGAGCGTTGACAAATGTCTCTTGAATGTATGTGTAAGTACCAGCCGCTTTCAAGAAGCACGCTATCGCTTGATCCAATCCTTTTTCGGTCAACCGGTTTTGTTTAGCACCCATCTGAGTGTATATAGCTGCTACATTAAACAGTACGCATGCTTTTTCGAAAGCTACGGTTTTCTGACAGCTCGGTATTCCAGTCAAAGAATCGTACCTATGAAATGGTACAATAATTATGTTTTTTTTTTTGTAGCATTGTTTGAAATTATATAAAAACAATGATAGAGTCCTATATATTTAATTTATTCTTTGTAAATTATAGAAAAACGAATTCTTAAAAAAATAACACTGTATCATAAAAACTATACGTTGAACATATTTAAAAATTTTAAATACCATGATTAATATGTAACAGAGTTCAAATTAACAAATCCGTATTTATAAATAAATACGATAAATTAACTTTGTTGATGTACAAAGTTATAATAATAAAAATGACCTGAAGAAAAATTACCATTCAAAGTAAATTCCCATGCTTCTATCTGGAGGAAAAAATCGCCTCTCTACGTAGTAAAGTTGGTTGAAATATTGAATTAATAACGATATTCCAGAATTATCTCTTTTAGGAAATTGAATGTCCTATTTTAAAAATTAAATTATTTTTACTATAAAAATATAATATATTTAAAATATATTCAAAATATAAAATAATATTGACGATATATGGTTAGAATATATCAGCGTTTATACATATAGACCGAATGTGGTAAATGTAAATGAAATGGAGTAATTGTAAAATCATTTTTTCTTTTAGAATATTTATAAGATTCTATTAGAGTAGAAAGTTCTAGTCCTTATACGTGTTTTTGTTATATTAAATGTAAGTTCGAAATAAAAACTTGGGTTTTTATCTAAAAAATGTATTTACAATTACCTCACTTCACCCTACCTGTATTTTACCAGTAATCAATATTTTCTGCCACATGCATTTTATTAAGAAATAAATTTTCATTCCATTTAGTATTAACAAATATTTACCAGCAGTAATTATAAAATTCGACCACAAATGGTTTAACAATAAATTGCTCAGTACTTTATTGATAGGTTCAATTGCTCACTAGTTTTAAAAATTATCATTTGAAATTTCTAAACCAAAAGTTAAATTTACTTACAATTACAAGTAGGTATAAATATATAACGTGTGCTATATATTTTTCAATTTAAAATTTTGAATTACCACTTAATTAAGGCAAAAAAAAAATTACATATCCAAAATATTTTATTATTTTTTAAATTTGATAGATTCTAGTACCGGAATTTTCGATGTATCATCGAAATACAACTGCAGCTCTAATGTGATATTATAAAAAATTATCTTCTAAAATATATTTTATAAATTAATGTTATGGTTGAATACCTGACGGAGCTTAGTAAATTCTGAAATGGCTTCTTCGTATAATCTACTATCTTCACTGTAATGCTCAGAAATGAAGTTCTACGAAAAAAACAAACAAATGAAAATTAACTAGAAAGAGTTCATAAGTACATTTTGTTGTAGCTTTGAAATAAAATTCTTTAGGTAAAAGTAAATACTAATATAAATTAAAATTATTTGTATTGATATTTTTTAGTCCCAATTAAAAGCTTACTTCATGAAATAATTCATTTTATTTATTAATTATAAATCATTTTTAGCCTCGATAAAATTTTTAACGAATTATAAATTGAGATACATGTATCTACATAGCAATGTTAACAAGTCTGTTTCACAATTTAAACAAATTTTTTAATCTCACTTTTTATGAGAAATTATCATCAAGTGATATTATTCCATATTATAATTTACTCAGTAATTATATCACAATTATTTTGTTTATAGTACAATGTACTAACTTAGTTAAATTTCTCTTTATAAAACATTTCCATAAAAAATGTATGTTTAATTGAGATAACATTTTACAGTAATAATTAGTAATTACTGATTATGAAATCTATTTTTTTAGTTAATAATAACCAATAATTATAGTTATTATTAGCTAACGATAAATTATATTTAATACATAACTCTTATCAAACTATTTTCTTTTTATACTAAAGAATTTACATATACATTTTCATATCAGAAAGATAAATTATTATCAACGAGCATCAGGCAAACATTATCTTTTTAGACGAGATAATATGATATTTTAATGTTTTGTATGATCATTTAAAATTCTATCTTAATTATATATTAGTCAACATTATACTTCTTATTTTAAAAAAAATTTTACCTGTTAATATAAAATGATAAATTACTGTAATTCATTAAAATTATGTTAGCGACATGACATCAACAAATAGTCATTGCCATCAATTAGTAATTTATGTAATAATGAACAAAATTCATTAGTAAAAACTAGTTAGTTTGGGATTTATACATTTTAATTAGATACAACTTCTATAACCATGAAATGTGCTCTGAATTCATTCGATAAGATGATTTTTGCATTCGAATATTGTTAATTTTTAAATTGGTGAAAACTATACTAATATTTTATGATCTTAAACTATTTAACTTTGAAAATGTGTAATAGACGGATGTTTAAACAGATAAAAAAATATTAAGTAACACCTAGTAAATTCTTTCTTAATTTAATTTTAATTTCTAAGAAAATAAGTGTCCTATCAAAAACTGATTCTTCTGTTATACAATACCATAGATTTGCTTTATTCATATTTTAGCTTCGATGCGAAGCTGAGAAGGTATTGGTTTTACTATGATGTGTTTTTTTTTTTTGTGTCTGTTACCACTTTTTCTCAGCTCTCACCGAATGGATTTCTTTCAACGATACGTCAAAATATCACAAATCGTATCTAGTCGAAGACATTACCCTTAAAAATTGAAAAAAATTCCCTCGTTCCCCGTAAATGGGGGAAACCTCCAAAAAAATTACAAATTTAAAAATCGCTAATTTTCGAAATGTTTTCAATTTTTTTTACTAAAAACTGCCATAACTTTTTTAAAAATAACCAAATCAATATAATTTTTTTTATAGATGCTTGATGTCTTTACCTATCATTTGGTATATTTTTTTTATAAATTTAACCCTTTACCAGCTCACAGGGGGGGATTCATAATGACAACTTTTTCACAAAAAATTAACTTTTTCAACTTAACTTTTGAAAGTGTTCCGGAAAGTCTGACACTTATATATATATATATATATTAAATTAAAGCTAATGTAATGTACTTTAATTTGAAAAAAAAAAATTTGACCTCTGGACTTGTCTTCATGGTGAAAACGGCTACCGAATGCTATTTTTGTGTGAAAATTCTCGATTTTATAATTTACATTTTTTACTTTAATATGCTATAACTTTTTGAAAAGTGTATGTATCCACACAATTTTTTTATGAGAAATAATATTTTTTAATAAACCCTTTTTCATTCGACATACTTTATCTTAATCGAGATATTAATAAGGAACCAGCAGATAATGTAGCTTTTCGAATAAAACACTATTTTTTTTAAAATTAAACATTATCTAAAGATTTGCATCGAAGCGTTTTTTTTTTATAGTGATTTTAATCACTGTCAGATATCATTATACTTGATCCAACTATGGCACGTCACCACTGTGTCGCGACCCCCCTGTGATGGGTTTTTTTTTAAATAATGTGTCATGAAATTAATGACCTAAAAATATCGATATGATTATTAATAGTATTCTGTTCATTATAAATAAATGTGTATAAAAGCATTTGAAATAATTGGTAAATGTTAAAAAAAACATTCTTAACGCAAATTTAAAATTTTTCTAGGCATGGAGATTACTAAATATTTTTAAATATTTTCTCCAAAGTTAATGTGTAGGTTGCATAAATTGTGATTAAAAATGACATTGTAATTCTAGTTTTATACTGTATTAATGATTTTTCTTTACAGAATTTATGTAAAATTAAATTATTATCTAAACCAATAAATGATACTACATCAAAATGTTGGTAAAAAAATATAATTCATTTTAATATATATTTAGAAAGAATATATATTACTTCTAGATATTTAAAAAAACTGAGTAGTCCTTTTAAAGCATGTGCTTAAGTATTTAATGTTTATTATTTATATAGTTTCTAGTTGGAGAAAACTATATGTGACATAAAAAAGAACCTGTTTCACACTACGCTAAGTCAATGATTACATTTTACTAATATTAGTAAATTTACAAGCTTTATTAGAAGTATCCGGTATATAAATGTTCAAGTATGGTCTCTTAATTATTAAGTATCCAATTATGGAGATATTCTAAAAATACTTGACAATTATGATATGATTTTATTCTAATTATATTTAAAATTTAATTAATTTTATTAACCTAAATTTTTCATGGCAATATATCGAGGCATAACTTTATATAATAATAATTATATTAATAAAATAACGAAAATATATAAGTTATAGGAGAATAATAAAATCAAATTTTTGATGTCTCCCTTTGAATGTAATGTAAAATATACAAGTAAATTTTTTCTAAATGTATGCCAGATTAAAACATAATGGTTTTCTGAGTGATTTTTGAGATGTGCCTCCTATAGAAAATATGGCTACCTAAAAAAAATAATAAGCAAAAAAATGCAGAAAAACACTGTCACTAATTATGATTAAGCTAGTAAAATTATAGATTAAAAATATATATTAGGACCCCTTCCCCCATAATATAAGCCAGAATGTATGGGTTAATTTGTTCAATGGGTATATGACATGTACCTTCGTATGTACTCTTATAAATATCAGTATATAAAATTGTATTATTATTATTTTAATAAACTTACTTGAAAAGAAGATTTGAAATCGATATCTTTGGTTTCTTTCAAACTCAATGGAATCATTGGCATAATATGTTCAGCACTAAAAACAAAATTTTGGTGTAAATAAAGTTGTGTTAGATGATTCTTTAGAGTCACGAGATTATGGATGTATTTTGTATTACCTCTAATAACATAAATTAAATTTAAATTTAATATATTTAAGTACAAAATACGTAGATAATATTTTTTTTAATATATAACTTATATATTAATAAGTTTTTAGTTTATTTATAAAATTACTTTAAAGAATACATTAAGAGAATATTACAAATAGTTCTGCTCTTGTTGCTGTTAAACTCTTGTTATTTTGGAAAAAGGCAAGAATACCTTCAAAATATCACTGTAATATAGTTCGAAAATTAAATAAATTATATGATGTTTGCCGTAGTTTAGAAAAAAATAAATCGAGAAAATCCGCAACACAATAGACCAATGAAAAATTGTTAAAAAACCATTTAAATGATTTTTTTGACATTGCTCGTGAGAATGCTTTGAATATGATTAAAATTGAAGAGGATAAACAATTTTTAATTTTACAAAGGCCAAAAGGGCGTGTTGGTTGTATGGGAGGCGTAGACAAAAAACTGAGTGAAATAGAATAGCGGAGGCTAAACGAGACTTAAGAAGAGAAATGTTGAATCCAACATTTGTACTATGAAACATCTACTATGAATTCTGGTAAATAAATTAATTCCTGAAAAATTAAAAAAATAAATGCCAATTATTTGTAATCTCAGACTCATCTAATAGAATTGATTTGGAAAATAGTATTTCAAGCTAATATGAGGAAAATATATTAAGTTTTTAAAATGAAGACATCGTAGTGTCTCTGAGTATTAAAAGAGGCCGAAAATAAATCATGTCTAGTTGTTTAGCATCAAACTTAGATAAATGGAAGATTAGTGACAGGGTTGCAGTACATTTAATAATAGCATTTTCCGATATATTTAATATAAATGTAAAAGATTACGTAATTAATCGTTCGTCAATAAAAAGAAGACGTGAAATTTTTCGTGAACAATTATCATTAGAAATTGAAAAATCCTTCCATGAGTTTAAGATTTAAAGTTTGCAGTCGCCCAATGGGATTCAAAAATTCTACAAAATTACCTTAGTCATAGAAAAGATATTCTAACAAAAGATGTTCAACAATAATATTATATTTTACTAATGTTTGCAGTTAAAAATAAACCTTTTTTCAGTTAATTTAAATAACCTTATTTAAATTTAAAAAAATATAAAGTTTGAAATAAACTTTATGAATTATTTATAGTGAAATAATTTTTGGTTTTTTACAAATTAAAAAATTAAGTAATTTTTTTTACTTTAAACTCTTAAATTTATTAATTTAAAAATTATTATAGAATTATAGAAAAATCATAAATAACATTTTTTTTAGTTGTGTACTTTTAAATATATTTTATGTTTTTCAAAATAATTTTTTATGAGATAGTTAAAATCCTATTAACTTTGATGCGAAATTCAGTAGATATTGATTTTATCATGATGTATTTTTTTAATTTTTTTATTTTATTGTGATAATAAATAACAAATTCTAGAATAATTATTTTTTTGAAAACCTAATTTTTAGATAATACGAACCATGCTAATTAAAAATAATTTTTAATTATACAATTAAAATATATATGTATAATAGTAATTTGTTAATGATATAGAACTATTTTAATATGAATGTGATTGGCCATTGTTTTTTAAAAGTTAAGGTAAGCTATAATTTATTTAATGACTCGTAAAAATACAGTTAATAAGTTTTTCTATATGATCTTAAACTTAAGGATCTTAAGGGAAATGTTAAAAATGTATCAGTAAAAGTATATCATAAATAATCATAGCTATGTTAATGTTATTCATCATTACAATTTAAAATATTTTTAATTTCATGCTTGAAGAGCAATTAATTTGGCGGCTATTCTCTTCAATTTAAAAATTTAATTTTGCATATTATTAGCTTTATTAGCTAAACTTCTAAGTAGTATAGTACAGAAAATCGTGATTATTACAACTAATGTTACATTTTTATTGCGAAATTTGAACTAATTTTGAAATATGTAAATTAACAAACCTATGTATTTCAAAATCAACATAATGACACATTTTAACTTGTTCGTAAATAAATATTTAACTTTGAGAAATTGGCATAATAATTATTTTCAACCGAAACTTTGAAATGATAGCACAACACTATCAAATTAAATTTAAGTTATGGTTCATCGCATTATCTGATTTTGTGTGTTCAGTTTCAGTTTCAAACATTGCTTGTTTGTATAAAACAACGATCGCCGACATTTGAAGAATTTTATCACCATCTTATTAGTGGTATTGAATAATAATGTAATAAAATGAAATTAATGTAAAAATAAAATCTAAATTCTATCTATAATCAATTCCAAATTAAAAATTAGATTTAATTTTTTTGATTTTTTCGTTTATAGTTTCAAAGCAGTTAAAATTATTTAATTTTTGTGACATAATACTAATCAAAATAATTTTTTAAACTATAAAAAAATTATAATCATAATTTTACCTAACGTGTGATATGTAAAATAACATTTTATTTACTGTTATAGTACATATTTATTATAAACTATAACGGTATAACTACAGAATGCGCCTATCATTTTAAAAGCAATAATTTAGAAACAGTTTAGTAAGATATTTAGATACCAAGTCGTTTTACATGTAAGATACTGTCCATGCAGAATTGAGAAGTAGCTATTAAAATTATGATAGCTATCCCGAGGTAACTATTATTTCCTACTAAATAACAGATTCCGTTCATTAAACTTTTTATTTACTGCATTTAAATCTTTTAAAAGCAAATAAGATAATTTAACAATTAGTGTTAAATATTTATTTTATATCATTAAAAAAATCAATAACTTATTAATGCTATAATATCTTTAATTTAGTATCATTAGCCATTATTGATTAAAAGTTTCTCATTACTTAATTAGTTCAAAAATTGAGTACTCATACTACATAACTGTTAAACACATTCGTATTAATTACGAGTATCGTACAAATTATTTTTTTTATTTGAAGAAATTACTCATTTATATTCCCTGAGTTCGTTGCACCAACTAAGATAATTTCTCCAGAAAAGTAAATGTCTATTCTTATTGATGGTCAAACGTTAAATGTGAAGTTCAATAACCGGCGCGCCAAGACAAACGAAAATAAAAATTAGTTCCGCGGTATGATTTTTCAAGGAAACCATAAATTATTAAAACTATAACATAGTGTAAAGTATTAAATTTTAATATGGTACTATTTTAAATAATTCGTTTCCAAATATTATGACCAGCAAATGACTATCATAAAACAAAAAAATTATGTTTAATGAAAATTAAAATTTAATTCGCTAAATTTATTGAATTTTTGTTATAAAATATAGTACATTTTATGGCAAAGTACATTGAAAAAAAATTACATTTTAAGATTTACAATCTTCAAAATTTGCCGAAATTATTAAAAAAAAAAATTATAAATTTTAATTTATTACAAGGAAAAGAGAAGTAGGTTTAGGTTTTACTGTATATTTATATAGACCTAGATTAAAAAATATTTAAATTTTTTAAAAATACGAGATTAATGAAAATATTTTTAACTTTATATTTGTTTATTATAAACAGTAGCGTATTTTTAATTTTTCACTATCCAAAAAAATTTTCCACTGCATTGATATCCCCCACTGATATCAAGTTCTGGTTATATATTTTATAAATAAAAGATTTATAAAAACAGCAATAATTTTAAATATATAATAAATGTCTCAATATGTATTATATATATTTTGAATGACTACAGAGAATAATGAGTTTCACCATTTTTTTACAACAAATTAATTAAACAGTTATTTATTTGTACAAATAATGATATAACAAACTTATTTCAAAAGAAAAACCACATGTTAATAAAAACTATCTTATCTATTTTTTATAGTTTTAATATGGAATATATAGCTTTAATATAAACATTTATACTAATAAAATTTCTTTATTATAAAATGTTTTCATTAGACATAGCCAACATTGGAAACATTTAATTATACCAAAAGTAAACGATGAATTTACTTTTAATTTCTTAATTTTAAAAAATATTTCACGTTAATTAGTGTTTTTTGTCTAATTAAACAAAAAATTATAAACTTTTTATTTATTAAAATTAATTTTTATTTCATTTTTACTTTTTTAGAGTTAACCAACTTATTCAACCAATTCCAAAAATGTATAAATATTATTATTATTCATAATTAACAACTAGTACACTCAAAACCCAACAAAGTAAGAATACTACAGCTACTTGGGTTTTAACTTTTAAAAAATTAAATGAAAAGTTCTTATCAAAAAAATTTGTCTATACTTGTAAAGGTACTTCTAAAAAAGTTAATAACAAAATTAAATTATATGATTCACAACTAAAATCCAAGAATTCTGAATATTGCCATGTCACTTTTCTAAGCAATAGGGTCATTTACAGGGACATTGACTTTGAAGTTGTTGTGGCATAAAATTAGAACCGGGCGTAGTGAGTTTAAAGAAAAATAAATTTCTTTAATATTATCACTTAAAATTTATTATTGATCCAAATACTTTTAAATGATATAGTAATACGTAATTGACATTTTTAAAAATTTCAAATCGGCCGTTTACAAAAATTAAAAAATTAAGGATGAAATTACTAGAGAAATATAAAGAGAAGATGTCAATAGACTTTCAAAAGTAAGATAAAAAAAGGTCTAAGGATTATCACAATGTACGGTGTAAAAAAGGGTGCTATCGAGTCATCATAAAAAAAAGTGAAAAGAGTATTTTGAAAAATTACTGAATAAGGAGTATCCAAAAGAGATATTTTTGAATATCTCGTGGAACGAGTGACTGATAGATTTAACTATTAGATTTTAGTGAGAAAGAGGATGGAAGGGTGTGGAATCAACGCAAAAGAATAAAGCAGTAGGATAAGATGAAGTTCCAGAAGCCCATATTACTAATAATCAAAATAATTTCCATAAATTATTATGCGGTGTTGGTATAAGTGGGCTGAAGGACTTATTAGAAAAGAAAATGTCAAAAGAATGGAGGAATAGAATTGATGTGCCAATATTTAAAAATAAATAAGACATACAGGAGTGTGAAAATTATAGAGGCATAAATAAAGCTTATGAGTCATAGTATGAAGATTCGGTAAAAATAAATAGAAAAGAGAATAAGAAATGAGACTTTGGTATTTCAAAACCAGTTTGGATTTATGCCTGGTAAGTCAACATTGGAGTCATTATTTTATGTGAGACAACTGATTGAAAGGTATAGGGAAAAGAAGAAAAAGCTGTGTATAGTATTTATAGATTTGGAGAAAGCATATGATAGAGTCCCGAGAGAGATTCTAAAGTGGGCATTAATGAGAAAAGGAGTCCAGAAAAGGTATATTAATTTAATAGTAATTTTAAATTTTTAGGTATAATAATTTTTTATTTACTTATTTTCTATAGTGATGGATGAAATTACTAGAGAAATACAAGGAGAGGTGCCCTGGTGCATGTCGTTCGCTGACAATATAGTGTTAATAGCAGAAAATAGGGTGGAAATTAATCAAAGGCTAGAGGTGTGGAAATCAGCTTTGAAGAAAAGGGTTTAAGAATAAGTAAAAATAAGACAGGGTATATAGAGTACAAGTTTGATGTGATAAGAGAAGTGGAAAGTTTTAAGTACTTATCGGTTGTGCAAAAGAACAGTGGTATTGACGAGGATGTAATACACAGGAGTAAGTGCGGGTGGATGAAGTTGAGAGAAGCGTCTAGTGTGTTATGTGATTAAAGAATTCCAATGAGACTGATAGGTAAGTTCTATAAGACTGTAGTGAGAACAGCTATGATGTATGATTCGGAGTGTTGGGCGGTTGACAAAAGAATAGAGCAGAGAATGAGTGTAGCAGAGATGAGAATGTTTGGATGTATGGAGTGACTAGAAAAGATAAGATAAGGAAAGAACAAATAAGAGAGAGCATAGGTGTAACGTCAATCGTGGATAAGATGAGAGAAAATAGACTTGGATGGTTTGGTCATTGAGAAAATAATTATCGGAAGCTGTAAGATTATTTATAGAAATGAATATTGAAGAAAGAAGAGGTAAAGAAAGACCAAAAATAGATGGAGGTATGCTGTTGAATGAGATATGAGAACGTTTGGTGTGTATGTAGATGATGGGGAGAATGTATCAAGTAGAAGTTTAGGATAAGCGTGGCGCCCCGATGTATTTGATATTAAGGCGAGGAAAAAAAAGAGATATCTGTTTAATTTTAGTGTTTTTATTTTATACTTAATATAAATTAACAAATCGTTTGATCCATTCATATCAAGATTTGATCGTAACTTCAGATCGAAGTTAAATAAAAAAAAACCCAGCACAGGGGGGTCGCGGCACAGTGGTGACGTGGCATAGTTGGGTCAAATATAATGATATCTGACAGTGATTAAAATCACTATCAAAAATAAACGCTTCGATGCAAATCTTTAGATAGTGTTTAATTTAAAAAAAATTGGTGTTTTATTCCAAAAGCTACTTGATCTGCTGGTTCCTTATTAATATCTCGATTAAGATAAAGTATGTCGAATGAAAAAGGGTTTATTAAAAAATATTATTTCTCATAAAAAAATTGTGTGGATCCATAAACTTTTCAATAAGTTATAGCATTATAAAGTTAAATATAATATAAATAATAAAATCGAGAATTTTCACACGAAAATAGCATTCGGTAGCCATTTTCGCCGTGAAGACAAGTCCAGAGGTCAAATTTTTTTTTTTCAAATTAAAGTATATTACATTAGCTTTAATTTAAGATATATATAAAAGTGTCAGACCTTCCGGAACATTTTCAAAAGTTAAGTTGAAAAAGTTAATTTTTTGTGAAAAAGTTGTCATTTTAAATCCCCCCCTGTGGGCAGGTTAAGTGTCAGATTTACAAAAAAAATATACCAAATGATAAGTAAAGACATCAAGCATCTATATAAAAAAAAATTATATTGATATGTTCATTTTTGAAAAAGTTACGGCAGTTTTTAGTAAAAAAAATTGAAAAAATTTCGAAAATTAGCGATTTTTAAATTTGTAATTTTTTTGGAGGTTTCCCCCATTTACGTGGAACGAGGGAAATTTTTTCAATTTTTAAGGGTAATGTCTTCGACTAGATACGATTTGTGATCTTTTGACGTATCGTTGAAAGAAATCCGTTCGGTGAGAGCTGAGAAAAAGTGGTAACAGACACAAAAAAAAAAAACACATCTTAGCAAAACCAATACCTTCTCAGCTTCGCATCGAAGCTAAAATTCTCTCTGGTTATTTCGTATCGAAGAGATTTTTAATACATGATGAGTTGTGTAATAACTTTATTTTCTTTATATTATATTAATGAACATAATTTTAACTATAATCTTAATTATTATTATTGATAAGTCAAAGTAAATATTTACCTATCGTCTTGATAAATTTCTACTGAACTATTAAGTTGTGCCATTTCATCTTTTAACAGTTGCAAGTTTGAATTCATAAAGCTCAGTTCTAGAGCTACTGTTTCTTTTAATTTTCGATTTTTCGTAGCTCTGTAATACAATTATATTATCTATTTAGTTTGTTTCCAGTTATCTTAATATGTCAAATAATAAGTAACTCGAGATTTTAAATCTCATACCTTCAAAATTGGAGAAAAACTTCCAATATTATGTACTTTTTTTAAAATTAAATTTAAGTGTTAACTATTTGAATAGTTAACTTTGAAATGGTCGAGTTTTTTTTTAATTTAAAAAATTTTAATTAGATTCATGGGCGGAAATTAAGCAATTTTTTTTTTTTTGGAGGTGCTAATATTTTGTTGTTAAAATATAAATATTCTCATTATGTGTGTATACTCTGTTCATTAGAATAAATTAAGTTACATTAATACCAAATTAAATTTATAAAACAACTAAATTAATAACTCCTATTTATTCAATTTTAATATTCTAAAAACAAAAATTAAACATTTAAAAACACTAACTTGAAATACGGGCAAAAAATAGGAGATGGTGTCTAATGACATAAGTATAACACATAGTATCTGTTTAGCGTTGATGCTGGTAACATCGTCCTTCAAATATGTATATACGATTTTTAATTAAATATTTTTTTAACTTAAATTAATATTTTAAATAAGCTTTTAATTTAGTCTAAAAAAGTAGTAAAAAAAAAGAAATAATAACTATTATATTAAAAGTTTTAAGCATAGACAGTTAAGCCTGTATATCTTATATATGTAAAATAATTTTATAAAATCAATTTTAATTTAAGATTTTTGTAAGCTTATGTTAGAAAAATTTTCAAATAATCAAAAACGCATAATTTGATGATAATACAAAATTTAAGGAAGCTCAGTATTGGGGGGCTAACCCCTTCTAGCTCTCTATTTCTGCCAGTGATTAGATTTATAAATACAATAAATTTAATATATTTATAAATATTTTTACACAAAGACATGTAGGCGCAATAATTACTACTTCAAATGTTATATATTATTACCTAAGTAAATTTTCTGCTCCAGCTCGTAGTTTTAGTTCTTTATTAATTTCTTGGTTTAAAACCGAGCGTTTATTTTGTAATTTTCCACGACATGTGGCAACTTTTGGATCAGTCCCCTAAAAAAAATATATTCAGCTATTATTATTATATGATCAGTTTTAATCTGATCTCGTTTCACAAAAATAAATAAATAATATTAGGGAATTATAATCCAGGAAATCCATAAATGTTTACAACCAGTATTATATAAATAAAATAAAAAAAAAATTAGAAGATCTGGTACTCGTATTACTAGTTTATTCATCATAAATACATTATAAAAATAATTTTAGCTGGGTTTTTAATACTAGTACAATATTAGTTTATACTCATTGATAAAATCTTAAATTTATTTCACAATTGTTTGACAGAATAATCTATTGGATACTGTCTTTTATTAAAATACCCTATTTGTATGTATACAAAGTTTTATATGCTATGATGTTTTACAAAAAATTTAAATAAAGTGGATAAACAAGGGATAAATACTTATTTTTAAAAATGTTGGTAATGTATCATTATGTCTAATGATTATGATAAAAATAAGTTTAGAAATAAAGAATATTAGATAAAAAAAAAGTCCTAGTCTCCTAATTTATATTTAAATTATGCATATACAATAATAATTATGAGCTTTAAATTAGTAAAGAATAAACACACTTAAAATCAACTTGTTTACCATTACGCTCTACAATTTTTAGGTTCTATATGTTAATATGCATTTATTAAAAACAGTAATTTATAAAAATATGTTACAATATAACAAAATATCGGTTATAACAATAAAGCTTAAAAAGCTGTTTCATTATTATCTGTTCTCTGTCTATTCAATTCTGTGTGAATACACTTTTTTTCATGTAAAAGTATCTGATTTAAATATTATATATGTGACCCATTAATCCATGATAGGCAAAATAAAATCTACCACAAAAAGTGGTTCTGAAAAAACGTCGTTTTAATTTAAAATGAAATATTGAGCTTTTTTTTAATGTAATCGATATTAAAAAAACATAATGATTAAAAAAGAAACACAATATTTTATCTCGACATTGGAGCTAGAGAGTATTAGTGTTATTATGTATGTTTATTTAGAGTATTCTTATAAAAAAATAAATAAATATGTTCTAATTAATCTAAATTTGTATTTAAAAAAAAATGTTAATCCCGGGTTCGAATATTACAATTTAAATAATTCTGTATTTAACAGGCGAGTTCACTAAAACACTTGTTGATTGTTATTAAATTTGTTTTAAAAAATACATAATCATGTTGCTAATACTGTTGCATAATGATGACTTTGTGCGTTATTAATTACTGTCATAGCGGTCGAATACGCAGTACCGATATATTTATGTTGATTTAATACCTAAAATATTATATATTGTATACATTTTTTAATCACTGACTGCGACTAATTGCAATTATAAATCATAAATGGGTGTCCGATAATCTACGTGATGTGTATAAATAAAGTAAGATTGTAATTCTACATATGTACCATAGTAAGATACTTTTCTTGTTGTTTTCAATAATCGTAGATTCTTGGATTAGATATTACACAATAATCGACTATTTGTTTATCTCGTTAAAATTAATTTGCACATAATTTGCTCGGGGTTTTTCGATCTGAATTTTCTACAGAAGAATATTCTAATTGGATAAATATAAGGCATCTTACTCTAATTTCCTACGCCCAATACAATCTATGGAATTGGCATTACTTATTTCAATTTAGTCTACATAACTGGTAATATTAGGATGTTTATTTAAACATAGCTTAGACACAGTTAATCACTTGGTCCATTCGCAGATACCGATTACCATGACTTTTCACTCAACCGAACTGTTTTTTTGTATCGAGTTATTTCCAAATAACTGTGTCAGCGTTTACATATATATATATAATGGTCGATTCCACATGAGATAACATCAAACACGTTATAGTTGTTAATAGTGAATATTGTATTTACACGGATTTTAAGTAGAAGATATAATATTACGCCTGAAAAGATACTAAAAAATAATATGATATATTATTTTTTTTAAATAAATTGCAGAAGTCATGGCCTATGGCTGTTAAATTGAAAATCAAAAATTAGTAATTTGCTAAAAAAAGTTTTCTTATCTTCTTGCTAATTAAATTCCATAGAAATAACAATGTATAATTTATATGAGTTAGTCAATAATATACTAGTCACGCACTGATCTCGGTATCGATAATATTAAATATCTAAGTATACTGAAAAACTAATTCATGGTAATTCTGTAAATTTGATTTCGTCATTTTTTTTTTGTGTGCTATTAATAAGATCCTTTCCCTCAGTAGAAGATAAAATTATTATTTTCTATGGTAAGTACTTACCTTAAACATTTTAATACTAGTTATTACTAATGTTAGAGTGACACAATTTTATAACGTTATATCAAAATCTTACGACTCGCAATGATTTGTATCTCAATACATTACAATTTATATGGATAACTACTAATTTCACAACAAAGTTTTATTGCAAACTAGACAGTTAGTATTCACGCCTAGGTGCAAGATGTACAATTATCTTAGGTTGCACAAGTCAAATTGACAATTGTTAATGATGAAAACTTTCGCTTTTGCAATATTTAAAGACAAAAAGTTATTGGTTTGTAAACGATATTAAAGTTTAGTATTTTATGTGTAGATAAATAATTCAATCATTATAAATACGAAATCGGTTTTCGGCACTCCATCAATGTCAGAAAGATATGTGTAAACCATATATTTAGGTCATCTTTGGATAATATTTTTCCAATTACTCTATTATTGATGTAACGCCATTGTAAGAAAGAACAGATTCTAGTTCAATAAAAAAATGTTTAACTTTTTTTTATAATTATTAAACAATGCAATTTAATAATGTTTTTATTGATTAATTTGTACTAAAAATACATAAATTTGAAATTTACCTTCTCAATGAATACATTTAATATTGGTATTAAAATAATATACAGAGCTTAAATATGTAGTATTTAATACTCGCTTTTATTTGTAACGGGAAATATTATTTATTATGTTAGGTTCTCCAACTAAAACACCTATTTATTTTTTATTTACTCCTTACAATAATTATACATTGCTTCCTATTACCAACATAAACAAAAGACACGACTTAGGGGCTAGAAAAGGGTATATTTCTTGAATTTATTTATTATAATATGGAATGTTAATAAGTAAGCAAATTAAACTTAGATACATACAATATGTATATATATATATATATATATTAATGAGCAATAACTGTTTATTAGTTATTAATTGGTGTCTACCTTAGAAATCGCTCGATTTTGAGATCTTAGCACAGCGGTGTGAGCCATAACTGCTGTTTATTCTCCGGTTTCCTTATTTAGGTATAGTATGTAACACAAATTTTTGACAAAATACATCTGTATTTTGTCTTAGTGTAGAAGTCCATTTAAAAAGCTCATTATATTTTTATGCTATCGAATTTACAAGTTAAACCGGCACATATAATGGTCACCATATAAACAAGACGTAATAAAAAACGCGGATCACTTGAACACTAACAGTATGCACGATACAACACTACTAAAGTAGCCTTAGGAAGGTTACTAGCATCAAGATATTTCAGGTTGGTATCCGCTCCAAAGAGATTGTTGTGCGCGCGCACGGGTTAACCGTGAGATCCAGACTTAATTACATTGCACTGCTCTCTATTGTTGGTATTGAGTACCATTTTTTTAATAAACAGGTAAAAAAATGGTCGGAGCTCTATTACTTGGCAATCACCAACCATCACGAACAAACCATAGAGGAGTTAATGACTACTCGAGAATTATACTATCAACAAATGTATACTATAAAAAAACGAAAGAAGGACCTCATTTTTAGTACATTATTCATGTAAAAAATAAATAGTTCATGCGTATATATGATAGGTACAAAGCAGTAGAAATAAACGTAATAAAAATGACTTCTGAATTGTATGGGTCACTGTATCGAATTCTGGATAAAAATTAGGTAATTTAGACCATGCAACTTTTTAAGTGTTATGTTAATCATTATGCTAAAAATTCTTGGTAATTTCGTAATATTTGGTTGACAAAATATAATTGGAATCAAGTTTCAGCTTTTAGCTAACTCTAGTTGTTTATGTAATATATCAACAGCTATTCTAATTTTCAATGCATAAATACTAGCTATCTTTAGATAATATGTATTTAATAACATAAAGCAAAATAAAACTTTTTACTTTTTGAATGATTCCGGTAAGCTAAAGTGCTTTAAATTTATATCAATTGAAAGATTTAAAAATATTGTTTGAGTTAATTAAATATATGTCTACTATATATAAAAGAGTAATAAATCTCTGTAAATTAAAGTGTATTGTTAAGTTTATCTTAACAATATACAGCTCGTTAATTGTTTTGATCCTTAATTAAAAGCAAAAAAAGGAACTTGAACTCGGTATGAGTACCAACTCGGTTGGGCAGCAAAAGGTGCATGTATTGCTTTTGATTGGTTTAAGTAAATCAAATTGGACCAGTTTAACTGATTAAAAGAAATACACGTCAATTAATTTAGGATCTAAAGGAGATTTATTGATGTGAAATATCTATTGCGGCGTCAGAGTAGCGTCATGAGTAGTCATTTTGTAGCGTTCCTAATTTCCGTAATGCTTTGACCCAATCGACATAATATGTGGATATTAGGGTGGCCCTCAAAAATCGAATGTCTTTTTTTTTTTTACGCTACCCCTTAATTTTTTTTTAATGGTCAAAAAAATGAGCTGTGCAAAATTTGGGACCGATCCGTTAAGGTTAACCCGTGCCTCCGGGCCTATTAAGTTGAGTCGAAGAGTCAAATTTAATAGAAATAACTGATCTATGTCTCATAACTTTTTTTTCTCTTAATTTAGAATAATAAAAGTAAAACTCAAGTAAAGGAAATTTTACAAGAAATTCAAAAATAATAACTTCAATGTTGTTTTCTCAATAAATAGCCCACAAAAACACTACATACAGTAAAATAACATGTAAAAGTCTTAAAATACGTTATAACTGATTTTGTTGATTTTTAATTATTTATTTTCATTTTATTTTTTGGAAAACGCATATTCGTTTAAAAAAAGATTCTAGAAGTTTAATTTTTTATGCCAAGTACGATAATTATATTAGATTTATTATTTTATGGACAGTTAATTAATGATTAATTACAAATTTAACAAAATTGATTGTATTATTACATTTTGTCGTATCAATATATCAATTTTGGTTTACTGAATTACTTTAAGATAGTACCAATTATATTATTATTAAAGATAAGTATATTTGAGTTATTTTCGACAACTGACATAATTTGTGTTGTATAAATGCAGCAGACAATTTGTGAACACGTTAAATATATTTTACCTGTTTATTATTATATATTAAATGATACGTTTTAATCACAAATGTACAATACTTTTAGTGTCTTTAAAAGTATTACGAACTAATATTTATCTTATTGGTAATTATTCCCACGAAATAACTGGTAGTAAGTTACCATCAAATTTACAACTATTTAATCTGAACACTGATTTTTTGAAAATTGATCCATCATTTTGGAGTGCGAACAACAGTTACATAAATGCTTTAAATACTATAAGTAAATTACGAGTCATTAATGATACAGCCTAGCGTGGCATTAAATTAATCTAAGACTACATTAATATATTAACTACAAATGAAGAACAGAAACAATACGTTTTACAAATAGTAAGTAATTATCGGAAAAAATTTCCTAATTGTAAAAAAAGTACATTATCAAAAAATATATTATAATAATATAATTTAATTATTGTTAAAATATTTTTTTTAAAGTTATTATTATTTAAAAAAAAATAAATTAAAAATTGTTAATAACAATTAAATTAAACTGTTAGGTTTGTAATTAATCATTAATTAACTGTCCATAAAATAATAAATCTAATATAATTATCGTACTTGGCATAAAAAATTAAACTTCTAGAATCTTTTTTTAAACGAATATGCGTTTTCCAAAAAATAAAATGAAAATAAATAATTAAAAATCAACAAAATCAGTTATAACGTATTTTAAGACTTTTACATGTTTTTTACTGTATGTAGTGTTTTTGTGGGCTATTTATTGAGAAAACAACATTGAAGTTATTATTTTTGAATTTCTTGTAAAATTTCCTTTACTTGAGTTTTACTTTTATTATTCTAAGTTAAGAGAAAAAAAAGTTATGAGACATAGATCAGTTATTTCTATTAAATTTGACTCTTCGACTCAACTTAATAGGCCCGGAGGCACGGGTTAACCTTAACGGATCGGTCCCAAATTTTGCACAGCTCATTTTTTTGACCATTAAAAAAAAATTAAGGGGTAGCGTAAAAAAAAAAAAGACATTCGATTTTTGAGGGCCACCCTAGTGGATATATTATATCGTTATACAGAACGCGCCAAATAAACCTTCTGTGTACCATAATAGTCATATAATTTTAATTTATAATTATTCTATATATTTATTAATTAATTATACATGACTAGATATCAAATAAGCCCTTTGATTATACTATTGATAGGACACGGTCATTTACTTAAACATTTCTACACAATAGAAGTGACACAATCACTACTGTGCAAGAAGTGTGGAAAAAAAAGGTAGATTTATTTCACATTATATGTTGAACGTGATACCCTGGCCACATTAAGATCTAAACATTTGGGAAAATTTTTTTCAAAAAAAGAATATATCAAAAACTTAAAACCTAAAGAGATACTTAATTTTATTAAAGAGACAGGACTCTTTGAATATATATAGATGCGACCTTGTAGGACGTCCTAAATATATTTTTTTATCGCTTTATAAGTCTATTAAGGGCCATAGCGGCCTCCCCCAAAGAAGGAGGTTTCTAAACCATTGATACTCTGAGACGGGTGGTTAATCCGTTGACGGGCGTCCTACATATATTTTTAGGTATTCAAAAATAGCAACAATACTTCAGTGGGAACACTTATGTGAAGAAACCGAATTAATATGATTCGGTTGGAGATGCGCACAATGNTAACTGATCTATGTCTCATAACTTTTTTTTCTCTTAATTTAGAATAATAAAAGTAAAACTCAAGTAAAGGAAATTTTACAAGAAATTCAAAAATAATAACTTCAATGTTGTTTTCTCAATAAATAGCCCACAAAAACACTACATACAGTAAAATAACATGTAAAAGTCTTAAAATACGTTATAACTGATTTTGTTGATTTTTAATTATTTATTTTCATTTTATTTTTTAGAAAACGCATATTCGTTTAAAAAAAGATTCTAGAAGTTTAATTTTTTATGCCAAGTACGATAATTATATTAGATTTATTATTTTATGGACAGTTAATTAATGATTTAATGAGGACTTATATGGGCAGTTCTTGCCCACCTCTATAACAACTAAAACTATTAATTAATTATTAAAGATTATTATAATACAGTGTGTAATACCAGTTTCGTTTTTCAATCAAATTTGTCGGGAGATTTCAATTGTTCGGTCGACCTAATCGGCGGAAATGACTAAAAAGTGATTTATATATCAAAATTACTATATATTAGCTTTGATGCGAAGCTGAGAAGGTATAAATTTTACTATTGCTTTTTTTCTCAGCTCTCACTGAACTGATTTCTTTCAACAATACATTAAAAGATCGTACCTAGTTAAAAGACATTGCCCTTTAACATTGAAAATAATTCCTTCGTTCATTGTAAATGGAGGTAAACCTCCAAAACATTACAATCTTTAAAATCGGTAAATTTTGACATTTTTTTCTTCTTAAAACTGCCATAACTTTTTCAGCGTTGAATGAATCAAAATTATTATTTTCATATTGAAACTTTACGTATTTTCCTTTTTTTTGACATAAATTTTTTCAAAACCTGACCTTTTACAGATATAAAAATACGCACATCATCGCAAACTAATACCTTCTTAGGTTTGCATCGAAAATAAAAATCTACTCAATTGAGCATAATTTAAAAATTAATTGTAATTGGAAAAAAATTTGTCAAGTGAAAGTTAAGAAAAATCATTCATTTTTTTTTTATTTGTCATTCACAAATAAAAAAAAAAACAGATAGTAAAATGATTTTAATATGAAAAAACTACAATAATTAGGTCTTTGATATTCATTGTTATATAAATTCAATCTAAATAAGATAAAAATTAAACGAATTTGAATTTTTTCCTATACTTAATAGAATTAATATTAGTTATTAATTATTAATATTATAATATATTAATATTATTATAAAATAGAATTAGGAAAAAATAAAAAAAATTTTTGCGACGGGTGAAGTAAAAATCTAACATGAAATATATTAGGGTTACTGATGAGGTGATAGTAGAGGTCGGTAGATAAAAAGGACATTTGAAACTGGTTCAAATTTTCGACTTAAAAAAATAAAAAAAAAAATAAAATAAGTTAAATTTTATATTCAAAGTAAGTTAGATTTTTATGAAAATGGTCCTCAATACTAATGCCATCCCTTGTATGGTATTTTAAAATTAAAAATTGCCAGAACTTTTTTAAAAATTAATAACGGTGTAAAATTAAATAATAAAAAAACAAAGACAATTTCATATTGAAATTTTTTTTTTTGATGGAGAGGGGAAATTGTGAACCCAAATTTTTTACGTGATATTGGAAAACGTACAATAAATAACAAAAATAATAATAATTTCTTTTTAAAAATATTTTAAGTTATACAAGTTTTAAGTTAAAATAAATTTTTTTGAATAAAAAATTAAGGTGATTGGTCATTTAACATCCCTTTTTTAATACGTTAATGCAGTTTTTACTAATTTCTTAATTAATAATTTAGTAATTCACATATAAAACTATTAAAGTAGTACAACAAAATAAGTTGAAAACAAAATATTATACTTAAAAATATACTATATTATTTCTTATTTATGTTTTATTGAAGTTCATTAGTAATGATTGTACTTATATTTATTATATCATATCAATTATACCAAAATAATAGATAAAATCATACACACACACAAAAAAAAAAAAAGGGAAACTCATTAATTACATACAACAATAAAGTTACTATATATTTATGCATTTAATGCTTCAGAAACACTTATCCAATCAAGTGCTGATAGAAAACTGTCTTCTTTTGATGGCTGTTTGTCCCAATTCCAATATGTTAATTGTTCACAACTACTTTTGGCAATTAAAGATTCTTTTTCTTCAGAACTATCTTTTGTTATTTCACAGAACACACCTTTATATCCACATGGTATATCAATTTGTTTTCCTATTAATGGCTTGCCACGGAATGAGCAATTTAAAATTACATTATCATCTAAAAAAAAAAATTCTAGTAACTCTAGTTTTACATTTATTTGAACTAAATACAAAGAAAAGTAGGTTAATCAAATATATATATATCTCTTTAACCTAATATTTTTGTCATAAAACATATTATATACAGAATGATTTTTTTAACACTAGATAATCTATAATAAATAATAATTTATTATATCTCCCATATATCTGTTACAAAAATATTTTTTTTGTTCATCCCTTAACTTTATAAAGGTGTCAACTTTATTTTTTCAAATAGCAACATACATGATTATTGTGGTAGCGATAGGGCATTTTATAATTAACTTATAAAATAGAAAATTATTAATCATGAAAATGACTTGTCAATAACAACGTTTAGTCCAGTATTTTAGAAGTTAACATTTTTATACATAGGCAAAAAGAGGAGTGAGGTCAAGACACGTTTAATAATAAAAATAGCATCACCCACAATTCACCTTCAGTCAATGATTTAAATTGTAAATTAATAGTGTTAAAATGATCACCTTGTATAAAATAACCAACCCTGTGCTATAATCTTCAATAAAGTTTGATCCAGAAAATATTTTGAATTACTTTATTTTTTTAAGTAATTTTTACAATTTTAGACATCAAATCATATTTTTTATTATTTATGTCTAATAAGTTTTTATTTATATTATTATTAGAGACAAATCATAATCCTGTCCCTGTGGATAGGGGATAAGAATACTTACACGACCCCTTTCCCAGTCGTAAGAGGAAACTAATGAGATTGTGTCAGACACAACCGGCATAAAATTTTGTCAAAAAGTATGAGGAGTCCTGAATAAAACTTAGGTGAGTTGTCTTATCTCGGATGTATGTGGAGATAACAGGTGAGAAGAAATATAGTAGTTAGAAAAAGAGAAGGCCTGAAAAATAAAGTGTTTGATACCTGGCAGACTACTTGCGTAGTAGTTATTTTACCAGTCATGTGTATAACAGAGAAAGATAGACACAAAGTAAGAAAATGTGGAATGTTGGAACATTAACTGGTAGACATAAATAGTGCGTGGAATAGATCTACTAGTTGTATAAAGAAGGTTGTTAGTGAGAATAGGAGTAGAATGCCAGAAAACAAGGAAACCTGGTGATCGAATGAGAACATTCAGAAAATCATAAAGAGTAAGAAAAAACAATTTAAAGTATGACCGAAGGTAAAAGGAGGGAAGATTGGATGGAGTATAAATGCTTGTGCAATAAAGCCAAGTGTGGGGTAAGAAAGACGAAATTAAGAAGTATGATAAGTTGTCTGATACGCTAGGAACAAAGGAAGGCGAAAAAGATGTCTGTAGACTTTCAAAAGTAAGAAAAAAAAAGGTCTAAAAATTATTACAATGTAAGATGTATAAAAAGTATTAATAAGAGTGNAAAATTATTACAATGTAAGATGTATAAAAATTATTAATAAGAGTGTGCTATAAAGTGATGATATGTGAAAAAAAGGTGGATAGAGTATTTTGTAAAATTACTGAATGAGGAATATCAAAAAAAAAACATCAGAAGATATCTTGTGGAACTAGGGACTGATAGATTTAACTAGTGAGAAAGAGATATAGGAGGCTGTGGCATCAATGAAAAAGAATAAAGCTATATAACTAGATGAAATATGGAAAATATTAGTCGGTGTTAGAATAAAGTATTTGAAGGTTCTTTTTAATCAAATATTATTAGAGAAGAAAATGCTAAAAGAATGGAGGAATAGTATTTTAGTGCCAATATTTAATGGTAAATGAGACATACAGAAGTGTGAAAATTATAGTGGCATAAAGCTTATGAGTCATAGTATGATGATTCGGTAAAATAAATAGAAAATAGTGAAATAAAAAGGGTGCTATCAAGTAATGATGAAGAAAAGTAGCTAACCTGAATCTTTTTGCTCTGCATTATAAGGTCTAAAGTAATTTTCTACATTTGCTTCTCTCTTACATTGTATTTTGCATGGCAATAAATGAAGTTCATCTCCTAATAAATTATTTAGTTTTGAAGGAATTACGAAATCCATAATTTAAATTAAAAAAGGTTGAAATGAAAATTTAAAAAAGCTTATATAAAAAATAAATGAATCAGTTCAAATACAAAAAAACATTTGTTTTGTAATTCAAATGTTTACATTCGGAATTATGATAATGTTATCTTATATATTCATTAGCGCCAAAAAAAATATTTCGTTTTGGAAGAAATAGTATAATTGTCATTTGATAAATTGATAAGTGAAAAAAATGCTTCAACTTACAATTCAGTTATTTAATCTATTTTCTATGGTTATGATCTAAATATTGTAAATATCGTCACATTAATTAACTATTTTTTTTAATTTGTTTAGAGATCTTGACTATCGCTGAAGTCTTTTACTACAAAACATTATATTTTTATCAAATAATACTATTGTAAATAATGTGATCTTCAATTGTGAAAGCTGAAAAATTGTTATTTTCAAGAGTAGAATTTATTCAAAGTAGCCTTTATTTTATAATAATTAAAGAAGTCTTGTAGAAAATTATTTTATTGTCTGTAAAATTCTGCGTTATAAATAAGTAACTATTAATTAAAATAATTTAATTTATTATTAAATTTAATGTATTAAGTTATTTAATTGAATTTTATTATGTTATTTATAATGTATAATATTTTTTTTCTTTTAGGCAATTCAAAAGTTACTCTTAAGGTTGTTTTATTAAATATTTTACAGTGAAAATGGCTTTTGGTGAGATATTGTAAATATTTTATTTGTAATGTATAAGTTCTTTATTATCTTTAGTATCTTTTTTTATCAAATGGTGTGATAACTTAAGTAATAAGTACATTAATATAATTAAAATAAAATTAAGTAATTAATATAGTATAGTAATATAATATAACATAATTTTAATTTAGAGGAAAGCCAAACAAGGAGAAATATAGAATTTTGAAATAAAATAGACTGCTATAAAATAACTTTCAATTAGTGTTAATGTTGCAAAACTATCTAAATGTTTAATTCATGTTTTTTGATTGATTTGATTATATCTAATAAGTAGAGTTGAGATTTATAAATTTTGTTAAGTTATTTTAGACATATCATCAGTAAATACAAGTTTGTATTAATAGGTTTGAAAACTTAGTAATGAGTTTTGACTGTGGTTAGAGTAATGGAGGATTAGGAGGTTTATTCCCCCTAAAATGAAAAATATTTCTATGCTACTCTCTATACCCCCAACAAATTTGATCAAACATGGGTCCTTTTAAAATTGCTTAAAGAAAATAAAAATATGCACATAAATCCAGACTTAAGTAATAATCAATTTTATTTTTATTTTATAAATTAAACATTATATTCATAAAACTAATGTGTAAAAAATTATTTTGTTTTGTAATTCATTTATTATTTAAACAATGAATAAGTAATAATTTCTTGAATTAATTTTTTTCAAAGCACTTCAATTTATGAATAATATTAATTAGGTGTTTTTGTCTCTAGATATAATAATAATAATAGTATAGATCTGTTGTATTGGGGTTATTAAGATGCCCGCATTTATTAGTATTTTTATTTAATCAAACATATTATATTATCAATTTTTTAAAGCACTGATAATAATATAAGGTGATTCTTTGTAAGTAATAAGTTATTTAGTGATACTTTCAAAATTATTAAGCAAAATAAAATATTTTTTATAGTTTATATTGTATTAAATTATTTAAAGGGAATAATTGTTACCCACTTTCTTGCCTTCAAAATGTTATAAATAAGAATGTATTGTAGCTAAATAAATGACTGCTTAGGAATGAACACAACTCATCGAAGCTAGTAATTTATAAGAAAATGCTTTTTATTGTAGGAACATTATTCACTATATATATTTTATTATTATAATTCTTTTTTTTAGATGATCAAATGCCAACTCCTAACACTTTTATAAAGCACTGTGAAGATGTAGGTTTATTCCAAGAACTACAAAAGGTTAATCCCTTTGATGAAACATTCAAAAAAGCTGTTGAATGTAAAGAAATTGTTGGTTATGTGAGTATTATTGTAACATTTGTTATTTAATGATCATTTAAAAATAATATCTATGTATAGCTACTTAAATTATTATAAATGATAATTATATAATAAAATAATATTATTATTATATATATATGTTTAGACTGTTAAATCTACAAATTCAAACAGCAATGAATTAAATACACCATTTATAGTGCCTATTACTGCAACTTTAAAAAGTAATAAAAATAATTTTTTAATTTATTATTAAATTGTATTTATAATAAAAATACATAATTATTTTTTTGGTAGATAGATTAAGTTTTCCAAGTATTGTAGTTGATAATCATAATGAAGAATCAATATTGATTGCACAAGGGGAAAAAATAATTAGTGAAACTGTTCCAAATTTAAATGTTGTACTTCCTACTGAGTAAGTAAATTTAAATTATAATATGTATAATTATAATAATAATAATAATAATAATATAATAATATTGACCATGATACATGTTTATTAAAAAAAATTTGTACAGTAGACTCTCAATAGTCCATTAAATATCAGACAATTATACTGCTAGATAAACGAAAACTTCCTACTACTGTAGGTTCACAAAATATCATAAAATATACATATTATGTTTATTTTATAAAGTTTTTATGACATTACATACAAAGCTGTGATAAAGTCAATAAAATCCAACAACAAATAATTTTTCTAATTTCATCTATCCCTAGTGGATATATGTATGTTTATTTAATTGTTAAATCTACAATTTGAAAATTTACTCTCATTGTTAAATTTTAATTTCTTATTACTTAGCATTTATATATATATGTGGGATTCGACAGGCAACCATAGAAACAGAATAAAGACATAATACTATTGTTTACAATATATATGTACAATATAATATATATATTTATTCACATACAAAAGCCCTGTAAAAATTCAGAAACAAATTAAATATTAACTAATAATAATTATTTTATAATTATTATTAACTAAGTACACATATGAATTAAAACACACGCAATGACAAATAAAGTTATGACTTTATTTAAGTTTTCCTAATATTAATACTAGTTTATATCGCTATCTGCCTCCAGACCCTATAAGTGGTGCCATCTAAACATCAATGGTACCCATGTATATATGATATACAGGGTGATTTTTTTATCATAACCCACTCAATTACTTACAGAATAATAATAATTAAAATTTTTTTTTTTATTATTATCTTTAGTTACACATTATTCTTGAATTATTAACTATGTAATACTTTTTAAGTTCATCCCTTATGCCCGGTAAGGGTGTCAACTTTGTTTTTTTAAATGGTAACACATATTTTGAATTTAATAAAATGTTTGAGTTTATAATTTAATAATAAATGTTATTTGAATTTTTAATATAACTTTATTCATTTATTAGTTATAAACATTTAAAGTTTCAAAATTTTGAGTTAATANTTATTAGATATAAACATTTAAAGTTTCAAAATTTTGAGTTAATATACATGTATAATACACATGGGATTGTAAATACAGGTAGCTAATTGGATTTTTATGACATTGCTGTCTCAGTCACGGATTGTTTATTATCAATTATGATTATCAATAGATATACTTTCTGTATTGTCAGTTAGTGTATTTATAAACTAATAAAAATGTGCCTTACTACAATTGATAATAACAATGCTTTGTACCTGCTAATATCGATGTTATAAAAACCAATTAGCTACCTATAATTTTAATCCCTAGTGTATTATACATGTATATTAACTCAAAAAATTGAAACTTTAAATGTTTATATCTAATAAACGAATAAAGTTATATTAAAAATTCAAATGACATTTGTTATTGAATTAAAAACTCAAACATTTTATTAAATTCAAAATATGTGTTACCATTTAAAAAAACAAAGTTGACACCCTTACCAGGCATAAGGGATGATCTTAAAAAGTATTACACAGTTAATAATTCAAGAATAATGTGTAACTAAAGATAGTAATAAAAAAAAATTTTTAAATTATTATTATTCTGTAAGTAATTGAGTGGGTTATGATAAAAAAATCACCCTGTATATATATATGGGTACCATTGATAAATATATGACCAATAAAATTTTCAGGATAAATAATGATGGGTGGAGTAAGCATTATAAACATATACCATTACGATTTGTATCTTTGTATTAAAATTCCTTTGATTCAATAATTTCTCGTCCTAAAATTGTAATTGACACAATAAAAATTTTTGTTTGAAAAATTAAATTATAAGTTAAGTTGAAAATGTTGTCATTTTGAATCCCTCTTGTAGGCAGAAAAATAGTCAGATTTATAAAAAAAAATATACCAAATGATAGATAAAGACATCACGCATCTATAAAAAAAAAATTATATTGATCCATACACTTTTCAATATGTCATAGCACTATAAAGTTAAAAATATAAAAAAGAATTTTTTTACAAAAATCATATATTTTTTATTAACTTTGATGTCTGTTTTCACCATGAAGATAAAATAAAGTCCGAAATTTCTTTTTTCCATGATAAAGTATATTACATTAGCTTTAATTTAAGATATATATAAAAGTGTCAGACTTTCCAGAACACTTTCAAAAGTTAAGTTGAAAAAGTTCTACTTTCTACATGAATTTTTTAGATTTGAATCCCCCTCGTATATAGGGAAATGGTCCGATTTAAAAAAACAGTATGTCGAATGAAAGATGTATATAAATACTACTTCTCATGAAAAAATTGTATTGATCCATACATTTTTCAAAAAGTTATAGCATAATAAAATTAAAAATGTAAAATGCAAAATCTAAAATTTTCACACAAAAATAGCATTTGGTAGCCATTTTCACCGTGAAGATAAAATAGAGTCCGAAATTTTTTTTCTCCATGATAAAGTATATTACATTAACTTTAATTTAAGATATATATAAAAGTGTCAGACTTTCCACAAGATTTTCAAAAGTCAAGTTGAAAAAATTAATTTTTTGTGAAAAAGTTGTCATTTTAAATCCCCCCCTGTGGGCAGGTAAAGGGTTAAATTTATAAAAAAATATACCAACTGAAAGGTAATGATATCATGCATCTATATAAAAAAAATTATATTGATCCATACACTTTTCAATATGTCACTATAAAGTTAAAAATATAAATAAGAATTTTTTTACAAAAATCATATATATTTTATTAACTTTGATGTCTGTTTTCACCATGAAGATAAAATAAAGTCCGAAATTTCTTTTTACCATAATAAAGTATATTACATTAGCTTTAATTTAAGATATATATAAAAGTGTCAGACTTTCCAGAACACTTTCAAAAGTTAAGTTGAAAAAGTTCTACTTTCTACATGAATTTTTTAGATTTGAATCCCCCTCGTATATAGGGAAATGGTCCGATTTAAAAAAACAGTATGTCGAATGAAAGATGTATATAAATACTACTTCTCATGAAAAAATTGTATTGATCCATACATTTTTCAAAAAGTTATAGCATAATAAAATTAAAAATGTAAAATGCAAAATCTAAAATTTTCACACAAAAATAGCATTTGGTAGCCATTTTCACCGTGAAGATAAAATAGAGTCCGAAATTTTTTTTCTCCATGATAAAGTATATTACATTAACTTTAATTTAAGATATATATAAAAGTGTCAGACTTTCCACAAGATTTTCAAAAGTCAAGTTGAAAAAATTAATTTTTTGTGAAAAAGTTGTCATTTTAAATCCCCCCCTGTGGGCAGGTAAAGGGTTAAATTTATAAAAAAATATACCAACTGAAAGGTAATGATATCATGCATCTATATAAAAAAAATTATATTGATCCATACACTTTTCAATATGTCACTATAAAGTTAAAAATATAAATAAGAATTTTTTTACAAAAATCATATATATTTTATTAACTTTGATGTCTGTTTTCACCATGAAGACAAATTAAAGTCCGAAATTTTTTTTTCCCATAATAAAGTATATTACATTAGCTTTAATTTAAGATATATATAAAAGTGTCAGTATTTCCGGAACACTTTCAAAAGTTAATTTTTTGTGAAAAAGTTGTCATTTTGAATCCCCCCCTGTGGGCTGGTAAAGAGTTAAACTTATAAAAAAAATATACCAAATAATAGGTAACGATATCAAGCATCTATAAAAAAAAATTATATTGATTTGGTTATTTTTAAAAATGTTATGGCAATTATAAGTAAAAAATATTGAAAAAATTTCGAAAATTAGCGATTTTTAAATTTGTAATTTTTTTGGAGGTTTTCCCCATTTACGGGGAACGAGGGAATTTTTTTCAATTTTTGAAGTAATGTCTTCGACTAGATACAATTTGTGATCTTTTGAAGTACAGACAAAAAAAAAAACACATCTTAGTAAAACCAATACCTTCTCAGCTTCGCATCGAAGCTAAAAAAAAAATGTACAAAAGTTTATTCATGCACATTTTTATGAAAAATTTATGTGAGAGTAGTTTTAATAAATATTAGACTAGTATAGTAATACTATTAATTTAAAGTTATTTTAACTGTACTAGTTTTTATTTATGTCTTTTTAATGAGTGAGTAATGAAAAAATGAAATTAGAAAAAAATTATATATTTAAACATTTTTTATTTAGATTGTCTTGTGATACAAAATCTTCAGAAAATTTTTCAGTACCTCAATTCAAATTAACTCCAACTTCACTTAACATTGGAGAATGCATCACATTACAAAAAATTGATAATGCTATAAAATTACCTAAAGTAAGTAAAAATTATACTCATTTATATTTAAAATGAAACCTTAAATAATTTATTTAATAAAATATTTAACCAATAATGTTATAAAAAACATTTTTTAAATATTTCAAGATAGCAGATTTTCTTTATAATTTTTTCCATAGTGCTTTTATTCAAATTTATTATTCTTTTACACAATTAATAAAAATGTTAAAGTGATAAATAAAGGTTTTTCGTCTATTATTTTCTTTAAATATTAAATTATATGTTCAGGATAAAGTAATAATATGTTGAATATGCATGTTAGATAAATTTTATTTTATACAGTTATATGAATTAAAACTTTCTTTTAAAAAACATGTTTCAAACATTCAACTATTAAAAAACATTAAAATAAACGATTAATATCTTAATATGTATCATTTATTTTAATGTATTCAAGTATTGAAATGTTGAAATGAAAATTTATATATTGTTTATATAAATCCACTTTAATAAATTAGCTAACTTTTCATAATTAATCAGTCAAAATACAATTTACTTAGAGATCCTAATTTTTCTAAAAATTAAGCAGTTTTTCATTATTACTAAATTTAATAGTTTATTGATAAATAAATAATAAAATTCAAGAATTCTGAATACGTTAACATATTCTTAAAATATGAATGATCTTAATAACTATTAAAAATTATCATTAGGAGGAACAAAAAAAATGAGAAATAAATATTTAAATGAACATATATACCCCATTTATTCATTTTTAATATTTTACCTAGAAAATTTTATCATGTTTTTTTTTGTATGTTGATTTATAAAAATTGAGTGATGAGTCACAGTTAAAACATTTAAATTTTTTGATAAAAATGTTCATAACTGTTTTTTTTATTCTTTGAAATAAAATACTCATTGAAGTATATATAAGAAATATATACTTCAATTTAAAATGTTTGTGCATTTAGAATGAAAAATAAAAATCTCTAATTCTAATAGTTTAAATAAAATTAAAATTGAGACATTATAAGGTGTTAAAACTAATTATTTCAAATGCATGTGATTTAAATATACTTAAATATCTAAACATTGAAATATTAATATATTGTCATTGCTATACAGATTTATTTGGTCTTTTTTTTACATACTAAGAAAAAAATCCTTTTCTACTATTTCCCATTTTATTATCTATATATTACGTAGCAAATACACATTTCTTAAATTAAATTGATAAATTTTACCTAGCTAATTCAAGTTACATAAAATTAAAAAACTAATTTATTAAGCATTACAATAGTTTATATCAATCTGAAAGAGGAGAAAGTTCAATATTTAGTTAACTATTAATATAGAATAATAAAAACTCTGAACAGGGGGGTTGCGGCACCGTGGTGATGTGGCATAGTTGGATCAAGTATAATGATATCTGACAGTCATTAAAATCACTATAAAAAAAAACGCTTTGATGCAAATCTTTAGATAGTGTTTAATTTTAAAAAATTGGTGGATTATTCCAAAAGCTACATAATCTGCTAGTTCCTTATTAATATCCTGATTAAGATATAGTATGTCAAATGAAAAAGAGATTATTAAAAAATATTATTTCTCATAAAAAATTGTATTGATCCATATATTTTTCAAAAAGTTATATCATAATAAAGTTAAAAATGTAAATTCGAGAATTTTCACACAAAAATAGCATTTGGTAGCCATTTTCACCGTGAAGATAAAATAAAGTCAGAAATTTTTTTTTTCATAATAAATTACATTAAATTAGCTGTAATTTAAGATATACAAAAGTATATATAAAAGTGTCAGACTTTCTGGAACACTTTCAAAAGTTAAGTGAAAAAGTTGTCATTTTAAATCCCCCCCTGTGAGCATATAAAGAGTTAGATTTATAAAAAAATATACCAAATGATAGGTAAAGACATCAAGCATCTATGAATAAAAAATTATATTGATATGTTTATTTTTGAAAAAGTTATGGTAATTTTAAGAAAAAAAAATTTCAAAAATTTCAAAAATTAGTGATTTTTAAATTTGTAATTTTTTTGGAAGTTACCCCCATTTAACCGAGGGGAATTTTTTTCAATTTTTGAGGGTAATGTCTTTGACTAGATACAATTTCTGATCTTTAGACGTATCATTGAAAGACATCGGTTTGGTGAGAGCTGAGAAAAAGTGGTAACAGACACAAAAAAAAAACATCATAGTAAAACAAATGCCTTCTCAGCTTCGCATTAAAGCTAATAAAATTTAACTTTCATAAAGTTATATGTTAACAATATAATGGTTATTGTATTTTTCTCAACATATTATTTTTAGATTTTACCTCTTGTGACAAGTCAAGGATCTGAAGTAGTGTCAATGTCAATTCAAAATATGCTTCCTATTAAGCAGGTATACTTTAAAATAACTATTATTCATTATTTTTTCAAATGATAGTAATAAAATCATAAAAAAAAAAAAAACAATTGACATTAGACAACCTATCAAAAGTAAAATCTAGTATTCCTTAATTTGCATATGATTTAATAAGTCTAAACAAAAAAAATTTATCACAAGTAGATTATTAAAAATACATTTATTGTAATATAGTAAATATAAGTTAAATTCCTTAATCTAATAGTATAAATTATGTTTTTAATATATATGATTATATAATAATTTAAATTAAATACTATATTGAATTTTTTTCTAGGTTCTAAAGCAAAATATTATTAAAAAACATGGAGACATTGTTATAAATACAAAAGTAAGCATTTCAATTAATAATGGAATATAATTATAAAAAAATTTGCTGTCCGAGGTGATGTATCTTCTATTATAAATTCTACTCTAGGATTATGAGTATTTCTCAAGGTGCCTTTTTATCCCCTTTATTATTTTCTGATTTTATTAACTATGCACCAGAGGTTCTAAACACATTTAAACCTTTTTAAATTTTACTGATGATACAAAATTGTATAAATGAATTAATACTTATCAAGATTGTTTACTCCTTCAAGAAGATTTCAACAGAATAGTTTCTTGGGTTGGGTCTCTGGGCCAAATGTAAAGCAATATCCTTCCGTAATCATTCTCATATTCAATATACTTAAATGATATATAAATTATTAGTGCCTTTTACCTGTAATTTTACATGAATCTTGGATTCATCTTTACTTCTAATATTTGTCTTAGATTACATCTTGAAACTATTTGTTATTAAATCTTCTTGGTTTTGTTACTAGAATATATTTTTAGTTTCCTTGATACAATCTATTAATACGTATGAAATTAAAAATCAAGTTCAAAAAATTATATAAGCATGTTATTTTTGCCTAGTGTTCAGTTGATAAAATATCATTGTATACTTAAGTAACCCAATAATATTTATTTATTTGGTTTACTTATTTTTTTAAAGCTGTAATCATTATTCAACATCGATATTATTATTATTCAACAAAATATTAAACAATTGTAGGTATAAATTTAATTAAATTTTTTCATTATAAAGGTAACAAAAAAGATAGTGGAGTCAGATTCTTCTGTTCTGGATACTCAAAAAAAAATGTTACTAGAAAGAAATAGGTAATGTATAGGACATGCTATTAAAAAGTTCAGTAAAATTAAATGCTGTACAATAGAAACAATAATGATTTAGTGTTAATGTGAATTCAGTGTATTCATATTGAAAAGGTTTATAACATTGAAAAAAGATTTTAGGGATTTAACATAACCAAAAAATTCAGAATGAAGTATTATAAACAAAGTTTTCCTTCTTTGTGTTGAAATTTTCCATAGGAAATATCAAGACACTATACAACGGTAGAAAATTTATTTCTTAATAATTAATAATTTTATTAAATTCTTTGTAATATAAGTTCTCGTAGAGTCAGTTGGCTTTCTTTTAAAAAGGAAACTAAGTCTTTTTAATTGACTTTTAAAATATTGAAATCATTCTTAAATCTGAAGAACTTCTAAAAATATTTTTATATTGTAAAACAAGACTTTTCTTGTTATATTGTTTTTCATTGGAGGCTAATATTTATATTTGAAAGAATATTCTTGAAATACATCTGTTCTTTTGAGCTAATAGTATAGGCACAAACTACTAGAAAAAAATTATAATAAAAATAATAACAAACAAAAACACACACACAAAAAAAAAAAGACAAAAAAACAAAAAAAAGAATATCAATGAGTATAATTAGTACAATTATAATTAAATTAGAAGATACTAAACTTATATATTGATTGATACAAATATTTAAAATCATATTGTAGTAAAATTAATATCTTAGTTTTATAAATAAGCTAAAATTTTAAACAGGTATGACAATTAAAAAACATTTTATATAATACATTATGTTGGCAGACTTGAGTTTTAAACAATCTATTTAATTTTTTTTAAGTAAAAAGTATTGATAAAATTTATTAAATAAACAACAAACAAAATTTATTTTATTTTTTTAACAAAAATATTGGTTTAATTTATTTTCTAGGATTCATTTTGAACCCTAATTAGCATTATTATGCTACACTTTTGCTTTAGAAACCTAAGAAGTATTTATGTTACCCGATATTCTTATATTATATTCAATATTAAAAATAAATAAATGCAAATTATTTTTTAGATCTGCTGCCAAAAGAAGTCGTCAAAAACGTAAAGCGAAAATTGAACAACTAGTATCAGATAACCAAAAATTGAAACGTCAAAATATTATGTTACAAAATATTTTAGTTGAGATAATTTCAAAAAATAAAAATATTTCTGTTAAAATTCCTTCCGGTCTTATTACTATACCAATCCGATGAATTCTATTATAATTAAATACATGTTCCTTTGTAATTAATATACATTAATTATTCTATTGTAATACTAAATTGATAGCTTATCAATTTAATAGAAGAACTGAATTATTGTTAATATTTTATGTTATATTTTATACATGTTAAAATAAAATTGTTACTTCATTTTTTTGTATTACTTTATAATAAATGATATAGAAGGTGTTCCTTTAAAAAGCTCTGTTCCTCATTTAAAATGAAATATAAGATGTTTTTTAGTATTAAGAATTTCAATCTGTTTATAATGATTTTTAAGTACTTATTTTCTCTAAAATTATAAATACAATTTTAATTTTTTATAAATTGTAAAATATTTAGCATAGAATTTTTAAGTTATTTATCTTAAAGAAACATTTTTTTTAAACATATTATGTTAAAGTAATATTTTATGGAAGTTCTACATAGGATACTATACTACATAAATGAATTGTTTTGTTTTTCCTATTGTAATATTCTCCTTTGGAATATTAAAAAAATCAATACCTTTTTTATTTCTCAGACCACAAAAGAATACGCTAACACTATTACGCATATAATTCTGACCTTGCCCACTATGGGGTGGCCGTGAGTCATTGTTCTTCTTACAATCTTCGAGGCACCACAGAAGTATTAAAAAAGGAAAATTAATTATAATAACCTTTATTGAAATACAGAATGATGACTGAATGTGTCTATAAAATTGCATGACACATTCAAGACTCACATTTCCCGTTAATGACATTTGTGGTACATTATACAGAGTGATTTTTTTTATTATCTTCAGTTACACATTATTCTTGAATTTTTAACTAAGTAATACTTTTTAAGTTCATCCCTTATGCCTTGTANTTAACTATGTAATACTTTTTAAGTTCATCCCTTATGCCTTGGAAGGGGGTCAACTTTGTTTTTTTAAATGGTAACACATATTTTTAATTTAATAAAATGTTTGAGTTTTTAATTTAATAGTAAATGGCATTTGAATTTTTAATATAACTTAATTCGTTTATTAGATATAATCATTTAAAGTTTCAAATTTTTGAGTTAATATACAGGTATAATACACTAGGGATTACAAATATAGGTAGCTAATTGGTTTTTTATGACATTGATGTCACAGTCACGGATTGTTTATTATCAATTATAAATATCAATAGATATACTTTTTGTATTGTCAGTTAGTGTATTTATAAACTTACAACAATGTACCTTACTATCATTGATAATAACAATGCTGTGTACTTGCTCATATCGATGTCATAAAAAATCAATTAATTACCTGTATTTGTTATCTTTTGTGTATTATACATTTATATTAACTCAAAAATTTGAAACTTTAAATGATTATATCTAATAAACAAATAAAGTTATATTAAAAATTCAAATGTCATTTACTATTAAATTAAAAACTCAAACATTTTATTAAATTAAAAATATGCGTTACCATTTAAAAAACAAAATTAACCCCCTTACAAGGCATAAAAGATGAATTTAAAAAGTATTACATAGTTAAAAATTCAAGAATAATATGTAATAAAAGAATAAAAGATAATAATAAAAAAAAAATGTTTAATTTATTATTATTCTGTAAGTAATTGAGTGGCTTATGATAAAAAAATCACTCTGTATATGGGCTGAATTCTCTGTTTACCGAGTCAGTCACTCATTCAATTTCTTATCTCTAATTCTCAATTGACTAGTTAAACTCTTTAAGATTATTCCCCACGTACGCGAGTGTATTCTTTACATTGTGTGTCTATAATCTTAACTTTTGACATTTAGTTAAACCATACATTTGTTAAAATAATTAACACTTTCAATAATAATAAATACGCTTCTATTAATCAAATACGATTCTCTTGCATTAATATATCTACTATAATTTTAACAACCACAAGTCTATAATCAAGATTCTATCATCATCAGTAAATATCAGGTAAGAGTAGTGTGGCGGACCTGTAAGGCTCGCCTGAGGAAATTTTAATATTTATTTGTTGTTCAGGTTATCGTCTGGATTCCCTATTGAGCTATCCGCACAGAGTCCTTCAAGATGTGTATAGGAAATAGTGATTATTTATAAAGAAATAAATTTAATACTTTCGATAGAAATACTGGTTATAAATAGTAATATATATTATATGAAAAATATCACGTTACAAGAGAAATATAACAATTAATATAAATGTGTATATAGATATAAAGTAAACTTTCATAATAACATTTCAAAATAAGAATATGCTTTACAATTATAATGTTAGTTCTATATTGGTAGACTCTAGACACTAGACTGTCAACACTAGACTGACTATTGCTGCAAAATAGTCATACAAAGAAAACAAGGGGACATCCGCATACGGATGTCCCTATCAATTATGAACATATATTCGCAGAGATAAATATTTAATAAATTAATATTTAATAAAGTGGTGAAGCCACAACACCACCCCCCTAAAACTAGGGCTCATGTTCCATGAAGCCCGAAGTTTTACATACATAAATAAATAATAATAATACAATAATATCATATAATATGACATAAATCGAATATAATATAATAATATTATAATTCTACCCACTAATAGTGTTACAATTATAATTCGATACGACATAATGTTTAACGTAAGAACTCTATGAGGTTCTTATATCCACACAGAGTGTACATGTTCTTATATCCACACTATATACCTATACATTTTATTTATTTATACAATATATATATTTTCTTTTCATTATAAATATGCCCGCTATTACTTATAGTGAGGACATAGGAATGGAGGATGGTATTATAATATTTCTTGTATTTTTCCTCCTATATATTCCATATATTATTATTCCTATAATTATTAGTACGAATATTTTAAAGTAAAAGGAGTACGACAGTAAATAGTTAATTGCAAAACTTTCAGTGTTTTTGTTTATATTATTTTGTACCTCCTCTAATAGATTATCCACCCCTTTCATTGGTGTGTATGAATTTAATTTAATTTTATTTAAATCTATTACCTGCAAATTTTTCTTATCAACAAACCGCGTAATATTCTCAGGCAAGGGGATTTCTGGCATAAAATCTTCATAACGACTAGAAGTAAAACTTTTAATAGGCATTAGCACAGAATTCGCCGTAATGGCTTTACAATCATCCCTTAAACTTATCATCCCTGTTCCCACTAATAATGTGTTTAAACCAACCTCTCGTTCATCACAATTGACAATAATGTTTTCAGTGTTGGTTGCATATAACCAAGTATTTTTATATTTAAGTTTTAGAAATATACTTTCGTGTAATTTACCATAAACAAACTGACAAGTTGTAGGAACTATTGTGGGTTTGAAAAACAATTGAATTTCACATATGGACCTTTCGTGTCTATTGTATACAGCTCGCTCCCCAGAACATAACTTATATGAATTAGTTTGTTTACACAGATTGATTTCTAGGTCATCAAATAAAATATAATGTTCGAATGTACTACTGACCGCAATAAATTTCATGGTCGGACTAATGAACTGTACGGTGTCTGTGTTATTTACAATTACAGGAAACGGAAGTAAATGATATAGAATAAAATCGTAATTATTTGTTAATGGAATTTTTATTATGAAAATCAACGAATCTTTTCGGTAAAATAATGTTGTCTCAGCGATTGCTAATAAATCTACAGCCCCCTCAAATGTAATGTTTACCGGTAGCCTACCATGTTCAGGTAAATCTGCCTGAATTTTTGTTAACTGTTCGATTAAGTTATAAGGCGTAAGAATACTCGAATGAATAATTCCCGTTCGGGCTGTGGTAATTATTTCCCCTAATAAATCAACTTCAAATAGTGCTCTATCTAATAATAAATTAAAAAGTGTGAGTTGTTCTTCAATCAACTCCTCCATTCGAATACTATATAATGCGTCATTTATCCTATCTATTTCCAACTTAATCTTATTAAAATTATCATCAATAAGTTGCCTTTCGAGAGCTATAGTTTTAAATGTACTATTTAAATTTTCCATGTTAGACTTCATAATACTTAACTGTTCACGCGTAATTATAAGAACTTTATTATTATTGTCGACCAATTCTGAAATTCGAGATTCATATTTTTCACCGTCTTCCTCGGTTAAAGTCC